ATGTTAATATAGAGTCCTATATAGGCTATAATACTATTAAATACGCGTTTAAATATATCTTTAAAGATCCTAACCGCGCTACAATATCGCTATAAGTATAGTAGTAGTAGTAGCCTAGTATAGTACCCTACACGGTAGTAAATAAGATCTAGGAGTATATTAATACTTAATATATTACTATATATAAGGCTCTTTAGTATATATATAAGTTCTGTATATATAGCTACTTAGTTCTAGTATAGTAGCTTATACTCTACCTTAAGAGTAAGTGGCCTATTTACTTTCAGGCTAACTAGAATATTAAGGCCCGCCTTACCTATAATATAATCTATAGGACTATACTTACTAAGTTCTTTATAGTAAATATAAGAGGCCGCACTAAGTAGCGCTATTAAAACTTCCCTATATACTATATATAAAGTAAGAGTTGTAAGTGGTAGGCTTCCTATAGTAGAGGCTTTATAGTTAGCCGCGTAATATAGCTTTTTATTATAGTAGGTGAGGTATACTACCTATACCTATTACTAGTAAATATTACCGGCTAGCGCTTCTTTAAGGATACCTATACCTTTAAGAGCTAAATATATTTAACCTTCTAGGCCGCCTACCTCGCCTGTAGGCTATTATAGAATAATAGAGAGTACTTATAGGCGCTAGTAGAGGCTATAAAGTTTTAGCTAAAGTAGTAGCTATATAAGCTTTTTATAACTATACTAGCGAGCTATAGGCCTATAGATCCTATAGCACTATAGAACCACTTCTATAGTAATCTTATAGATAACTACTACTACTAGCTATAGACTATATATAGCATCTAGAAGCTAACTTAAAAATAGGCTAAAAACCTTATACTCTACTTACTTTATATAAGCCTCGCCTACTATAACTAAATACTAGATAGCTATAGTCTCCTATAGCCCTAGTATAGCTAGCTTAAGGACTCTATAGACTACTATAACCACATTCTATATAAGTAGCTTATATTTAATATAGAGGAGATATAGACTAGCCTTACTAATAGCCTTCTATATCTAAATACTAAGTAGTGGCTTATATTTAATCTACTTAACTAGATAGTAGAATCTAATTAGGGCGGTCTTTTCTTTATTAGTAGCCCTAGTGATACTAGTAAAACCTTCCTATAGAATACTATACTATTCTACTAGTAGCTATAGAATAGGGTAGCGCTTATAGTAGTAATATCTAGTATTACTATAACTCTACTTACTAGAGGTACTATTATATAGCGCCGCGTGTATACCTTCTACTTTATATAGAATATACGCCTATACTACCTAAATCTTACTCTTAGTAAGCGCTAGAAGATTATAGTGTTTATAAAGTAGCTACTCTATATTAGTAAGTATATTAATCTAGATAGAAGGGTCTATTAGAATATATAGAACTAAGTAATTAGTAATAGTATAGAGGCGCTTACTACTACTATCTTTTCTAGCTTTAGGTGCTACTAGCTACCTATAAATTAGCTATAGGACTCCGTAATTCTTATACTAAAGAATAATATAGTAGATAGTATAAACTAGCTACTACTTAATATAATACTAGGCGTAGAGATAATATTCTACTTAGTAGACTACTATAAAAATAGTATAGGAGCCGCAGCCCTTTCTAAGAAGTTTCTATACTTTATTAATATTCTATAGCTACCTCTATATACGCTCCACCTTAAGTTTAGCTACCTAGTAATACTACTCTATAACCTTAATCTAGATAGTAGCCTTTATAATAGTATATAGTTAGTATTTCTCTCTATATCCTACACCTTACTATACTACTTAATTCTAGGGACGCGGAAGTATAGTGCAATTATATAGCTACTATATATACTCTTAAATACATCTAGCTCTAATTAAGAGCTTAAGTTTATATAGTACTAGTTTTCTATTAGGCTCACCTTTATAATAACTATTAATAAGGTATAGGGCTAGAGTCTATTTAGTATTAGTCTACTTCTTAGTCTAAAGATATTCAGCTATAGCTAGTTATATATCGCGCTTAGCTATATTACCTATTCTAATAGTATCTATATAGTGCTACCTAATATAAATATCGCCTATAGTAGCCGCCTAAAGAATATAGTATATAGTAAGATACTTTAAATATAGTAGAATATAGAGGCTAGTAAGAGAGGGTTAATAGTGTATTAAGTATATATATTACTCTATTATATATCGCGCCTAGGTCTATTAGTTAAGTATTACTAGTAATAGGTTTACGGAAGCTTAGTATAAATAGAAGATAGGAATATAAGTATCGCGTAGTATTATAGATATTACTAGTATAGAAGTTAGGTATAAAAGTAGAAATAGTCTTAATTAATACTATTAAAAGCTATAAGGTAGTATACTATCTATATACCTATAAACGCTATACTTATATTATATACTAGGTGTAGTATAGTATTATACCTATTACTATAAGAGTTAGAGACTATAAGATAGTAACCTTACCGACTTCGTACTATTATAGAAGACTATATAGCTATTTAAAGTAGCTATATATATAATTAGCTACCTATATCTATATTATTATTTATAAAGCCCTACTACTCCTCTTTCTCTTTATTATTATTTTTCTTTATTACCTTCTATATAGTAAGGCGGCGGCTGCTATTAAGGCTTTAGTTTAGAACTAGATAGCCTACACGCTATATAGCTAAGTGGGTATTATTCTTAATAATCTACGCAGCTATATACGTGGAGCTATAGTTAATATTATTAGAATCGCTAGTATTATAGGCTATATTAAGAAGGGTATAGCGCTTTATAGTAGGGAAGATAAAGTAGGGAAGTTACTAGAGGAGTTATATACGGCTATAAGTAAGAGATAGAGAGAGCACTACCTTATAGAGCATTTATAGATATTAAGATATAAGGGCTAGAGACGCTAGCGTAAGAATCTAGAGTAACTACTAGTATATTAGTATTAGTTCTATATAATTAACTATATTAATTTATATACTATATTTAGTACCTAGATTATAGTGCTTATAGTAGCCACCCTATATATAGTTACTATAAGCGCCGCTATAGATATTAGAGCGAGTGTAGTAGTCTATAAATAGGCTATTATTACTATTAGCGCAGCTATTATAAGGGGTTCTATATAGTAGAGCGCGGATATATAGCTTTATAGGCTAATAAAATATAAACTAATTAAGATTATAGACATATTATAGTTTAAGCGAAACTATAGGCGCGTGTTACTAAGTTTAAAGAGGCTATTAAGAAACTACTTATAACCGCTACCTAGAGTAGTCTTTATATAGAGGACTCTCTTTATAAACTTAACTAGGTTCGCTTTACGCCTATTAGTATAGTTACTATAGGCTACCTTTTACAAAGTGTGTATACTCTTAGCTAATAACATGGGAGAATTAGTGCCTTTAGTCTAGTAAGTATAACCTAGTACCTATAGATTACGCTTTTTACTACTACTACTACCTCCACCTATACCCTAGCTAGTAGCTATAGAGCTAGAAGCGGGAATAATAACCTAGACGCTAGCTATACTAAGTATATATACTAGTTAAATAGACTTAATAAGAAAGGTGTATATAATTATAGTTAAGATTAATAATTAAAAGGTAGTTATAAGAATTATAGAATATTTATTCCTTTATATAGTAGAGGGTACTAGCGCTATTTTATACACGCTAGCACACGCTAGTATATATTAGAGAGAAGCAGCCTATATATAGCGTAGAGACTTTAAGTATATATAGTATAAATATAATTTATAAGAGAATTATATTATATATAGTATTTATAGTATTATATATAAGGTCTATAGTTTAAGTCCTCCTTAAAAAGTACTTTTTAAGAATATATAATATGCGCTTATAGTGGAATTCTACCTATACTACGTTCTTTACCCTTTTTTTTACCTTATAGAAGGTCTATAGTTCGAGTCCACCCTAAAAAGTACTTTTTAAGAATATATAATATACGCTTATAGTGAAATTTAATCTATACTATATTCTTTACCCTTTTTTTTACCCTATAGAAGGTCTGCAGTTCGAGTCCACCTTAGAGAGTACTTTTTAAGAATACTAGAAACCGTTTTAGTATAAAACAGGCACACCTAGTATATTTTTATTATTTTAGATAATTTAGATAATTTAGATAGTTTAGATAATTTAGATATTTTAGATATATAAAGCGCTTAGAGCGGTTTAGTAAGGCGCTCTAAGCGCGCTTATAGCATTTACGCAAGCGCTCTAAGCGCTCTGAGTGCACTCCGAGCGCCTTAGACGTCTTGGACCGATGCCGATTTCACGAGCGCCTAAGTTTTTCCTGATATTATAGCCCTTTTAGCTTGCTTACTCGTTGCTCTACTTTTTTTAGCTACTCGGCCTTTTTATAAGCTTGCGCTCCTTCGCTACACTACGCTGCAGCCGGCCTTCTAACATCCATCTACCTTAATAGCATTTAGCATGCGTCAACTATATTCTAGCCTTTAGTTGACTAGCGCAGTTATTCTTATAGCAGCTATCTCTATCGAATGACTATTCTATATCGAATGTCCGCATAATGCCTAAGGTTGCTTATAATACTAGAGGAATAAAGTCTGCATCAAGCACAGCAGTGGTTCTGTTTAGGTTGATATTAGAGTTGCGATCACCCCTAGCACAGTCGAGGTAGAAAGCTGTACCGTCTCGAGAATTGCACGGAGGCTGTTTGAAGGCAATGTGCTGTTTCACATATAAGTAGAGAAAGACTTGCTAATATGGTATACTAAAAACGGATGGTGGATGTTCTATCATCGTGAATGTTGCATACCCTAAGAGAAACACTTTGTTATCACGCGGATAAAGAAAGCGTTCCCGCTGAAACTATACAACTCAAATCTGTAACCTTCCCACCGAGTCATGCGATGCTTCCCGAAAACCCGCATCGCTGTTCTTTTCCTCCAGTGAGACAAGTTTTGTCAGAATCCACGTGCTGGCATACATGTTCACTAGAAGCGTCAGAGAGCGTTTAGAATACCAGAGCTGAAGGCTCACCTCTGTCACTGCACGTCCCCGGAAACCTCGCAGCGACGCGCTTAGCCGAGAACCCCAGCTCCCCAAAGGTCTTGATGTACCACGGAGTCAATCCAGCGGATCTCAAAAGGACCCGTCCTTTGAGCCTTATGACCCGGTTTAGAGCTCTGATCTGCTTCGCGGCCTCAGGGCCTGTGGACGAGAACCAATCCATCGAGTCCATTACAACCGCGATGGTTAAAGTGCTCGGACTCATGCGTGCGATGACTTCGTTGATCTCGTCGGTATGGATGCGGAGTCCGTCAAAAGCGTCAGGTTTGGAAAGCTTGATGTGTGCCTTGTGAGTAAGGTAGTCAGGGTGGCAGCGCCTTGAGTACTTGCCCTGGAGGCACAAGAGGTAGTAGTGGTTGTCGTCGCTGATTAGTGTGCTGTTTACCACTGGCTCCAGCGTGTTGACCACGTATTCCCAGATAGCCTGACCGGACCGTACCACGCTGAGGCCGTGGATGTCGTCCTGCTTGAGGTAGTCCTGTTCGATCATGTCGCGCTGGTTGGGAGGTACGCCCAAGGCTTTCCACAGCCACTTCTCGTTGCTGATGACGGCCCAGCATAGGATCCGACTTAGCAACACCCTCTTAATGCTCCTCTCCCACATCTCTCGTTGCTCGTTCAGGGTCGGCGCGGAATAGAGCCTTTTGGCCTCATCTGATAACCCAAGCACTCGGAAGAGCCAGCCTATGAGGCGCAAGGCGTGACCTGACCCTCCGGTTTCATAGAGGTTCTTACGGGAAAAGACGGTAGGCGAAATATTTAACCAGTGCTGGAAGGCTAAGCTCGACATATGTGGACTCAGCTTCTTTATCAGCAGATCGCGAAAGGCGCCGTGCTGCCCCTCACCAAAGAGTTTCCAAACGTCAGAGTATCCGAGAGCAGTAAAGGCTGCTACCTTGAGCTCGAGCAAGTGATTCTGCGCCGGGTTGAGATCAACAGCGTGGATACGAGCTGGTGACTCCAGGGCGTAGGCTAGAATATTATCTCCAGCCGACGTGATCGAAAGGATGACATCGTCGCGCGCAATCTGCAACAGTCTCCTGTCCATCCTAGAATCTTGCCACGTAAACTGGTACAGGCATTCGTCGTTGAATTGCCTGTGTTTCCGGAGTTGATCGTCGTAGTGTATTCTCCACTTGTTGTTCTGGTACCAGCTGGAGGGCAGGGGAAGGCTTGATTGCAGGTTTATGATCGCCGACTCGTATGCTTTGGACCGAACCTTCACCAGCTTCAAGTCTTGCCGAGCAGTCTTTGCTTGCAGATCCGGAGCCGACAGAAACGGTGATTCCGTGGCAGCCGCTTCGAGCTCCGCGAGCTTGGAGGCCGTGGAACCGCGGTCCTTCGAGCAGCCGATCCATACGTAGTAAGGAATCCTCATACCTAACATGTGGTTCCGGGCGTTGACGCTGAGTGTGGTTCCGAACCGATACTCCAGATAATCTCGCCTGGCGGTAAGATGCACACGGTCAAGCTCGAACCAAGTCCTCCAGAACACCCGCGAAAGCCAAGTGCAGTGTCTGTTGATGACGCCACCGGTGTAGTTGCGGCATTGGTAGTCGACCTTGCTTTGGACATAGAAGTCACAGACACCTATGACTCCGTTGGGCGAGAGCAGAGAGGATATTGAGTCAATCACTAGGTGGTATTCCGGGATCATTGAAAGGCTATAACTCATGGTTATCAAGTCCGCCCTTCCTACCTCGGCGTCTTCGGCAGATGTGCGGGTATCACGGTTCTCCAAGTTCCATTCTTTCATCTCGTAGGCCATCGGCCCATGCTCACGGAGTCGAAAGGAGCGCGCATCCTGGCAAACCACGTAAACGTTCACCCATCCTAGCCGTTCGAACCGGCGCCGAGCGATGTCGCAGAGGGATGGCGATAGGTCGACTAGGTAGACAGCGCTGAAGGAATCGGGAACGGAAATGAAGGCGGACATCTGCTCTATGTTCCAGCCTGTTCCGCCGCCAACCTAATCTCCACGGTTAGGTCCAGTTCGACCGCATGTTGTGAATCGCCTGTAACCCACATCTACCCAGACTGGCTTGCGGACAATATCTCCAGTCTGCGTCCTGTGCTTGAGCTGTGCGGCCATTAGGCCCAGCATATCCTCTCGGCCTCGCAGCAGCCGCGTCCGTATTGCATCGTATACAGCTCCCTGAGCCCTGTAAAAGCTTTCAAGAGCATCTTGCTGGCTTCCGCTGTCGTCCCCAGTATGTGGTTTCAGGAAGCAAGAGTAGAAAAATCGCAGGTATGCATGGATCGTGTGCGGAGACTTGGTAGAGCTCTCAGTCGGCTTGAAGTATAGGAAAGAAACGAGGAGAAGGAACAGAACAAGGACGCCTGCGACAGCAAAGATATGGTAGATAGAGTCGCAGTGCAGCATCACCAGCGTTGCCGTCATGGCGGTTGAAAGGGTAACGATGGGATCAAGCAGGTCAGCCATAAGCGTCCATGGAGACAATAAAATTTTAAAGATGCTCTCATAAGACATCCTTGGGCAAGCATAAATCCGACTTCGGGCTCCCAGGGTATCATCTTCATCCACATGATGCGCTAGAAGCACATTGTTCCTCTGAGGATCTGCCGCTGTTCGCGCTGCAACATGCGGTCCGGGAGCCTATGGTTCAGAGCACATGCGGGCCCAGAAAGGAAAGCCGCTGGTGTACATGGGAGGGCGAGAGGAAAGAGCTTTCTCGCAACGCCGTGCAGCCCGTTGGCCGCCGAACTGCTATCGCGGCCATACCAGCGGTTACGCAGGGCAGCGGCGGTTCTCGAGATGCGCGGAAAGCTAAGCCGCTCCGCACTTCATGTAGCGGTCCATGAGCCTGTAAGATGCCCCCAAGAAGCCATGTGCTGGAGAGGTGCTGGAGTCTTGGTGTTGTTGAGGTTCGGAGATCAGGGCTCTGGGGGTGTCTCTTTTGCGACTTGCGCACCAATCAGATGTTACTCGGCTGGGGCGTGACGAACGTTCCAGCATTGCTTGCTCAAAGGCAACCCCGGAATTATCTACTCTCTGCTAGCCTGTCCCCACATGCGCCCTCACAGGAGGCGAAGCTACACAGGGTCTGGTCCCCACGCTCTGTGCTATGTTACATTGCTCACAGGTCACTCGCCAGTGGGGGGAATAGGGTGCCCTGGGGTCCTCTCCCAAGTTCTACGGAGCTCTCGCCGTAACTGTCATCCGAGCCGAGCCTTGCGTACTCGAGGCTTCTCCTGTCCGTCTGCACGCCGAGCATATCCAGCAGCTGCGCAGCCTTGTTGGGCACATATGGCTGCAGTAGAATGCCTACTACGCGTAGCGCCTCAGCACAGAGGAAGATGGTACGATCTATCTCCGGGACTCGAGGCGGCGACGACCCTTTCTCGAACTCCGGAACTTGTTTCCACGGTGAAGCTGCATGTAAATACTTGTTCGTCTACAGATCCAAACTGTTAGCAGCGGTCGACGGCAGAGTTGGACGAGAAACAGAGGATTGATTTACTTCATAGACTGCGTCCATTATCACCTTGAGCGCACTGCCGACATTTAAATCACCAAACTCCTTCGCCACCGCCTCCGGCAGCTCCAGTAGCATAGCCCGCTGTGCTGCGGCCGACGCGTCGGAAGGTGAAGCGTCTGCAATTTCATGACACATATCCAGGACCGCACGCCGTACACTCCACCCCTTTGCTCTCATTACACGACTCGCTAGATTGCCCAAGCCGCCCTGAAGCCCCTTCTTGTATCTCTCGATTATGTAGTAGTTGCTGTAGTCCGCATCTTGGGCGATACCCCCGTCATGTGCGAGATAGTAGCGCATCGTGTCCACGCCGAAGCGGTCGAGTGCGAAGAATGGGTTCACAACATTTCCAGTTGATTTTGCCATCTTCTGCTTCCCAAGAGTCCAGTGTGCATGGGTGAGAATATTGCGAGGAGGTGGAATGTCCAAGGCGAAGAGGAAGGCGGGCCAGTATATGCAGTGGAATCTGTTCAAGCTACGTCAGCACTTCCTGACCATGATCGCGTAATGAATTGGCTGTCCGCCGGAGCAGTGAGGGGACAGCTCACCTTACAATGTCCTTGCCAATAACCTGCACGTCCGCTGGCCAGCCTTGCACATGCTCCTTGCCCGGCTGCCACGGATACCCGGCTTTTGTGATGTAGTTGACCAGCGCATCCAGCCAGACGTAAATGGTCTGACTTTCATCATCGGGCACTCGTATACCCCAGCTGAGACGCTCCACGGGGCGCGATATGCTGAGGTCCTCAAGACCGGAAGATACGGCTTGTACGACGTCGGCCATTCGGGAGGCAGGCTTTATCCACTCCGGATTCTCGGCGTAGAATGAGAGAAGGCGGTCTCGAAAGGCGGACAGCCGGAAATGATAGTTGATTTCGGAGGTCCACTCAACTTCTTTTCCTGTTTCCATCGACGTCTTCAAGGAAGCTGTCAGCGACTGCGCTCGAGCACTGAGCGCGAGATAGGGACGCGTACGTAGATCTTACGGCCGGTCGCAGGGTCGAGGATAAGGTGGACTTGAGATTGAGGGTAGAACGTCTCGTCGCTGACAGAGTACCAACCCTCATGTTTGGAGGTGTAAATGTAGCCTCTTTCTCTGAGTAAGAACTAGTTCTCCGTCAACTGATCGGCTCAACCCATCACGGATAACCGTATCTGCCATACCCATGCATATTGAACGGCTTCCTTGTGTTCAGGGTCCGTTGTACGAACAAAGTGATCATTGAGTACTCCCGCTCGAGCTGCTAGTCTCTGTCGGCAGTTTAGATGGTGACTCCTCATATCTTCGGCTCCGCGGCCGGATGGCTTACTTTGAAAACCTCGGCACCTTTGTCGCAGAAAGGCTTCGGTTCACTGCCAGCTTGTGAGGATGCTTGCTGAATCTACTGCCGTAAGGACGTTGTCAGCAACCACGTGGCGTGATTTGGACATGCCTAGTCACCTTCATGCCATGTTCGTCGGTCCCCGTGCATAGTATGGCGGTCCGGCCTCGAAGCAGCTGCCACCGCTTGAGGATGTCCGTAAGGACCATGGTGTACAGGTGTCCGACATGGGGAGCTGGCAGTGAGCGGTCAGCCTACGCGTGCCAACGCGCGACCGCAAGAGGCTTCATACCAGCATTGACGTAGAAGATGGGTGTTGTGAGGTAGTAGGGTTTCTCTTGTTCAGATTTAGCGGATGTTGCTGCGGTCCTTCGGGGAGCTGATCGGGCTCTGCAGGACGAACAGATCCACGGTGATGGTTTAGAGATTAGAGATGCCTGAGCACCTGCGCGGAAGATTCGCGAGCGCATTGCTCTATATGGCCGCGAGAGCTTTCGCGCTGCTGCGTTGAAGCTCGCGAACGGCCCAGACGGTCCGTGCGGCCCGCTGTTCCGAAAGTCAGAATGGTTCCCTTGGTCTATCAGGTAGATTACTGGTGCTGTGCTCGAGCATGTCACTGCTACTAATTGTGTTACTGCCTTGATCTGGGGAGTGGTATGGAGGTCCTGCACACGCCTCATTCATGATCGACCTAGAAGTGTCTCAAAGAGCAAAATGATGCAGCTACAATACAGATTCGTTTCCCTCATTGCGGCCTCTACCAAGCCTCGCAATACCATAACACGCTGGGCCCCTGCTAACGTCTAAGCCCTAAACATGCCGAGAAAAGGAAACTGCTCAAAGAAAGGGGAAACAGGACGGCTCGGAGCCTTTGCGGCAGAATGCCACAAGAACCGAAGCTGGCCTCGCTCGTTCTTCCAACGTGTCCCAACCAACATGATCCGCTTCCCCTTGTGTCTTGTTTGCTGGTCGATGTAGGTGTGTATGAGAAGTACAATGGCGACAAAGATTTGGCGATTATGGGTGCTGGGCGTTGGGCGCTGGAAGTTCGAGCCTGAAGTTTAACAAACGTGCACCAATTCGGTGCGCGTTTCTGTGCAGGACCCTGAAATCTTAGCTCCTGGCTGTTGTACGGCTTCGTGCAGCTTACCAGTTGCTAAAAATGAGAGGATCGAAGGATAGGTAAGTGACTGAGAAAGACATTGAAGTTCGTAAATGTGGTTTGGAACGATCTCGTAAGTGCAGATGGGGCCAAGAACTGCCTGGGTCGAAGGTTGTTGGAGAATTATTGTGCGAATGCGAGAATCCCTATGGAGCTATACTGAAGCATTGGAGAGCAGAATTGTTGGTCGCGGGCGGCCGAACGAGGGTGACTTGCGCGACGCTTACGCTGCATCAGCTTCCGGGACCGGAATATTGGAAACAGCATCAAGCGCTGCCTGGGCAAGTGCCTTGGCCGCCGTCTTCGCCTTGTGACAATCATGGCCGGGCAAGCTGCAGAGAGCGGATCCATCGACCGAGGGCTCAGCCCCATCAAGGGAATTTTCAATAACCTGGGCCGCCCGATGGATTTTGTCACACTCCTGGGCCGGAAGGTGGCAGAAGCGAACAGCGTCCGCTTCGGCCTCCGGATCAACCTCCAAATTCTCTTCCACGTCCGTGGCAGGATCTGCGGGTGTGTCTGCGGGGGGACTCGGAGCTTCCAGGGTACCGTCGCGCTTCACCCTAGGACAACCTTGGCCTGTCTTGTGGCAGAAGCGGGAGCCCCATTTACGCTTTGGATCTGGATCACGCCGTTAGCAACATCGTCCTCGTTCCTAAGTAAAGATATGTCTTTTCCACAACTTACCAGCTTCAGGAAAAGCAAACGGGGCGGCCTCCGCGATAGCTGCAGCCAATGCCTCAGCAGAACGCTTGGCCTTGTGGCAGGGCTTGTTTGGTGCTCCACAAATATCTTGGGAAGCTGCATCGCTCTCGTCCAACTCGTAGCCCGGAACGGAGAGTAGCTCATCGGTGGCCTCCTCGACAGCGCGCTTTAGCTTGTCGCAGGCCTGGTTCGGCTGCCAGCAGATACCGGAGTCCTTGGCATCTGTTTTCAAATCTCTCTTAGCGATGTAGGATTTGACCGCTTCCGCCTCGGCCCTTTTGAGAGTCTCAGTATCGGGGAGGGGCAGAGGCTCCGCAGCGCGCTTCAGCCGAGGGCAACCTTGGCCTGTCTTGTGGCAGAAACGGGAGCCCCATTTGCGCTTTGGGTCCGCGGCCACCTGAACGGCGAGGCCCAGAGTGATTGCGAGTGCTATCGTGGCTATCCTCATGGTGTCGTATGGTCAGAGTATGAAGTAAGGGATGTTGGTCTTGTCGACTGAAAAGTCGGAGAAAGAAAGACTGAACTCGTAAAGAATCGGAGGAGGATGAACAGAAACGGAGTCTTATAAGAGAACTAGATGTTCGGTCTCAAGCCATGTCCAATAGCAGACCTCAATAGGGGTCGATCAATAAAGAGAGTGGCTCAACAAGGCCAAAGCTCGTGGGTCACTCATAGACAACAAGAGTTAATAGGCTTGTCTTTTGTCAAGAAGAGACGATAAGAAACTCGACAGAGGAGCGCACAGGGGTAGGTCAGTTTATTCATAGAGGATGGGGGTGTATCTAGATTGAAATGTTTATTGATTCTATTCTTTGCAGCAACAGACCTACAGAACTAATTCGAAGAGAGGAGCATGTCGTATTGCAATTGTACAGCTTGACCGGTTCTATTGCAGTTTCACGCAAAGGCTCTCACTAAAAAAGCGGCACGCCGACACCAGAGCAGGGTCAACAGCCAGACCCGCTAGGATCTCGCAAAAGTTCATTGTGAGATCGGTCAACGTAGGACAAGCAAATGAAAGACTGCCGAGACGAGCGGCCAAATAGCTGGGCAGGACGTGCGCAGCGTGGAGGTTTGGCTGAATCGTTCGTTGTCGAGTGTTTGATGTTGCCGGAAGTGGTCCTCAATAGAGGTCTAACAGCCATAAAGCTTGGCGTGGTTGGTCACGTGACTCGAAATCGGAAGCCGAGGAACCAGTGCCTGCTTTTACACGCATGTTATTGGTTTGGGAAGTTGAAGATCGAGCAATACAAACTCTCATAAACGTACGGACATGCTGTGAGCCCTCTGAGGGAAAGGCAGCCAGGCAGCGGACGTGCCGGAGGTCCACAGCGCTTTCGTCAAAGCCAGGTTCAGGAACGGACAGAAGTCATGAGCATGGAGTGCCCGCTCACCTAATTAAGTTCCTACCGTTGCAGCGGTGCTGTTGAGGCTCCGACCGCTTACTGAATGTGTTGAACGGACAAGGCAAGACTGGGATTGACACGTGTCGCTTCTGAGCTCGCTTTCTTTGAAGTTTCGTAAGGTAGGCTCTCACCCAATCGTAGCAGATGCTGGTCATTCGAAAAGTCTTCCAATGTGTATTGCCCTTCGGCGTATCCAATACCTCATATCGACTTGCCGAAAGGCAAAGGCATTGTCCGGTGAAAGATAAAGACTTCGGCGAACGACAAACGTGTGTAAGTGATATTGAAACCAAGTCTAGTGGCGCTCAAGGTGTGGAATGACGGCAGCATTCCTCATGCAAGGTAGGAGGCACTCGAAATGGGGGGAGTTGAACATGAAGCCCGTTACACCTCAGTAATGGTGCCTGGTGGCTTGGACGATATTGTTGCGGGTTGTTCTCTGTTGCGCTCTCCAGGATAGAAAAAGATGTTGTTGTTCTCATAGCGCTTAAACAGCTGAGACCAAGGGCCACCTGAGATGTTCGATGACGCATTTGAAAGCTTTCCATAGCCCTGGAAGTGGACAGCCACAAGGACAACCAACGGATCAAAATTACCTTGCGTGATCGATGCACCAAAGTAGTAAACTGACGGGGATCGTTTACTCTCTATCGCATGATATTGGTCTAGCTGCTCTACTCTTAACCAGATCATGAGTCCAGTTTGATCGTGAATCTCGTGTTGAGCAAGCCGGAGCATAGATGCGGCAACGAACATTTCGAAGGCCTTTGGACGATACTCGACCCTTCGATTAATTGTGACTACCAAGGGCTATTGCCGCACGGTTAGAGCAGCTACCGACGAGTTCTCTATCGTATAGGTAGCACGCCGTTTTTCCTAACCATTCCATCTCTAGTCATGGCTTGAAGATGCCTCTGATATTGTATACGCTGCCCTTGCGTCTAGGCCTCTGATTTGGCTCTGTTATCATGCTCAATTATAAAGCGCGTCATCGGCCGTGGTTGCAGTGCCCTATGCACCAATCTGTGATGTCCTTCGGATCCGTCGACTTCTGTAGCCCGTGTGAGAACGCAGAATACACCTTCTAGAATGCAGGCTCCAAAACGCAAGCTTCAAATTTCAGGCTTCATAGTGTGTAGTGATTCTCCGCATTGCAGAAGGGTTGAGAATTGCCAAGCCCTCTTGGCAGCGAAATTTAGAGAATCTCGTTCGAAGATACCTAGCTCTAGTATAACCATCTTACGTGTGGGTTTTATAAATAGAGGCTTATTCTAATCGTAGAAGCGTGCGCTATAATTATAGATACTAACCTTAAAACTAGCCTTCGTGGTTATAAAGATATGTTATATTTACTCTTTCTACCACTTAAGATTAGTATGCGGAGTATTTCCGGCCAAGAGATTCTAGAAAAACCGAGCTTATAAGAATAAAACGTCTCTTTAGAAACTATGCTGTAGATATTAAGGGTAGTCTTAATATTAGTATTTCTGGTCATAGCGCACGCTTTTAGGAACAAAATAAGCCTCTATCTAGAGAAACTACATACAAGTTGATTGCGCTGCAGGTGGATATCTGTGAAAGAGGATTTTTTTGAATTCGCTGCCAAGAGGGCTTGGCTATTCTCAATCCTTTCGCAACGTGGAGTTACATGAAGCTCTAGGAGTTACTATTTTCCATGATTGGCCCGGCATATAGACCACTGCTATTGATACGAGGTATTGTCAAGGCTCTTTTCCAGTCTCCGGAATAGATTTTGCACGATCCTCTGTGGAGAGAGGCACGGGCTTTCGGCAAAACGTTCTGATGCTCACTAGTACTCCAGATAATGATTCAATGGCTTTATATAATAGTTCCGCCGCTATGGATCCCATCAAACTTCGGGCGCTTGGTCTAGGGGGTAAGCGACCATTAGCTCCTTAGATCACCACACTTCATACTAATCACTCTATTCAGTATGATTTTCGTTTCGCACCAATCACAGTGGTTTATGAAAGGTCGTGGGTTGTGAGTTACACATTTCGATACCTACTCAGATTCTTACTAACAAATCTAGCAATTCCCACAGCGTCCAACCCTCTCTTTTGTCTTTTTTCTTTTTCTCTGCAGGCTTTACACTGTGGGTTTCAGGCTTCTGGTGTAATAGACCTCTGGCTTCAACACCTGTAGGTTTTTGGTTGAAGAATAATGTGGATGCACCTATCATATGTTTTTACATCTAAGGGAAATGGGGTCTTGCAGCTCTGTTAATAGTAGAATATCAGTACTCCGCTCTCTACCAAACCGCATGTAGGCTTAATAAAAAGAACCTCGGAAAAGGCAGCTCTCAAGTACCTTACTTAAGCTTCAGGCTTGGTAAGTTTCTACGATGTAGTTGGATGTTTGCAGCCCTTTTCGTTTCTGCGACCACCCTCGCGACGATGAAGAAGCTCACCGCCTATCGCAGCAGCGGAGTTGCAAGACTCCATCGAGTGCAACCTCTGCCCAGGTAGGTACCTCCCATCTTTACGTCACGACTCAAGCCAGGTCGCGGAGTCCGACAGAGCACAAAACGTCCAGTCGTACGTGTTATCGTTTCGGAGCCTTTTGGACAATTATCTCAACTGCGGGATAGGAAGCGTACTCAAGCACGAAGCCTGCAATGTCTATCCATCCAAGCAACAAGTTCCTTTGAGCATCAGAAGCATGGAATTTTATCACGTTTATATACTCCATCACGTTATCCTCACAGTCTACCTCTGGATTATATCTGCGTCACGTTCACAAGGGGACGTGCGGTTCTTTTCAGTCTTTGATCAAGTGTCATATCTACTAAAGCATCCAATCAAGGCCTAACGCAGTGGCCTACAAGAATGTAAACTTCGCGTCTGTCGACTTTTACTTTAGAGAAGTCATGCCGGAGAGCTCTTGTGCCGATACAGCATGCCATTCCGCCCGTTGCTCACGATTTGCCGTGGCAGGAGACAAAGAGAGGAAGGGAAAGCCAAGCGCTTCCCAGTGGACGGCTATGTCCATGCACCGGGTTGAAGTTAAAGCATTGCACAGTGGCAGCACACGTTTGCAACTTCCAGTGAGCTGAGGAGCCTGCTGCTCTCTGTAGATGATTGCTCACGATTGTGACTGCCGATCCAAGGCACTGCCTATCTATCATGCTACGATTTCCTTGTAGCCTGGCGAGGTATGCAGTTGTCCTGTTTTTCTTTCGATTATGTAGATGTCAGCGGCGACGACGCGGAGAGGTACTCGATGCGTTATCGAGGCTTCCGTCCACGCGAGAAAGTACGAAGCTCAAACTCATAGTCGCACACGCAGGCATACACAGGTGGTTGCGGTTAGAATCTAAGTTACGTGGCGCCGGCGAAGACGGCAAAGGTCTTAACGGGCCTCACGGAGACCATGCCATGTGATGCGTCGACAGCCGTACGTAGCTCTACTGGATTGCTGGAATCGGGTTCAATCATAAAGACGAAGCACCAACAGCATGGTTGGGCCTTCTGAAATGGTTTACATGATGCGTCTATTTAATTGAGCGCTGATGCAGAGGACGGATATCTTGCCGCATTGGATGAGAGGGCGACCTGAGAAGTGCTGTGACGTGACTCCGTACACAAACATCGGACAGCGGGAAGTAGAGGCAAGCTCGGTCAGAAACCAGCAGAAGCGGCATGCGAAACCACAGAAGAGCCAGGTGGGAACTAGGCTTGAGATAGTGAGCAGACCACGGACGTCTTCGATGGTTGGAGGCGATGGTCAGGCGGTGGCCATGCAACTCTGACGTGGGGTGCAAAAGTCCAGTGTTTCCGGAGCAGGCTGTAAGAGTATGAACATAGCGGTTGTAGATCCCTCAGTGATCGAGAGATGTCCAGGACAGCCTTGCATTCTGGTGGTAGACGAACGCATAAACCCGTACTTTCTTACATTCTTGATTCCGCCCATGAGCAGCAGCGTGCCTTAAGATATCACCTGCCTTGAATCGGCAATCCCAATCCAGCAACCATTATGAACCAAAGCAACTCGGCAAAGTCCTACAGCTACACAAGAGATCGCTCCTCGAGAATGCAAATATGTAGAGATGCACAAGCGGATATCGATGTCGAAAACCAGCGACTATTTTCCCTTCTCGGTGTCTGCCGGCATAGAAGATTAGTCGCATGCGATGCCGAGTGTCAAGGGCTGAGGTGGATTACCGTAGTGCGCCTTGTTCCACTTCTTGTCGAATATGCCAGGCTGTAGTTGAGTTGTTAGTATCAGCCAACAGCTCCAGGAGTCGGGGTCATACGTCGCCCGGCCGCTGGTCGGCAACTCGCTCTTGGAAGTGCTTCGAATCAATGCCTGGGAAACAACAATGTTCAGTACGGAGTTAGGCGCGCGCACAGCTTGATGGGCTTCGTACCCCCGCCCTTCACCTGGTTGGGCTCTACGTGATCCGGATCTCCCCTTCTGGTCGCGGCCCCGGGAGTATGAGTGTCCTTGCCTCCGGCTGCGGACCACCGGTCTCCAATCTGCTTGCTGCCCGGTGTCTCGAAGACGTTGGGTGCCTTTGGGTAGAACATGGCGGCGGTGATTGCAACGCCTAGAATCATGAGGTTGCGCGGCCTGAGAAGTTTGTCCATGATTAGATCTGGAGTGTCGGTCAGGATGTGGATGTGGATGTGGATGTGGATGTGGATAGGTAAGTGGTAGCTGGTATTAAGGTTGGATAGAACAATTGATGGTTAGAGGTAGAGCTGCGAGCGACGCTGCTGTAAGGAACGTAGATGGAGCTAGTCACGTTTGGTGCGTAGTGCTGACACGCACGGCAGGATCACAATGCCGTCATCACCATCAACGGCTAAGGCGGGCTAGCAAGGGGGAGGGTGCGCTAGTGGCGGTCGGAAGGGCCTGCCGAGAGGAGGCTGCTCCGCTAAGCCACGGTAAGCCACACCAGGCCACGCCAGGCCACGCCAGGCCACGCCCGCGGCTTGTTTCGATCCTCAGCCCCTGTCGCGCTCCCGTCGAGGCTCTTCAGCAGCCCCGTCTGTCGCTCAACACGCTCACGTGCTCCTGCAAAACCCCCCTACCGACAGCTCCCAATTCCCAACTCATGCTGGATTCCTTGGGCCCTGGCGCTGTGGAGCTGAAGGACAAGTCGGGAGAAAGCGCGCTCCTCCCCCCCTCTACTCTAACATGGATGGCGACGGCGACCCTGCCGTGGACCCCGAGCGACCAGATGGCTTTACCCTCGTCCTCCCATTGCCCTACCGGGTGGCTTTGGTCGTAGTACTCGGTGTGTGCATCACAGACATACTAAGCTACCCCACATGCTGCAACGCTGTCTGATAATGGCTACTAGGCGTCTGGGCCTGGGGCCTCAACCTCCACTACCTCCACCTCATCCACATCGTACGTTTCACCGCGCCCGCTGCTCTCCCACAATCCTCACCACCGCCCATCTAACACGCCCCCCAGGACGTCCCAGCCCTAATCCGCTACCCCTCCCGCCCATCCTCCACCCACCCAACGCACCACCTCTCGACCTACCGCCTCGCGACCCTCCTAACCATCCCCCTCCTCTTCTCCCTCGCTCTCTTCTGGCTCCTCACCCACGGCGACGCCGCCCTCGTGCAGCAATGGTCCGTCCTACCAAACCTGTACCTCCTGCTCCTCTGTCTGCTCTTCATCCTCCCCTACCACGACCTCTCCAAGTCCGGCCGCGCGCGCACCGTCGCGACCCTCAAGCGCATCTCTCTCGGCGGCCTGGCCGAGGCCGCGGACGGGAAGTTTGGAGACATACTCATGGCGGACGCGCTGACGTCTTACGCGAAGGTGCTGGGCGATCTGTTCGTGTGTCTGTGCATGATGTTGAAGGCGGCGCATGGCTCGACGGGCCGCCCGGACAGGGCTTGCGGAGGCTGGTTCATGGTGCCGTTGATCATCAGCATACCGAGCATGATACGGCTAAGGCAGTGTTTGATTGAGCATCTGCGCATTAGGAGGGGGAATCAGGCGGCGAGGAGGGAGGGCCTGGCTGTGGGGAAGGATGGATGGGGGGGACAGCATCTGGCTAATGCGCTCAAGTATGCGAGTGCGTTTCCGGTTATCGTGTTGAGTGCCTTGCAGAGGGGCTATGATCCCGCGAGGATTGGAATGAGTGAGACGGGCTTGTTTAGACTGTGGTAAGACGGGCTCGTTCTTCGCACTACACTCAGCTCACCATGTTCAAGGAACCGCCAGCTGACACATGTTGAATCTATTCAGGCTCCTTTTCGTCTTCATAAACTCCTTCTACTCCTTTTACTGGGATGTAGCCAAAGACTGGGATCTTCACATGTTCTCTTCTAAGTCCGAGCGAGACAACCCAGAGTATCCATGGGGTCTGCGCCGCCATCGGTATTTCCACACCCCGGAAATCTACTACGGCGTCATCATTGTAGACTTGTTGCTGAGATGTACCTGGAGCTTCAAGCTGTCGCCGCATCTTGACCACTTTAACGACCTCGAAGGCGGCATTTTCCTGATGGAGATTCTTGAGGTCTTTAGGCGCTGGCTCTGGATTTTCTTCCGCGTGGAGACGGAGTGGGGTGAGTTTCCAACGCTGCGATGGCGTTGGAGTCCCGCTGCTGACGAACTTAGTGCGGAATAATCGCGGTCCGGCTCCAGACGATATCATGCTGGGCGACTATGCCAACAAGATCGATGAGGATTGAGCCTTTTAAATTACAGCTTGTGTAACTGTGTACGCTCCTGTTTCAAGGCTTTTGGACGATATAGATGGAAAAGGCGCAGCTGTATCGGTAGGAAGGCATCTTCGTCGCGCAAATTTTGAGCATTTGAATACCCCTTCGATCCTCATGTACGTTAGATCTATGCATATTGGATCTGCACGGGTTGACTGCGAGCAGATCCGGCCACGTTCGTGTAAGATTTCCCTCACGCCTGGCCCTCGGTCAGAGCGTTGGAACTGAGCCATTTCTATATGAAAGTCAACATCCGTAAGTTCAAGGGTAAGAGCGTGGGTCTTCTCAGCACACACCATGACGCCCCTTTTCTTAACTGCCTTTCTTTGAGACTCTGGATGGCGCTGCGTGCACCCTTCAATCTGGTTGTGCTTTCTAGCAGACTCTCTATGGCCTTTCGCGTGCCCTCGACGATGGCTTTGTGCTCTACAGCGTGGAGCCGTTCAGTCAGATGGTCTAAGTCGGTATCCTCGGACTCGAATGGAATCTCTTTGATCACGATCGGCTCGCCACGGTCAACGTCTTTGATGACATAGTGTATCATGACGCCTGTCTTGTTCGTCTTACCGTCCTGGAAGTCCTTGTGCGCTCGTTCAATGGCATTGGCGCCGTCATAGGCCCCTGGCAGTGCAGGGTGCAAGCTTGGGAAGAGAAAGTCAGACCAATGATCTCCCCAGACGTTGTGTTGTGGGTGCCCTACTTGATGATCGGTATGCCTGCTTCCTCAATAGGTGTCAGGAAGCTCTCCGTCAATATGTGCTGTGTCCGTCAGCCATTGTCTTGTCCGACTTAGCAAAGGCATGAGCTCACCATAAATCCAGCACAAACGATCACGTCAGGCTTCTCCAGTTTCTTTCCGGACTTATCTTCTTCAGCCTTGTCTCCTCTCTCGATTCCCAGCACTACATTCGCGAGCTTCTCGTCGTATTTCTGTCGCGCCGTCTCCTCGTTGTTGGGGTATAGCGTCTTCTTGTACTTGAGCAAACTCAGGCGTTCAGTGGGGATGCTTGCTTTTGCGGCGCGCTGTAAGCCGTAGGCATCTTTGCGGTTCGATATGACCGACACAATGCGTGTGTTTGGAAGAGCAGGAGTGTTCGAGGCATCTACCAGGGCTGCAGGCGGTTTGTTAGTATACGTGACTGATAGCCAACTTTTCCGTCTTTCTGGCTTCCTAGTACATAGCAGATATGAAGCGCAGAGGCTGGAAACTTGCCTTGTAAGTTGGATCCGTTGCCGGAGATCAGGACAGCAATCTTGGTGGGGCTTGCTTGTGCCATTGTGTGGGTTTGTATGACCAGACGTGGAAAACTTGAGGAAGCTGGTGGTGGATCAGCTCGTTGTCGGTGAGGGGGGATGCTCGCGGGGATGCCCGTGGGTGGGGGATGCTCGTGGGGATGCCTGAAGCCAGTGAAGTCAGTCCCCGGAAAGTGTCCCGCAGTGCCCAAGGGCCCCTCCACAACGAAATGCCCCGTCTCGGCGAAACTCCGGTTGTGCCTGAAGGGCCCCACGGGTCGGTGATACGTTCGGAGACGGAGCTCTTGATTGTAAGAGACCAATATCAATCACAAGACTGAGCACAGTGCGGAAGCTGTAAGACCACAGGCGCTTGAGTAGAGAGGAAGGCAAGAGCGCCAGTGCCGTCCTACAGTTCATCAAGTGCAGAGCATGGATGGTTGAAGGGCATCGCACGGTTGATTGGGGCCACGATATACGGTATAGCCAAGTAATTACTAAGTAGTAAATCCAGCCCCTTGCCCAGTCGGACTCCGCTGTCGGTGTAGCGGCCAATGCTATCATGATGCCCATGTCGCCGTGCAGTTGTCCATCCCCCAGCTAAGACAGTTCTAAACTCCCTGCTGAGCCTCTGTCGTTGTCAATATCATCAACCATGTCCATGTCGTGACCCTCAAAACGCCGCCGTATGCCACATGTTCGCGTCGCAATGCGTCGGTAACTCGACCTAGTCCTCGAGGAACTCCACCATGACCGTGCCATTCTTGAGGCCGGCCTGTTCGATCGTACTGTCGAGCATGTCTATCAAGTTCTTGCCCATGAAGATCAACTCGAAATCGACGCCCTCCTTGCCTTCCAGAGGCGATGCTTTGAGCCACTCGTAGATTCTGCGCACAGGGTCGGCGAGCGCGAAGCGGCGGATCTGTCTGCCACCTGAGTGTCTGAACTGAATGCGTGTGGTTGTTGCTGGGCTGCTGGGTGGCTCCGTATGGGGTGTTGATGAAGAGATCCTCGAAAAAGGAGTGGCAGTCGCTGCTGCGGCAGGCGCAGCTGTGCCATTAGTGGCTGTTTCGGGACCCGTGTCCATGGCGTCCGCGTCTTCTGCTGTCGACGCTTCGGCTTTCCCCTTCGGAGACGCCTCGGGTTTCCTTGTCAGCTCATCCGGGTCTGTGCTGCGCGGCCCGCCATTGTTGGCTAAGCTGTTCTGCAGAGCCATCTCCAGCATTTCTTCCTCCGTCATGCGGTCGACGTCCGGCTTCTTTGGTGCCTTCCGAGTTGCGACAGGATTACGCGCATAGGCCTTGAGGCTGTAGCGGTCCAGGAACTCGTGCAGCTGCATGAGGAAGTCGGCGGGTTGCGGGACGGGTGGGCCGGACCACACTTTAACCTGTTCGCCAGTGCGGGGGTCAACAATAGCTATGTGCGGATATGCGTCTTGGCTGTCACGATCGTGGAAGTAGTAGTTGATGTAGCTGCTGCCATTTGGATCGTCCTTTAGATACTGCAGGAAGATAAAGTTCTCCTTAACGGTATCTTTGATCTGGCTGTTCTTCCAAATGTCCCTGTTGAGTCGCTGGCAGTCGAACACTGCCGCGTCTTGCACGTCCACCAGGATCCATTTCTCGGTCTCCTTGCCTTCGTCGCGTGCCTCATCCCAGGAAAGTCGCGAGATCAGCTCGAATGGAGGTCTAAATAGCTCTGCGAGGTGGTTGGACTTGGCTGAGGTATCGGAAGCGCCGCCGGTTGCGCGAGATAAGGCGTGACGACGAGCGTTCTCGTTGTTGTCCTCATCCCAAACAGAAGGAGGTGGTCGTTGGTTGAAGATCCCCGGCCGGCCTGTAGCAGGCTGCAGTCAGTGGTAGTGAAAGCATAGAATGGCTCGACGACCTTACCTAGTACTCTTCGCTCGCGTGCACGCATCTGCTCGGCGATAGCCGCGCTCATGTCGTCCGAGTTCGAGCCCCAATTGGCACTGGGACCTATCAGGGTCTCAGTTGTCCGGGCCATTGGCGCTCGAACACCAAAGTCGGCTGTTTGGTCCGCTCCACCGTACATCTCCTCCTGCAGTCGACGGGCCATGGCTTCATCATCTTCCGCTGTGCTTGAAAAGGTAGGCTGAGCAGCCGCTGCTGGTGCGGGCCGGGGAGGCGCTTGTGCTTGATTGCCGAAGAACTCGGAGTCCTCGTCATCCGAATCGATGCGGATAACTCCATCGTCGTCCTCTGCGTACTGAGGTCGTGCGGATGGCGGGGGTTGTGGGGCGCTCGCCGATGGGGCGTGCGTCGCCGCTGACCCGGAGAGATCCAGGTTCGGGCTGTCGAAGAAGAGCTGGATGGCCTGTTCCAGGTTGTTGTCTGTCAAATGAAGATACTGCGCCGCGCGCTCTGGATCCGCTGAAGTTATGGCGGTGAAGTCCGCTATCAGGTCGTCCATGCTGTGCTGTGTTGTGACCTTCAGCCGTTGATCAGAAGACTGTGGCTCCTTGATCTGAGTTTCGGAGTGTGTTGCAGTTGTTCGCCGAGCAAGAGACTGCCTACCGGAAGATTTGACGCGTGTGTTGTCTCGCGGGTGATGCTCGTGCAGAATGTGGAAAGTGATGGAAGTGCGGCGTGCCGAAGTGGATGCTCACAGAGGCCGGAAGTAGAGGTGGCGGATGACAGCCGTTTTGAGGTCCAGATAGGCGCAGTGGCTACAGGAGAGACTTCCAAGGGCTAGGAGGAGGGGAGAGGAGAAGGGAGAGAGTTGTGCTGTGCTCTCCAAGAGCGAGTTCACTGTATCGTTGCGTGTCTAACAACATCGGCAAGCCGGACTCAAAGCTCAATGTCACTCGTCGAGTGAGGCTGCCGCCGATAAGTTCAACCGTGCCAGGCGTACTTTCTTTACGGTAATCACTAGTTAAGTTACAGTGGACGTACTGTAACTTATGTATGTATCGGACAGATGAGCTACGCTAAGCCGTTTGCTCCTGAGGCTTCCAAACTACACGCCACTGCCGCGAATCTGCATCTGCCTGTGGCGGGCGGTTTGGTACAAGATGCCTCTGTCGCTGACCTCCAACAACTGACTGACGTGAGAAACCGATCCACTGGCCCACCGTTCATCATGGCTACAGCGTCGGCGGAGAAAGAGCTCTCCCTGGTCGGCAAAGTCGAGTTACGCATTGCTCTAGCGGACTCCGATGAGAAGCTGGAGGCTTTGTTGAAGACCTATCTCGCGCCCTTGCTGCTCAAACTTGCATCGGAGCACGCAAGCGTCAGGAACAAGGTAGGCCCAATCTTGTATTCTCAAGTGATGCATTAGTGCCCCGATAATCTTATAACCCGTCTTTAACGCCATATGAGCTTCCATTTTGCGGCCGTTCCAGTTCTAGTTCCTTGAATTGGTTCAGGAGGTGGTGTCTCTACGATAGAATGAGAAGTTATCGTGTCATTTTGGACGGCGCTGATAGCGCTTCCTTCCGCTTTCTAGGTCATATCTATATGTCAGCACGTCAGCACTCGGATAAAGCCACAGTATGAGTCTCGCGTTTGCCAAGCGACATCCTTCCAAAGACTGACACTGTTATCAAGATCAATCAAGCTTCCCGTTGCAGCGCTTCTGAAGCAGTTCAAGGACCATCCGAACGCGCCGCTGATCCGACACTTCGACATTGTTTATATCCAACAAGGCCTTCCCCGCCTGTCAGTTGCGGAACGACTAGAGCTACTTCCTGTGCTCTTCCATGGAATCGCCTCGCAGATAACTCCCCCCACAACGCATGGTCCGCAGATCTTTCATCTTCTACTGCGGGTTCTAGGCCACTTGCAGCTACCGCCGAGGGGCAGCAAAGAAGACGAAGAATTACGGAAAAAGTTTGGAGTATCCGACGACGACGCCAAAGCTCTTTCAAGCTGGTTTGGAAAGCTAATCCTGCTTGTCGTGAACCGCACGCCGGGTGCGGGGTCTGCAGGCAATGAGACTTGCCCAGGTCTTTCAGTGGAAGACTATCAGTTTCTCACACAGCAAGGCAAGGCAGAAGTCTGGGACCCAACGAAAGAGTCCGGACTAAGCCTCACCGAGACCAAAGTGACAGTCGCCAAACTGCTCGCAAGCGGCATCTTCAAGGATGAAGAGCGTTTCCTGCCGGCTGTATTCGCCTCCGCAGACACCAATTCGAGAATTGCAGAAATAGGCGACGACATTTTGAAACGTGCCACGCAAAGCATAGATTTAGAAGACTCAATGCTCGTGCAAGTCTTCTATGACATATACCTCGGTGGCCAGCCTCCTCAAGGGCCGCCGGCTGTACGTCCTGCTCTTCGTATAAAGCTCCTGTCCCTCCTTACCAAGTCCGTCGCTAGTACGAGGTTTCCCGAACGGATAGTCTGTATCGTCGAGGAAGGTCTTGCGCCCGGGCAACAAGACAGCACCAGCTCACGAGGCCGCGAGATCTCTAAACTACGGTCCGCCATCTTCAGCTTTGCAAACTTTGTAGCTCGTAGGGGCTCACCGGCCGATGTACAAACCGTCGCACCTATTCTTGTCGACCGCTTACGCGCGTTTATCGAAGATCAGGGCTGGCCGACTCTCAACAGGGATGAAGACATCTCCTTACGATGCTACGGCTACGAAGTGATTGGTTTACTTGCCAAAGCCGCCCCACAGCAGACCCTAGTCGAGCCGGACTTAAGGCTGCTGGCATGGCTCTTTCGGTCGCTCCGTGAGGACAGCTCTGGCAGTCAGACAACCGTGAGCATTGAAGAGGCTTTATCGGCAGTCATTGGAGCTTTCAATGGACTCACGCAAAGCGACATCCAAGATAGCCTGAGAAAGCTCTTGCTCGCACAGGTGGAGATCTCCGATAACAAACAGGCTTCTGATGCGAAGATTAGAAGCACGCGGTATCCTGCGGTGCGGTTCGCGAACCGGTGCCTGCCATACAGTGATGCCGTGGCCCGATGGATTGACATCCTCGCTGTCGTTCAAGACGACGCATCAAGCAAGCACGAGCTGGTGGAAGAAGGTCGGCGTGGGCTCGACCCGCACTGGTATAAGTTGCTCAGCACGACGCAAGCGCAGTCTGGTGCAGCTACTTTGATGCTTCCAGACTTTGACATGCCCGACTTTGCAACGCTCGTGCACTTTGTGTTCACTCAGTCCGCTAAGAACGACGGTTCAGCAGGCGCAACGGACGGTCCAGACCATGGAATCAGCCACTCATTATACAACTTTATACGGTTACATTCCAAGGCCTTAGCACCCTCGGTGAAGTTTTGCCACCAGGTGCTCATGAGCCAAGCATTGTCATCAGAAGGCATAGCTATTCCGATCGATGCAGACTGGGAGAGGAAGCTTGAAACTGCTTACACGACCGACCCAAAAGCTAGATCTGCCATCAGAGTGTACATAAAGAACGCCTCTAGAAACGAGAGTGAGCAGTACTCCGCGTTGCTGATCTTACTACAAGCTGCCTTGGAAGGCCTTCTCTGGAACGAAGGCAATGGCCTCGGCGTTTGCGGAGCTATCTTTGTATCTTTCTGTTCGCTATGCCCGGACCATCTCCTCGCTGCGGCAGGGTTTACTCGAAGGTTTCGCTTACTCGAAGTTGCAATATTCTCAAACGACCAGCGTGCAAGAGTACAAGCTAGCCATGCTTTCGGCCTCCTCGCCACCCAGGAGTCATGCAATCAGGACGACGTGTCAAGTTCCCTATCAGTCCTGCTCGGAAAGTTGACCACTTGGAAAGGAGCCATAGGCGCCGCGGTAAACCAGGTTAGCGGCGCCATTGTTGCTCTGTCGTACTTTTTCAGCAGACTCTCGTATCGTGGCCGCAGCGCGACTGTGCGCGAAGCAAGCTTCCACACCTTCTTAGAGACTCTATTCAACATCCTAAAGTCGTCTCCGGACAGTTCGATGCGAGCTGCCTGCTTCTCAGCCGTTGATCAGTTGAGCTTGTTCTACAGTATCGAGCCTAGCTCTATTGAAGTATACATGCCGTTTCGGTCTGTGGTTGACAAGATAATGGAGACAGCCAAAACAGGCAATGAGCACGCAATCCTTACTCTCGGTCACCTCGCCATGACAGCTACAGAGACCGGAAACAGCAGTGCCGAGACATCGAATCTATCCTACGTACTTGAACGCATGTATCAACTCCACGAGGTTCGCCAGGCCGAGTCGCGGTTTGCCGTTGGCGAGGCTCTAAGCTGTCTGACCTGCGGGTGGGACTCGACGGCGCTAGCCTCACAGCTTGATATTGAAGGTCAAGCACCTTCCGGCACCTCACGGGAAGACGCACTGGGCGAGGTGCTCGACAAGATTCTCATTGACTGCAAAAACACCAAACCCTCTCTCAAGAAAGCATCCGTAATCTGGGCCATGTGCCTTGTGCAATTCTGCGGTCACCGCTCAGAGGTCCAGCAACGGCTACGGAGGTGTCAGGCTGCCTTCGGATACTGCTTGTCAGATCGGGACGAAATTGTTCAAGAGGCTGCGTCTAGAGGTCTTGGTCTGGTTTATGAGAAGGGGGATCGGCAGCTCAAAGATGAGCTTGTACGAGATCTTGTGGGCTCTTTCTCTGGAGAAAACAAAGCGGACTTATCTGGCCGCATCACGGAAGACACACAGCTTTTCGAGCCTGGTGCTTTGCCTACTGGTGAAGGTTCGGTTACGACGTACAAGGACATCCTCAGTCTGGCTTCCGAAGTCGGTGACTCCAGCCTAGTGTATCGCTTCATGTCTCTGGCGGCAAACAATGCTATCTGGTCCAGCCGAGCAGCTTTTGGAAGATTTGGGCTTAGCAGTGTATTTTCAGACTCCAGCGTCGACGGATACCTGGCCGAGAACCCTAAGCTTTATCCGAAGCTCTATCGGTACAGGTCAGTGTCTTCGAGCGGGCTCCTTGTTGCACCAGACTTGTTTATGCTGACCTGCCACAGATTCGATCCAAATCCCAACGTGCAGCGCTCAATGAACGACATCTGGAATGCCCTTGTAAAAGATTCTTCATCTACACTTGAGAAGTATTTCGATGCCATCATGGAAGATCTGCTCCAGAATATACTTGCTCGAGAATGGCGAGTAAGACAGGCATCCTGCGCGGCTATTGCCGATCTGGTGCAGGGACGCAAGCTAGAGAAGGTGAGCCGGCTTAATGTGATTATACTATTGGCAAGTTGCTTACAGATACAGTACGAGCCTTACCTTGGACGGACTTGGACTTTGTGTTTCAAGGTATTGGACGACATCAAGGAGTCCGTACGAGCGGCGGCTGCTGCCCTGGCCCGAGTTCTTACTGGCGTACTTACAAGAAGCCTTGAGGCCGGAGAGGCTTCGTCCAAGGCCGCAGATGCTATGCTTAAGCATGTTCTTCCCTTCCTTCTCTCAACATCTGGATTGGAGTCCAGTGCCACCGAAGTCCAAGCGTTCGCCCTCGACACGTTGTTGCAGATCATCAAGAAGAGCAGTGGCAAGACCTTGAGGCCTTTTATCCCAGAGCTTGTTGAGCGGCTTCTAGGATTACTGAGCTCCTTGGAGCCGCAAGCAGTCAATTACCTTCACCTGAACGCCTCCAAGTACAACCTGACCGAGCAGAAGATCGACGATATGCGACTCGCAAGCATCCGTGGGAGCCCTCTAACGGAAGCCATTGAGAGATGCCTGGATCTTGTGGACGAGCCCACAATGGAAGCACTCGTGCCTCGCCTAGAGAATGCTCTGAAGTCTGCTGTCGGCCTGCCGTCAAAGGTTGGGTGCAGTCGGATCCTTGTCTCACTGAGCACACGGCACAACTCTCTTTTCAGACCGCATGCGGACCATTTCCTGAAGCTCATAGAGAAGCAAGTTCTCGATTTTAACCCGACTGTATCAAGCTCCTACGCAGTATCTGCCGGCTACGTCGCCAGAGTAGCTTCGAATAAGCAGATACTGAAACTCATCGCCTTCAGCAAACGGTTGTACTTCACATCAGACGACGACCGATCACGAGTTGCTTCAGGGGATATTGTGCATGCCTTCTCCAAGCACGCGTCCGACCGCTTCAATACGCTCGCAGTGGAGCTCCTGCCCTTCGTGTTTGTGGCGAAGCATGACAGCCACGAACATGTCAAGGAGCAGTTCCAGACTACTTGGGACTCTCATGTCGGCGGTCCGCGAGCGGTGCTCTTGTATCTTAAAGATATCGTAACGTTGGCACAAGAGCATCTAGATTCGCCACGCTGGGTCCTGAAGCACACTGCCGCCCGCGCGATTGCCGACGCAGTCATGTCGGCCTCGTCCGCCAGTGATGAACTGAGTCTTGCAGATGCAGAGATTCTCTGGCCGGCCGTAGATAAGGCGATGGCCGGAAAGACGTGGGAGGGCAAAGAAATCGTCCTGGCGGCCTATGTACGTTTCGTGGAGAAGGGAGGGCAGCTTTGGAGGGCGCGCTCAAACGTTGCCGGCCAGATCAACAGGGTCATCGTCCGCGAAGCAAAGCGTCAGAACACTACATACCGTCAATACGCTCTCGGTGCGCTGGGTCAAGTGGCGGCGGCCCGAACGGACATGGATATAAGCGAGACAGTCATGGAGATCGTGGAACCAGTGGTCGAAGAGCTTACAGCTACCAGTGTAGATGCCATGGAGGTTGATGGCGAGAGCAAGGTCACAGATGATAAATTGTAAGTACTGTGTCTTCACATCAGGTCTCCTCTCGGGCGTGCCGAATGACAAACCGAACGCTCATGCGCCGGAAGAGGTACGCGCTACAAGACAATGTGCTAACTATATCTCCAGGCGTGACAGGACGCTTGCCGGCAGTGTCGAAGCCCTATGCGCATCAGCGAACCTCACCACTTTACCACGAGCCCTCCAACTTGCCGCATCTGTGAACTCGGTGCGTTCAAACAATGTACAGCTCGCGCTCTTCGAAGCGCTTCTCAAGATGTTTCAACGACTTGTCAAGGATCACCCCGGCTTCGGGCAACATGTACCAGCACAAGTCGGAACCAGTTTGGTGTCACTCATCTTCGACCCTAGGTACAATGACTTGAGCGAAGCTCTACGTCTCAAGAGGTCGCGGATGATCGTGGCGCTGGCGCAGGTGGCAGGACTTGGGCAGTCTGCGCTCAGGGAGAGGCTGCCGGGTGAGATTGAGAGTGAGAAATCCTCACCCGTGCGGCAAGAGCTGGAGCGGGCGTACAGGGTACTTGCGTGATTTACATTCGAGGCTTGAGTTTGGGTTTGGGCTCCTGCAGTGCAATCATGGAATGACGAAATTGTTTAACTTAGATTTTTGTCAGGGTCACAATCAGGTTGTTTTCAGGTGACTTCAGATCTAGAGGGCCTCGGTTAAGACATCTGTAACAACATTGTTGTTCCACTATAAGTTTCGGACATCATTTTGGATGATACCGACAAGGTTTAATGGTGCATGGGGCGCTCTCAGCCTGTTCAAGGATACTAGTGCTAATGTGTATAAGAAGAAACCGAACATCACTAGAACGGAGCTCTACAACGAACCAGTGAGCAAAGCGTCTCCGAAAGTGAGATCCGCTTACCGCTTGGTCAACGGAGTACGGCGCCATGTGTCACCTTCAGAGTTTTCTCCAAACCAAAAGACCACTAATGCATACTGATGTGAACGGGAAAGGGCTTTGTGGATCGTTTAGCACTCACATCATCACTCAATCAAGAATGCCGGATTTCAGACAGCAACATTTCTTGTCTTCTAATCCTTTTGCCCGATTTTACGTCTGCTCCTCTCCTTCCCCTACCATAGCTGCAGTAATTCCGGTACTACTACCAGTTGGCCCTCGCCGGAACATACGATGGCTCACGCTGCTTGAGTGACTCCCTGTAGACTGCCCTGCTTAACTTCCTGTCGTCACCGTCGAACTCGTTTCCCTTCCACCATTGCCTCAACTTTTCCTCATACAGCTTCTTGTCGTAGTCTGACGCCGTTGTGGCAGTCCTGGAACTGTGCATTGGAGACCTTTCGTCAGGCGTATTGTGGACCTCCATACAGCGTGGTTTGTCTTCCGGTTCGACCTCAGACACAGCTCGTGAGACCGGCGGCGGCGCATCTGTAGCATCTACATCTTCATCAGCATCCGACATACTCATGATAGACTTGGTCACAAGATCGGGAAGGAGGGCAGCCAACTCGAACTCGGCGTAGATGGGCGCCAGCTCCCTGAACTTGTTATACATACCTGGAGGCGTTGGTTTACTCTCTTGAGCCTCCTTTCGCAAAGGCATGTCGTAGATGGGCGAGTCGGGGTTTATCCCTATGCATGTGAAGCTCTCGTCAGAGTCTACCCTCCGCAGTAACGGAATCTTCGGCATCGTGACTTTCCTTGCATGGACCGGCTTGACTGGCGGCTGTGGACTGTCTGCCGGCTTGGTATCGACTGGCGGTTTAGGAGTGACTGGCGGCTTACCTGGAATGACTGGCGGCTTCCGTGGCTGTTGATACACGCTCCACTTACCGTACTGTTGTGGCTCGCCGGCGGGTGCAGCTGGATAAGTTGAGCATGGGTGCTGTATCCCAGTGGGTGCAGCTGGGACGGTGGACGCCGGGTGAAGCCGTGCGGGCTCCCGCGGGTGCACGAAGTCGTCCCACTGAGTTCCGCGGCGCTCGCCATTGTAACTCACGCTTACCGACGGCGATCGCGGCTTCGGTTCTCTGCCGGTGAGCCTCCTCCCAATTTCATGCACGAAGGAAGGTCTACGTTGCTTGTCAGGTCGCTCCGGCCGAGGGTCGGCAGAGATCTTCGCAGCTGTTCCTCCAACGCCGCCACAGTGTAGAGCGACGTTGGCGCTGTCTCCTATGGCTGTAGACATCGGGTAGGGGACCGATATCTTCTTCTTGATTTTCTCGTGGTGGGTGTCGGTGCGCCATTCCTTGAACGTCTTCGCTGGACTGATTAGCCCTTGGAGAAGCTGTGAGCGGCTTAGCTTACTTACCTGTCCTGCTTTATGGAGATTTAGGCCACCTAAGGGGATCATCTTCACTTCGCGCCTGCTTCCGAGGCTGGGCTTCGGAGGCTCGTTATGTGACACGGGGATGGGCAGAGAATTGCTGACATTGCGGTTAACGTGCGACTGTGCGCTATCAACTCGGGGAGGCTCTTGGAGTCGCTGTGGCGGGCATAGAGCTTTCATCTGCCTCCGCCGCTCCTCTTCCTGCTGGGCAAGCGCCAGCGCCACCCTCTCGACCTCGGCCTGTTGCCGTCTGGGGTCTAGTATGACAGGAGGCGTCGGCTTAGGACGTCGAGTAGGTTGTTGTTGCTTTTCATGTCGTTGCATCAGATGCCCCACAAAAGGTCTGGTGGACACGTTTTCTGTCGTAGTCCTCTTCTCCTTCATGGTAGTGAGTCCCTTTGCTAGATCCACCAGGGCCTTCCCTTCACCGGGAGGTCCTGCTGCATACACCATCTTGACTTCATCCCACCAATTCTCGCGTTGATGCGCGTTTGCGTCCTTGGGTCGCATCGGGCGAGGAGACGTAGGTAACTTGCCCTGCGGCGGTGGTAGATTCTCCTTCGGTGGCGGTTCAAGCGGTCTCGTAGTCTTCATGTTCCTTAGTACTGTTTTCCGCTGTATAACTTTTAACGGAGGAGAAAAGGGTTGAGTACTTACGTTCAACGCCGCTCTAGTTGCGGTTGCCACTGTGGAATATTGTGGCGGATGAGAATTCAAAGAAGCGGACGGCTGAATAGATGCTGATGCCGCTGGGTGGGTATACGTGCCTTTGATGTGATGAGGATCGATTGGTGCGGTGCAGTAATCGGCAACGTCGGCCCTTGAGAGGGGTTTGTGCGTCAGATGCAGGATTTGAGAGTATGCGGGTGTCCAACTTGATGGGAGTTTAGTAGACAGTGGAGGTAGTGTTGGGTGGTTGGAGGTTTGGGGCAGCGAGTTCTTCCTCACGGTGTCCTGCATCGTGTCGTTCTCGTGACCTCTGCGTGAATGCGTAATGTCTTCTCTTGTGACTCTTACCTGTGAACCAGTGATTGGAAGATCCGCTTCAATATCGGCGTAGCAGGATCTCAAGGTGCTTGTGTGACTTGTCGCTCAAGATGCTCCAGGCATACAAATGTGCGAGTGGATCTGTATGAATGCAAGCACGAAACACGCAGAAAAGATCTAATGCCAGATGTAGGTGCAGCCGAGCACCTTTATCCTACTGAACAACGGTCCCGTAGCTGCATAAAGGGGGGCAGTAACAACACACAAAGGCTGTAAAAGAGAATGGGAAGCGCACCTTTGTCGTATGCGTTATCCGCATTGTGTAAACTTGGCAGATCAAGAACAAAGGCACGATTCCATGACAACGGCATGCTATGAGAACCACAGGGAAGTGGGCATCTTGGATTGCACCGGCTGCTGAGACAGCGTGTCACGAGAAAGCATGAGAAGGTGGAACCTATGACGTGCCAGAGATTAAATCCTATTATATCATTGGGTATGTAAAAGAACTACAACCAAGCAAACTTGATGAGCATCGAGCAGTCCATGGAAGATATGCACCCGATCAACGCAAAGATACGAAATGACGATGGAGATTGAAAGACAGGTATAACGATCAGTGAGTAAAAAAAAAAGCCCTGGTGAGTGTCAGCATCCAATAGAGGACAGAGCTGGCGAAGCGCTTACAGGCTCATGAGGCCGAACGAGCTCAAAGCAGAACAGCAACAGCAGCGGCGATACCTCCCAACACCTCGAGTGCGGCCCGGTTCGTAGCTGCAGCACCTGTATACATGGACATAGATGAGGTGGTGGCAGGGATCATGGAGCTGGTCATATGGCTGCACGACTTGCATGCCGTGACTGTAGTAGTAGAGCCTCCAGTCCTGGTCGGACTCATGGTTGGATAGATGTCGCTGGATGGAATCATGCAATTCGGACCCGGACACATGGGTTTGGTTGTACAAGTGCTGCACGAATACGGTGGCGACTGCTGCCACGTGGGGGCGGTCGGCTGCGGCGGCATCGGGCTGGGTGTTTCCTCGCAGGGTACCGTGGGCGTAACGGCGGTCGGCTTTGGTCCGCAGACTGTGCAGACCGTGACGGTTGTGGTCATCCCTGGAGGAGGTCCGTTCGTGGGAGTAGGCCAGCTTGGCGTCTCGCCAGTGCAAGTCTGAGTGATGGTGACCACGCTATCAGTATAACCTGTCGAGCAGAGCGCCGTGACTGTTGTCGTGTAAATCGAGGTCCAGACTGGCATGGGTGGCGTGGCGGTCATTGTCGACATGCTTGTTGCCCTCGTGCACTGGGGGCATGTAGTTACGGTGACCCCGTTGGTGACCGTCACTACACTTTCGGTGGTCGGACATGGCTCCCAGTAGTCCACCGTGACAGTTTGCTGAGCAGAGATGCTGACGACTGCGGCAAAAAGTGTGGCCGTAACGAAGGCCTTCATGATGGAACCCTTCGACTTAACAGGTTTCTCGCTTGTGGATAGTGGTTATGACTGTCAGCTCGGAAAACGAAAGTTTCTAGAAAAGCAGATAAACGAGTGACGATGTCAAATGAATGACAATGGGAAACAGCTTAAGAGTAAGGGTAGTTACAATGCGTGTTGAAAACAGTCTGTATGGCATATAAGCATGACGGATAGTGTTTGATGACATGTTGTGATTTTCGGATTCCATCGCTGGAATGTAGCACCAACAGAACCGTTCGCATCATAATCATCATCAAAATCTGGAACCAGCATACGATCAAGAGAGGAATGGAGATAAGATTAGACTCATCAACCGCAGCGTCGATGTCATGGTAACAGTGGGCGACGCCCTACGCGGAAATGTTCCAGCCGAGGGCTGTTGAGGTTCTGCTTCAGTGGCGGCCGAGATAGGAAGAGATTACCGTCTGATAGTGACAGGCCAGTATCTACCAAATTTTGTAGCGCTTGAGTTCACGTCGACCAGAACCACTTAGAGATGCGCTAGTTTGGTCTCTTCCAACCTAGGCATTAAGTACAGCCAAACTGGACCTGCCTTGATCGTGGTGGAGCATAGCGTTCGTTAAATCGAAGATGTAACAACGCCACCTTGGTAGGAGGATAGAGTGCCTGCCGGCGATTGTTCGGCGACTTACAGATGTTCATGATTGCGTGACGAGGTTGGAGGGCTTTCGTAGCCATGTACAGGACTGGCTATCCAAGGCATCTTTTGCCTCAAATGCTGGATCTCGACCAAGGTCCTTAGACGGCGTTTAGGCCACGTTCCTTCTCTGGCGCAAAGACGGGTATCCTCACGGAGGCACTGGCATTATGCATTCAATCCTCTTTGGAAACGACATTGACGACGCCGTCATTCATGGCTTGCTTCCAGGTTTGGCTGCGGCTTCTCTATCCACTTGTACCCGGTGGCAGATATCGCATCTTGACGGGCGGCTTCGAATCAGAGGGCACGTTTGTCTAGCCGTATCTTAGGGGTGATTTGCTGCATCGATTCAGAACACATTCCGTAATAATCTCTGATGTTGTTGTTTTCGGAACGAGTGCAATTTGAGAGCGTTGCTGAATCAGCCCCCTAAGCCGCATTGGGCTGCTTCGGCCTCGTCCAGTATCGTTTTCATACACGACCCAACATGGGATGGAAGGCAGAGAGATGCTTTGATTTTATGCTAACAACAGTTTCGGATGATGGCGAAAGACGCCGAAAGAGTATGGTCGGAGGCCATGTGAATATCCTAAGCTAAAGAAAAGGTCTGCGGTTTCCGCAAGAGCGTGGCACCCTAAAACTGCACGCTTTACATGTTGACGGCAGTTCTGAACTTCTCACCAGCATACACGGCCTGATCGCCAAGCTCCTCTTCGATACGGAGGATCTGGTTGAGCTTGGCCAAACGCTCAGATCTTGCCGGAGCACCGGTCTTGATCTGGCCCGCGCGCAAGCCAACCACGATATCCGCAATGGTGACATCTTCCGTCTCTCCGGAACGATGCGAGACCATGACACCCCAGCCGGCACCGAATGCGTCCTTCGCGGCCTGGATGGCCTCGGTAATGGTACCGATCTGGTTGACCTTAAGTAGGAGCGCGTTGCAAGCCTTGGTCTCGATGGCCTTCTTGATGAATTCGGGGTTGGTGACAGTCAGATCATCACTGCGACAGATCAGCAACTTGTACTCCAGAAACCTCACAACTTACGTACCCAACGATCTGGAAGTCAGAATTCTGGAAGAAGTAGCTCCACGCCTCCCAGTCATCCTCAGCGAATGGATCCTCGATACTGACGATCGGGTACTTGCTAGCCAACGACTTGTACATGTCGGCGAGTTGCTCATAGGTGAGCCACTTGCTCTTGTCGCTGTCTGGGTTCTTGAAATCCAAGTCGTACTTCTTCTCCTCGGTGTTGTAAAATTCACTCGACGCGACGTCCATAGCGATCTTGACCTGGCCAGTGTAGCCGGCCGCCTCGATGGCTTCGGAGATGAGATCAAGAGCCTCCTCAGGCGACTGGATATCTGGAGCCACACCGCCCTCGTCACCGACGTTGCCCGCGGACTGTCCGTACTTCTTCTTGGCAAGACCCTTGAGTTTCTGGTAGACCTCTGATCCCTGACGCATCGCCTCGGTGAACGATGGCGCCTGAGAAGGGACGATCATGAACTCCTGGAAGGCGAGGCGGCCACCAGCGTGAGAGCCTCCGTTGAGAACGTTCTGGAAGGGGACGGGCAGCACGTATGGCTTCTTCGTACCAGCAAGGTCGGAAATGTGAGCATAGAGGGGAACACCCTTCTCAGCGGCGGCAGCCTTGGCAACAGCCATGCTGACACCCAGAATGGCATTGGCGCCCAACTTCTCCTTATTCTTGGTCCCATCGAGCTTGTTCAGGAAGTCATCGACCTTGGACTGGTCCTTGACGTCGAGACTCTCCTTGATGAGGGCAGGTGCGATGATATCATTGACGTTGCCAACGGCCTTGGTCACGCCTGCTCACGCCTTCATTAACGCGTCCGACTCTATCGGCTTGGGCGAGGCTGCCGCAGCAGACGCACCTTTGCCGCCCCACTTCGACTTATCGCCATCGCGCAGCTCACACGCTTCATGCGAGCCTGTGGAGGCACCTGAGGGGACAATGGCACGGTGAAGGCCAGTCTCGGTGACGATGTCGACCTCAACGGTGGGATTGCCGCGAGAGTCGTAGACCGAGCGGGCGTGGATCTTGGTGATGGCCATAGCTGCTGTTTCTACGCGTAGATTGACGTTAGCATCGTCTTGAAGTGCTGTAAGGTAGGAAGGAGAGCACAAGTAGATCTAGGGGTAAGATAGTTGGGGTTGGGTTGGAAGGGTGGGTCGCGGTCCGACAGCGGGGGGCTGCAGCAGCCGTTGCTCAATCAAGAGACCTTGGTTGTGTAGTGTACCGAGAGATCTTCAATGCTGCCAACTTACAGGATTGACCGTAACGTTGTTAGATTGATTGTGATGAGGTGTCGGAGGTGGGAGAAAGATGCGGGCTGGATCTGAAGAATCGACCGCAAAACAAAAGTTAGCGCGCCGAGGGGGGGGGTGGTGGGGGTGTGGGAGGGGCTGTTGGAGGGGTCCGTTGAGCGCAGTGACGTTCAAGCTCCAGCCAGGCTGTCCTTCACGTGACAGGCAAGACGCGATCAGATTAGATCAAAACTGCCAAGGCTCCGAAGCTGCCAGAGCTTCTGGAGAGCATAGCGACAGCTTACTTAGTACTTTTGCGTTAACTATCTTGCCATCACCGCCGCCTCAACGTCGTGCCTCCTCGTGTCGTCTCTCAAACCTACATCTGCCACACATCTCGTCCCCCCACGCTCCGCACAAGCTCGCTCAGCGTTGAACCTTGAAAACAGCGCCTGAGCGGCAACAACGCCTTCGAACTTCCAAGATGAGCAGCGCAAATGACCCGGAACGCGAGCATGCGCTCCAGGAATACACTCAGAAGCTCAAGGAGTCAAGAGAATGGGAGGCGAAGCTGAAGGCTATCCGGATGGAGATCAAGGGGCTGCAGCGGGATTTTGACGTTTCCGAGGACAACATCAAGGCGCTTCAGAGCGTTGGTCAGATAATAGGGGAGGTGCTGAAGCAGCTCGACGAGGAAAGATGTGAGTCTTTCCTTGGACAACACGTGTGGCGTTCACGGTCATATTGGGGATGCTAACATCTAGTCTAGTCATCGTCAAGGCTTCATCAGGACCTCGATACGTCGTCGGCTGCCGCTCGAAAGTCGACAAGGCCAAACTCAAGCAAGGAACTCGCGTAGCACTAGACATGACCACCCTCACGATAATGCGAATGCTCCCGCGAGAAGTCGATCCGTTAGTATACAACATGTCGCTGGAAGACCCCGGCCAGGTCAGCTTTGGTGGTATCGGTGGTTTGAATGAGCAGATAAGAGAGCTACGAGAGGTCATCGAGCTACCGCTCAAAAACCCAGAGCTTTTCTTGCGGGTTGGCATCAAGCCGCCAAAGGGCGTGCTGCTGTACGGCCCTCCTGGTACCGGCAAGACGCTCCTGGCACGAGCCGTGGCCAGCAGTCTTGAGACAAACTTCCTGAAAGGTACAATCACGCCTCCCACACATCTCGCCAAGCACGGAATTGACGAGTGATGTAGTTGTATCCTCCGCCATCGTCGACAAGTACATCGGCGAATCCGCCCGCCTTATCCGAGAGATGTTCGGCTACGCCAAAGAACACGAACCCTGTATAATCTTCATGGATGAAATCGACGCCATCGGCGGACGGCGGTTCTCAGAGGGCACATCGGCAGACCGAGAGATCCAGCGGACACTCATGGAGCTACTCAACCAGCTCGACGGTTTCGATTACCTAGGCAAGACCAAGATCATCATGGCCACCAACCGGCCGGATACTCTCGACCCCGCACTGCTACGTGCTGGGCGGCTGGACAGGAAGATTGAGATCCCATTGCCGAATGAGGTCGGTCGGCTGGAGATTTTGAAGATTCATACCGCCGGTGTGCAGACGGAGGGCGATATCGACTTGGAGAGTATAGTCAAGATGAGCGACCAGTTCAACGGTGCGGATCTACGGAACATCGTCACTGAAGCGTGAGTCGTCCCCATCTTACACGGTCTGTGGTTCTGCTGACACCCATCCTCAGCGGCATGTTCGCCATCAGGGACTACCGGGACGCCATCAACCAAGACGACTTCAGCAAGGCCGTACGTAAGATGGCAGAGAACAAGAAGCTTGAAGGTCGTCTTGAGTACAAAGTTTTGTGATTTTGCTAATGGTGAAGCATAACGACGGTGTTTTTGAGGGCTCTACCTTAGTTACACGGCTCTAGAGGCAGGCGTATCTTGTAGTATAGCGTACTCACCATGAAGTTATAACCCGGTCATGATATATTACCTGCTTAGGCGTGCCGCTCCACTATAGTAGCTCCTGGAGAGTAGGACTGATTGTTTTATCATGAGTGTGTTTCGGTGACACCTCAGGTGACCAGTGCACGAAACCGCTAAAATACTCCGTCACTCAACCTAGTTGCTGTACAACATCAGCCACGAGTTTCCTACTACTACACGACTTCAAGTCCATCCTGGGTACTGCTTCATGGTTCAAGTAAAACACATGCTCGAGTGTTAGGGCTAGTGTAGTGCCGCAATTATCGCGCAGGTAGAGCATGTGCCATGCATCGTCAGCTGTAGGGAAACGTATCTTTGCCACTGTGAACCGGTGAGACGGTGGATTGTAAAGGCTCCGAAGTGCTACTAGAACTGTATTCTATAGGCGCTGAACACAGGCTTGAGCTATGTGCAGTCTTCAAGCAACGAAAGCCCGCTCTAGGAAGTCTACCGACGGGACACTGATGTGATTTCCGTTATTTGCGACTGCTTCGTTATCGGCTGACGCTACAATGAGCTTTGGTTGTGTACTCATCAAATGGATCCGTAGATCGAATCAATACCACAATGAGTGCATGAGCGCTTGGAGGATTAACGTATGAAGGCATAGAGGAAACCTTCTATTGACTACCCCACGTACATAGAATAGCCTCAATTCGGCAATGAAGCGTAGTGCAGAAGCAGCGGTAGATCTATAGGGCCATCGACTCTTATCGTCGCTTGACCGGGTTGCGTTCGCAACTCTACCTCGTCGAAGTAGTTCGGCTCCTCTGACACCTTCTGGAAGCCTGCCCGCTCGAAAAGTCGAATGCTTCTGATGTTGTCCTTATCGACCTTGACGCGGAGGTACTTCCACCGCACATCAGCCTCCGGTAGTCGCTGCCCCTGACAGTACTCCAGAAGGATCTCCCGGATGTGGACCGCGAAGTACCACAGGAATGCCCTTAATACTTCTAACCCATAGCCCTGGCCACGGAGGTTCTTACTGGCGATCATGAGCTCAACTTCGCCAACTATATGCTTCTGCCGCTGCGTATACTCGGATTCCTCATCCGACTGTTCGTCGTCCGCTTCATGGATGAAGAGATTGACATCTCCAATCATCTTCTCGGGAGCATCATTCGCGCCATCGGCTACTACCGTCCGCTGCGATTTATACAGGTCCTCGGATGCGGTGCAAGCGATGAACGTCAACTTATCGGCGTCTTGGCGCCAGCTGCGTTGCATTGCATATTCCTCGTCCAGAGTCAGTGGCTCGGATGCTGTGGCTTTTTGTAGCTCCTGTGTGCATACGTGAGAATCTGAAGATACGAATCTGAGGTTTTGGTAAGGGATTTGCAAACCTCATCTTGCATCCACTCATGGTACGCTGGTACATGATGCTTGCTGTATGGGACTAGGAGGATCCTCCGCGTAAGGATGGCTTGACGTAGTGAGCAAGTACGGCGATATCTGTGTCGTTGGAGGGTTTCTTACCAGTATGCTCGTTGATGAGCATGTTGCAAGTGCTTCAGGGGTCTTCGGTTGCGTTTTCTCTGGATGCAGCCAAGCCAACCGGGGAACAACCAGGTTCCAAACTTACCACGACCGTCTCACAATGCGACTTTCTACTAAAGGAATGATTCATCAGAGCGGAACATATGCTGGCGACCTGTGGCACAGAGTTCGTCGGTTCGGCGATTGTGCAGGCGCTAGTCGAGCAGCATTCAGACTGCGGCGTCACGACGGTCAACGTCCACCAACCCGGCCGCAAAAGTGGTTCGTCACAGTATTTTATATTTGTCCAAGCGGACATTACACAACAGGATGAAGTACTTAGGGCATTTGAATAAACCCCCTCGTCTAACATCGACAGCGCCACGAGCATAGTGCCCGCAGAAATTGCGCGCTACACTCGTATGAGTTCAGATAAGGGCTTCAATGGTAACGTTGGTGGTACTAAGACTATGCTCGAGGCTGCCACGGAGTGCGGTGTGGAGACGTTTGTGTACACAACTAGCTGCACGGTTATAACTTACGATTTCAATCTGTACTATCTTAACATGTAATGAGGGCTGATGTCGTGGGCAGAATTCATCCAGGTTATCTGTTTCTTCAGGAAACCACGCTCAATACGAGCTGATGGATCATGCTCGAAACTTTTGCACCATGGAGACTGGCGGAGGCGACCGGTGACCCGCGAGAAGGGTGGCTTCGGCGGACAGAGACGCTCATATATATATGAAGTGCAAGCGGTAACGCTCTTGATGAGCGAATAGTTACAGTATTCGAGGAAAGAATACCGTGTGGGGGAATCTGGACAAGAAAGCCGCGCCGGTCCTCCAGCCCAGCAAGGTAATACATCTACCAGCGCTTCATGATCGAGCCCCCAAGACTCCAGCGCGCGATGTGTTTGAACAAGAGAATGCCAAAATGAAAACGACAATATGCCAGATAGATGCAGATGGGAGGCCTGCGCCGAGCCTCCAGATCCAGCCCTCGGCCCCCAAGAACAATAAGGTTACCGCCCAAAGGCTAGATCATCAGCCGGTTGGATAGATATCGTCTCTGTACCAGATACACCATGCACATAAACCATAGAAATACTCCATCCTGCCTCAACCATTAATCAAAAGCACTTTCTTCTTTCACCATGCCATTCTCCTCCGTCATACGCTGCATAGAGCTCTTCCTCTGGCCAAGCCCGAAATTCATGAGCAGCATGCCACTCTCCCGTCTCTTCTGCTTGGCTCCCTTCGACTGGCTCGGTTGTACAGCACCGTTTAGGCTGCCGAAGCCGCCATCGGATGTTGATTGCTGTGGGTGGTAAACGGATGTGTCGTACGTAGGCTGTATTGGTATGAAGCCCGTATCATAAGGGGAGTCATGGTGGGTGTTCTGTATGGGGAAGGTGGTAGGGGGCTGGAAAGTAGTCTGGTTGTATGCGGGCGTGGGTAGATCAGAGAACATCTGTCGGCGTGGCGAACGGATTGAATCGGGCGCCAAGGACACGTCAACTTTGACCTCGCGGATTGGTGATGCTGCTTCATCGACTGGATCGCCAAAGATCTCAGCGTAATCGCTCAGGAAGAACGGCATGACGGTAGCGGAGATGCCGATGCAAGGCACCCAGCATATGCCGACTGCACCTGTGTCAGCTTGTTATTCTTGTATGAATCAATGTATGCTTACTGTTGCGGACATTCATTTTATTGATCTCGTGATTGTTCGCGCACTCGACGAGGTATGAGAAGATGGCCTGTAGCAGATCGAAGTTGACCTCAGGCAGTTTATGTACCCAGAGGTTGAGGAAGGTGATCTTCTCCGCTTTCGTATGCAGTTCTGTACATGTCAGTAAAGTCTACATCGGATGTTGCAGGGAAGAAGTAATTACCGTGAATGCGAGCAAACTCCAGTTGCATTGCTTGATTTGGCGTCAGAGCAGGGGCGGGTAGGTCCCGAACATACTGCTTGAGGAGTCCTGCCACTGCATGGACGTCGATGGGCGACTCATCGAGCAGTCTCACATCGCCTTCGTTGTTGAAGCGATGCTGCAGACCCTTGAGCACATTAGTTGAGCCATTGATCCTAAAGATGCCCTCTTCATCCTTGGCGTTCCTAGCCCTGAGGTACTCCAACGATCGATAGACAACAGCAGGCACGCGTGGCTCCGCATCGGGTATGGCCGAGCACTCCACCGCTTCTGCAAGTGGGATACCAAAGACATGTCGATGCTGACTTATCTCAATGGACGGCGTCTTGGAAGGAGTCGCAATTTGTATACTGCCAGGAGCGATATCTGAAGATGAGCGACCACGTCCTCCGAAGCCGAAAATGCTACGCTTCTTATCCTTGACGGAAGTGTTTGAGGATGCCTTATTTCCCCATAGCTCGGCGTTCTGGATGACTGCACCATTGGTAGGCCCTGATATCGTTGGGTGGCTGTTTGCGGACGAGTCGTTCCCAGGCGATCCATGAAGGGGAGGTGAGGGCACACCGTTCGGACGAGGAACTGTGGGGCCACGGATGGGCGCTTCAGCCGCAACGACGTCGTCGTACCTCAGGCCTTGAACCTGGAGTCCAGTCCGGTCTATTTCGGTACTCTCCTTGGATCTGAATGAAGCTGTGTCAGGTGGTCCAAGGAGGGAAGCAGGACTTCGTGCTGATCCGGAGTCAGTGCGGTGTTCGCTATTCGGACTTTGTCGATGTGCATCGTCATCAGTATGCTCGAGCAGCGCTGATATCCACGCGTCTCTTTCTTCATCGCTCTCGGCGCAGAGAAGGTGCTTGAACCTGCTATTTGGGTCTTTCTTCTTTGCTTCCAAGACAATGAACCCATGGCGAACCTCGTTATCAGCGTCATCTGGATGCTGATTAGTATGGTCTGGCATCTGCCTTCCTTCATGCTTGTCAGTCGCACAACTGACTGTCGCGAGGTCGTATATCCACTTACCGATCTGTGCATCCTTCAACTTGATCGCACCAATCTGCGGACCACCGGCGCTGTCGTAGTATTTGAGCTCCGCACCGTCCAGAACGAAATACCTGGCTTTCCAGCCTCCATAGAACTTGCCACGCTTCGAGAGGTAGCCTTCTTTCTTGGACGTATTGTGGAGTACCGTGCTTGTTGATTGTAGAGAAGAGCTATCGGGCGTGTGAGATTCATCCGTCTGAGCACCAATAACGTCGGTCGAAAAGAATTTACAAACGACTAGTGCTGCCTTCTCGCCCATGGGCGTATCAAGCATAAGGTCGAAATAGCTCATAAGCGCTGCCCTTCTTGCGTCGATCTTCGCGGGCGCGTGGCCGGTGAACAGACCTTTGTCAGGAAGTCTGCCAGCGAACCCGCTCAATGATCGTACCTGGTAGTCCAGCTGAGGTAGCGCCATTATAGTCTTTTCGACACGCCATAGTTGTCTGCCGTCAGATCTAGCATGAATTGCCAGGATGAAAACCGGATCCTCCTCAGACTGCTTGGATGGGATGACGCTAGACCGCGACGGTTGAAGCCGTGATGAGAACACTCTGACATCGATTGATGGCAGCGCATTGGGCGGTAGAAGGAGGCCAGGGTACTGTTCCGAGATCAAGCCTTCATAGATCTGCTCACTTCCCGAAGATCCTGTAGGGGTTGTAGTGGGTGCATTGCTGCTGACGCTTGGCAGGCTATGAGTAGGCGATAACATTTCAGCTAGTGAGCTGGACTGCATTTGCTGCTGCTGATAGGCTTCCGCTCGAGCGAGGTGTGGTGAAGCGGCGGAGAGAGGTGTGTTGGGTGGTAGCGGTATGGGTTGCTTCGGCGCACGAGGGGTAAGCGGCACCGCGACGTGGATCGGTCGAGGAGATAATGGAGGAGATGCCAGGTTCTGCTTTGGCATCCGGGGAAGGGGCGAGTTGAGGGGCCGATCTGCTGGTCGGGGGCTCATTGGGAGGCCAGGACTTAGCAAGGGAGGAGTTATGATAACCTTTTGAGCAGTGGATGCTCCATTAGCATGCGCGGGGCCAAGCATAGTCGCAATCGTTGCCGCCGGTTGGGCAAGTCGCGGAGAACTTGGAAGACCTCGAGGCTGAGATTGTGCGGCAAGTGAACGGGTTTCGCTCTCGCCCCTCGGCTCGCCAGGCACTGCGGAATCGCTAGGAGGTTTGCTTTTGCTCTTGCTTTTACTCTTACTCTTGCTCCTCTTCTTAGAGCGGCTCCGGTGCTCCTCCTGCTTTTGCGCAAGCACCTCCCTGGCATGGTCGTCCTCATCTCGCGTCTTGCGCCGACCCCTCTCGAAAAGCGGAATCTCGTCAAGCTCTAAGATGTCGTTGTAATCGGAATCCGAACGTTCAGCCGCAGTAGATTGATGTAGATGTACACTGGTTGTGCCTGGTTGAGACAGATCCAGAGGTGCTGGGGGTGGCTTCCTCGACGCTTGCGCGGACTTCGTTACTGGGCTCGGGAGCGTACCTGAGCCCGATATCGGTGTAGCTTCGGTGAGAGAAAGAGACGGAGCTTTGAGATGCGTGACGACGGATGGAGCCGATATTACAGGTTTGGACCGGGAATTGGCACGCTCTGTAGAAAGCCCAAGATTTGGCTTGAGCGAGAAGTTTGAATCGCCCGGCAGCCCCCGAGCGTCTGTCTTCGTTGAAGGCGGAGACCGCTTCGGCGAGTTGCTCCGTTGCCCGTCCGAATCCTTGGGCAGCTCCGCCTCGAGTTCACTACCTTCAGAAGCTACGGGGGCTGCAAAGGCTTGTTGTTCCAGTAAGGACGACGCTGCCGAATACGGCTGCGCGTGGGGCTCGCAAGGCAAGTGCGCCACAGGGCTTTCTCGACCTGGCAGGTCTGTTGCCTGCTTGGGCATCTCCGGCCTTGTGCCCTGAGCGCTACAACTCCGAATTGAGATGTCATCCTGTAGCTCACTTAGAGCAGGGGACTGGCTCGACTCTCGTCCTACCGCTGGCTCCGGCCTTTGGGTAGCTCTAGGTAACGGCGTTACCTGAGCCATGTGCTCGTGCAGCTTCTTGCGATAGCGCTCCTTGTCCTTCAAGGCTCGTTCCAGATCCTTGTTGAGCCCTAATATCATGGTACGCTGCTTCTCTACAAGCCTCCACAGCTGCGCATGGTGCGCAGATGCGCTCTGCTTCTCCTTCCAGAGTGCATTAAGAGCAGCTTCTGGCGACCCAGCCGCAAGCACAAGAGTCCTGACGTCTAGCGGCTCCGTGGCCGTAGCGTCTGCGGAGGTCTTGTAGGATTGGGAGGGTGTCGAACGGTACGATTGCGAGTTTGAAGAGATGGACGACATGGCAGAGTCGATGGAAGGATTACGAGTCGTGATGGGTCGAGGATCCGGCCGACTCGGCTTCGAAGGTGGCATCATGGCCGTAGGGGAAGACGGAGGAGAAAGACCTGCTGAAGGAATGACAGGTGCAGAAACGTTGCGCACAGGAGTGTATGAGGATGCCTTGGCTGTATAGCTTCCAGCTTGACCTGTAGATCCCGGAGCCACAGACGACCCCCCAACAGCAAGCGAGGGGTCCTGCCGCTCCTGCGGTATGCGTGGGTGTTCGTGGCTGTACGGCGTGCGATGCGTGCTTGCGGACTGAGGTTTACTGTCGCTGGTTGGCGCAACCGAGTCTTGCGTGGATTGCTGGAGAGGTGAGGGAACTGCTTTGCGCCGGCTGCCTCGCAGGTCTGGTCCAGGAGGTGGTATATTGGGGTTCGAGGAGGCCGTCTCCCTCAGCGCCCGAACGTTGTCGGCAAGAGAGGGTGTGGAGCTCATGGCCCAGGTCCGGCTCGCTTGCCGGCTCAGACCAGCTGTAAGCAACAGCTGGGGTTGTCCAGTTGAGGATCTGAAGGTTCAGACAGCCTGCTGTCCGGCGTTGTCTCCCGGAGGATAGGTTGTGGTAGGCGTCTCGACGTTAGGCGCTGTACCTGTGTGGTGTGCACCTTCGCACATCCGCTAGTGAGCATGCACCCTCGTCCCCGGTTTGATTACGCTCCTAGAACGGGCGTCTGATTGGTGGTATACAACTGTGCTCCTGCCACTTCAGGCCGTCACAGGGCTATATAGCGTAAAGCGCCGAGTTCAGACTATCATTCGAGTGTGCGAAGGTGGTGTAGAGGCAAGTTGGACCCTTGTCATCGACGATTCAAGCAATGCACTACGCGGCGGCAGCCCATACTCGCACCGTACGGAGTTATATCAGGGCTTGCAGCAGCTTTGACGGATTAGAGGGGAAACTTGTAACGTATGTATTAGAGGCTGATTCAGGCAGGAACGCGGTCCGGCATGCGCGTACTCGTACAGCAGCATGTCAGACGGTAAGCTGATATCAGAAAGTTCGTCGTCAAAACCTGCCCAAGTGGAATGTATCAAATTCCGCCATCCGCCGCTGGCCAGCTATGTACGGAGCAATCTGCCGGAAAGCGGCGACCAAGGATGCATCACGCAGGCACCGTTCGCACTCGCTGCACTCGACGACTTTTGATCACCTCAGTTGCGTGTGCGCGCTCGCCAATCCAGTTTCGCAGTGGCATGGAGGCCTCCAGGTTGGGACCAAAGCGCTTCCCTGAGCTGAAACACGACCGCCCGCTGCACCCCAAATCGCCGCCCAAAGCCTGAACCCCAGCAGTGTGGGGCGGCCAGCCGGTGTGGTTGTTTCAAGGGGCGCATATCGCCGCCCATTGGACGGGGCCCGCTTGTGGCGTGCAAGTCTTCTGGTGTCCGTCGTCTGTGGTGGGCATCTTGCATTTCCGTTTCCGCACTTTCCGCCCTGCAGTCGACCGGGGCACGAGGCCGCCATGTGGAGCCTCAACTCAGGGGACGAGCATCAACATCTTAAGACGACGAGCTCCCAGCAGGCGGTGAGGAAGTTGAGATCAGCGGCATCTTGGCTTCTAGAGAGAGAGGCTGTCAGGACGCTTCCTCGGCTTGCTTGGGGCGTGCAATCATCATCTCCCAAGGTTAGGCTGCTTCATGCACGGTTCGACGCGAGGTACCGAATTCGGACTGAGGCTGCGGCGGCTGCGCAAGCTTTACCCGCAGCTGTTGGCCTGCCCGGTGGGCGTGATATCTTGGGACAATCTCTCATGGAGGAATCCATCGTGGCAACCGCTCTGGGTCAGTACAGCCGCGAAGAAACCATGCAATACAGTAACAGCCGGTCGATGCAAAGACCCAGACAGTCGAGCGCGGCGACTACGATCTGCTCGTTGATTGTTCCCTAGGATCTTCTTTGGCGTCGCGCTAGAGGTAATACCGAAGATACTCTGATACCTCATCACTTTCTGACCAGCCATCGCTCTCCACGGCTGTGCTTTCTCATATGTCGTCCAGACTCTCGGAAGCACGCCTGCTATGCAAGTTCCCTTAACTAGCGCTCTCGAGGGGCACCGCAGATTGAAGACAGCGGGAGATAACAGACTACCACGCGAGCTTCGGATGGGTAAACCATACCGCCAGAGTGATCAGCGAACCCCGGAACCGTTGCATATCATCAGAGCTCTGCGCTCGAGGTTGGTATCTCTCGAACCAGATTTATCGAGCTTCAAGCTACACGTTGAAATTCGCTTATCCGTTTTCAATCCGCTCGCCGAAGCACATCGCGACTTTAAGCGGAGATGGCTAACAAGGGTAAAATATATCTCTACTGACAAGGTGATTGGCACCTTTGTTTCCTTCCAATGTGTACGCGTAACGACCACAAAATAGCCGTCGACTGCCATTTAAACCGTTCCTGTTTGATGAAGGGACACGGAGATGCGCATGACTCGAAACCTGGTGCCTGCGCGGGCATGATGCTGTGTAACAACATGCTTTCAGCTCTACGGTACACACTCATCTCCCCTATATATGCCGGGAACGCCACTCAGCCCAGCTAGTTCCCATTATCTCTCACTTCCGCCCCCTCAAGCGCGTCCAATCCGTTCGTTGACTGCCCTTCAGAACACCCGCAGATACATATTTCAATTAAGGCTCTTACGCAGTCCAACATGACGCCAAGCCTCAAGCCTCTATACTCTCCACGCCACACCATTGCGCGATGAAGAGTGCAATTGCGGTCGTTATCCGCTTCAAACTCTTTACACTTACCCCCTCATCGAAGCCATGGATGTTCTTGCTGATCGGTCCATAACAGAGCGCTGGGATCTTGTCGTACAGCACGTGGACCCGGGTATCCAGGTATCCAGCCGTCATGAAAGTCTGCAATTCGTCGCCAGTAGCACACTTATGCGCTTGCGCCAGGCAGTTCTCAGCCGCTGACTCTGTCTCCATCTCATATCCTTCGGAGAAGAAGCCGTTCCAGGTCACCTTCGGTGGCGTCTGCGACAGGAACGGATCCGACTTCGCAAAGTCAGCAATCTTCTGCTCGATCTCGGCTGCAGCCGCAGCAGCAGGCGTTCCAGGGTAGATGGCGATGCGGCAGTCGATACGACACCATGCTGGCACTGAGGACGCCCAGTCACCGCCTTCAATCTTGCCAATGTTAAGATTGATGGGGTGGGCCTCGTCCTTGAAGTTTGCGCTCAAGGTGGACTTCCTGGCGTTCCATCCTTCTTCCAATTCGCGGAGGGAGGCGACCACGCGGTATATGGCATCGATTGCGTTCGCGCCTTTACCCATTTCTCTGACATGAACTGGAGTTCCCCTAACCTCCACCTGGAACCACAGAACACCGACATTCGCTCTTACTAGCATCTCCTCCTCTGGCTCTGGGATCACCACAGTGTCCGCCGTATAGCCTTTGAGATGGGCCATCAGCGTGCCGTTCCCGGTGCTCTCTTCCTCAACCACGCTTTGCACGGTAACTTCTGCTGCCGGCTGTAGGTCAATACTTCTGAGTGCATCTAGCGCGTAAAGGTTCGCCGCACTGCCGCCTAACATATCAGCCCCACCACGTCCGTAGAGCCAGTCGCCCTCAATGACAGCCGAGTACGGTGGGTGCGTCCATAGATCCTTAGGACCGGTGGGCACGACGTCAACATGCGAGTTCAATATCAGACTTCTCCCCTTGGTCTCGCGCGGCTTGTGTACAGCAACCACGATGGGCGCTTTAGAGTGCTCAGCGGAGAATTTGCCGGCGCCTTCATGGGCGGAGATGAGTGCTTCGTCCATGTCGAATTTGTCCATGGCGTAACCACGTGACGCGAGCTGCTGGTAGACATGTTCTTGGATGGCGAATTCCTCGCCGCGTTGGCCGCCGAAGCGGATCAGCTCTTGGGTGTAGGCGATCTGCTTGTCGAAGTTCGACTCTACGGCTTTGACGATCTTGGTGGTGAGGTCCTCGCTCAGTGGTTGAGGATCTGATGCCATGCTTGCTGCTCCTGATAGCTGGACTTCTCAGCTACTTGGTGCTTTGAGTACGCAGTCCTCAGCGTGGTCTATCTTCTAGTCTTCCTTGAGATGGGTCAAGGCTGAGTAGCGCTTCGCTTGAAAGTGTGTTGGTAGAAGGAAGGTAGCTCTTGTCTTTAGTGGAGCCGGCAATCGTGTAAGCGCACGCGGTCGTACGATGCAGTCAAACGCGACAAGATAGACTTACGTAGCGTGGATTTCAGGTCCCAAGTTGAGTTTATAGATCGATGAAGGTGTTCGAATTGTTTACTCATATAAGTCGACTACCTGAGCATGAATCGATGGAGGCGGGGAACTTGAAGCGGAAGCCAGCGGGAACCCAGAAAGGAAGGTCCGCGTCAAGCAGTCGTCCAAATTTACTCACTTGGTTACTCGCGAATCTGTCCTGCCAAAAGACAGCTGAAACGAACACAAAAGTGATGTGAACTGGACGGTAAGTTAAGCATTGAGCTCTCATTGCCTCCAACTTCTTCGGAGGGGGCAGAGCTGGACTCCGCAGTGTTGCGTGGGACAGCAGCGGTGCAGAGCTCACCCTCGCCATTTCATCTCACTTCACAGTATTTCCATTACTGAACTCAACCCGGCTCTCACGCAATACTTCTCTTTCTCGTCTGCTTTATAATGCCCGAGGTGCACAATCTGGTTGTCCAATGTCAGACAATACCTTCGGCACAGCAAGCCACAGTAAGCCTGTTCGACGGCTACAAGCTAATTCAGCCTTGCCGCATTTCAGCTTCAATCTCACCACGTCTGGGCATCTGTAGTCTCGCCGTAGATTTGCAACGTCTGATGGACATCTGACTTATCTCGTCCCGCTCTTACCTCAGTGTATTTTCTTGTATGGAAGCAATATGCACACCTAGAGTCGCAAATCGATATCTAGGTATATAGAGACGAAGGACTCCACCGCTATGGAGTATGGCAACGCCGCAGGCCATCTCCGATATATCATTCAATCCACCGGACAGCAATATGGCTGACACTACACCGACGCTTACGAGCCTTACAGCTCAGATTGCATCGTCGGCCGCTGCCCATACAACAGCATCTCGAAAGAAACAAGCTCCAGGGGCCTTCTTTTGCCGCTGATGCACCGACATCACTTCCGGCCGACCCCGAGCTGCAGAACGCGCGAATGACCCTCATTGCGGCCGCTTCCTCACTTCAATGATTAGCGGCGGGTCCAGCAGAATTCATGAAGTGGCAAGCCATAACCGTCTGTACCTCTTCCGCTTGAGCATAATCCGAAATCGTGCTCACTTACACCGCGTACTAGCTCAAGCACGGTCAGTTTGTGCTGGACTTCCTGAATCAGTACCGCGTGTTCGAAGCCGTGCCCCTCGACGGCGATATTCCTTACGCCGGAGCTCGCCTCAAAAGTCGGAGTCAGTGAGAGCATCCTCCGCCGTGTCATCCAGCATAGCATGATGAAGCATACCTTTATCGAGACAAGGACTGGCGCCGGGAGGGTTGTCCACACAGCGAACTCGGCTTTTGTAGCCAGAACGTGGTTCGGTCTCAACTTCGAAGAATGCGTCGCGGGAAGCGTTAAAGAGGTGAAGGTGATCAGGACCTATGGTGACAGCCAAGAACCAAACGAGAGCGCCGAGTGTATAGCTCTGAATAGGGGATTACTGGAAGAAGGAAGGACGATCTTTGATTCCTTCGAGACGGACGGTGAGGGAGAACAAAAAGGACGGAGGATGAGACGCTTTGGAGAGGGCATGAGAAGCGCGACACAGACAGGGGCGTACAGCGGTCATCATGTGCACGCAGGCTTGGATTGGGATGCGCTAGGAGACGCCACTGTCGTTGACATAGATCTTCCCGGGTCATATCTTGGTCTGCCTGGTATGTGCTAACAGTTGCATAGACTGGCGGCTCGATAGAACATGTCTTTCGAACTCGCAGAAAAGCACCCTAACTTCAAATGCGTAGTGCAGGACTTTGCTGGCTTAGAGCCACAGTTTGACGCCACGCTGCCGGCCGACTTGAAGGACAGGGTTACCTTCCAAGCTCACGATTTCTTCAAGGAGCAGCCAGTCAGAGGCGCAGACGTGTACTTCATGAAGCACATCCTGCACGACTGGTCCGACAAATACTTTCTCAAGATCCTACGAGCCATCGTGCCAGCGATGAAGGACGGGAGCCGTATCGTCGTTATGGATGGCGTGCTGCCACCACCCGGCACAGCAGCTTTGCCCATGGAGCGCCTCCTGACGGCACTGGACTTACAGATGGTGACGGCGCTGAATGCGAAAGAGTGGTCTCGTGAGGAATAGGTTGCGCTGTCCAAGGAGGCGGCTCCCAGATTGGAGGTCAAAGGTGTCGTGCAGCCGCCTGGAAGCGCGGCCGCTGTCATTGAGGTTGTGTTCAATGGCTGAGCCATTCTGATCTATGACCTCATGTAAACCTAGCATCAACACGGGCTGCACCACACAAAGCACAATCCCTCGACGCGCTCTTTATTCGTTTCCGATGTCTGATATTGCTTGTTTCTCGGTTACAAAACTACCATCCAGTCCACCACCCCATCCTTAGAAGCGCTCGTATTACAGCATTCGTAACCCATTTGAACTAAATGCACTCTCCTCCGCTCCCGGAAAGCGCCTCGCACGAGGTCCAGGAATTTTTACCCGGTATGCCTCGCTGCTACGGAATTTAGGCAATCCTTTGCCTGCATCAGGCCACCTCTGTGACAAGCAATCCGGCTCGGGCGTAGCTTGACTGCCTTGGAAGGAGCCTCCAAGATAGTAACGACTGCTCGGTCCCGCAACCAGCAAGCATCGTGACCGCGCAATCACCACTTGGCCCAAATCCGCGCCCTTTGTGGTGCGCATGCAGGTCGGCTGAATGACTCTTCTCTCAGCCTCCCTTCGGTCAGCTTTAGCCACCGCAATGCCCTAGCCATTTAACGGTCCAAACAGGTAGCGCCTGGCCTAATACTCCTTCTCGAAGGTCTTCATAATGGGGTTCGCCGCCTGAGCCAGTTAGCATCGGAGCCTCCAGTATACTCGAACGAACGGACGCCGATCTAAGGTACCTCGATGAACTTCTCCAGATCCTTATCCAACTTCGCAAGGTCATCCCTCTGCTTCTTATTCTTCGCAATCAAGCCCTGCTTCTTCTTCAATAACCCCTGCCGGCTCTCCTCCAGCGCCTGGCGCTCCGCATGCTCGTGATTAATCCGCGCAATCATGAGCGCGTTCTCATCATCGCCCATATGCTCCGGGAACTTCTCGAGAAAGTCCTCGAGGGGTATTAGCGGTAGTTGCTGGTACTTGTGCCTAGACGCCCAGCATCAGCGCCGCTCCTTTCCGCAAGCCCTCTAGCTTCCAAAATAGAATTCGAACCACTCACTCATAAGCCTCACAAGCGCCAATCTCCCCCCTCAGATGCCGCTGCTCATAATACAGATTCTGCAGCTGCAGGTGCAGGGTGTCGATCTCCTGGCGCGCCTCGGCCGTCGCCTGCTTGGTCTGGCGCACGCCGAGGATGGCGCTGCGGTTCAGGCCGCGGACTTGGGCGAGGTAGGAGTAGAGGAGCTTCTGCTGCTTCGAGAGCTCGAGCTCGGTTTCGCGAGGTGGTGGGGTGTTCGGGGGGAGAGGGTGTGCGTCCAGGAGGTCGAGCAGGGCGACGCATTGCTGGCGCGCGAGGTCGGCGGCGGAGAGGACGGAAGTGAGGAAGGGATCGATGATTATTGAGGAGGGTTGGGAGGTCATTTTGAGAGGGTGTGAGAGGTGGATGCTGCTGGATGGAGATCTGGGGTGCAGCTCGGGGTGGAGCTTGCGTGGTTGCTTGTCACGGAGGTGTTGCTGCAGGTGGAGTTGACGGATGCTTCGACTGTCAGAGCGCTGCCAATCCTTGTAAGGGCACCCTGAAGATGAACGATGCCTTTCTCGGACTTTGCAGCAAGCAAATGGCTGTTGTCAAGGCTGTTTTGTTTGTCGCTGCATACAATATCGAACTTCCACTCCGCACAAGGCTTCCAGGTTGTCGCGAATTGCGCAAACACGAACACGGGAGCAATGCGCGACCGCTGCATGGTCCACATGTCCATACCTAGGTAGGTACCTATGCCTCCGATTCCCCGGGCGCAAAAACTTCGAGCCCTGCCAAGACCGCGGCGTTCTGCCCTTGGCCCACCATGACGCTTGCCCCCAGGCCCCCAGGCCCCCAGGCCCCCAGGCCCCTCAACACCATCAGTCCAGCCACTCGAGTCCCTTCCCGCCCGCACCGTGCAATCCCGTGTTGGCCTTCAATTGCTTGCTTTTTCTGAACTGTCCTTACAGCTGTACTAAAGTTCCGTCCAACAGCCCCTCCTTCTCTCCGCCCGTACAGCGTCTCTCGCCATCTAACTGCTTGCCCATCTGACATTCCTCTCCCGGCCAAGCGCTCGGCCTAGTGTATATCCTCTAATACCACCCGCGCGTTGAGCGTCGTCGCAGGCTGCACCTCGACTCCCCCACATTCACCCAACGTGCCACTCCATTCGCAATGTCCTGCACAGCAACAACGCTGATGACCGTGTCACACGAAGAGCCGGCGCTTGGATCAAGCTCGAGCAGGTTGTTGGCCAGAGGAGAGTTCTGCAGGCGGCGGCACTCCTCATACCAAGTGCGGACATGGGCGGCGGAGCACCAAGAGAACGTGCAGCTTCTGGTGGGTCAACGCGCTCTTGCATGAGACACGCAAAAGACAAAGCGCTGACCAGCTACATCCAGGTGGACCGCTTCCTCGCAGAACTGGGGCGCAGACTCGACTTCCTGGAATCGTACGGCCACCTTGACCTCGACGCGAGCATTGAGAGAGCGTGGTCGACACTCCATGCTGTCCGTGATTCCTGCTCGCATGTCTCGGATGGCGTGCTCGACGCTGGCCGACGACGGGCGAGCGTCCTGGTGGAGACTCTCGAGGAGCGATACAATAATGCGCTAGCGAAGAAGGAAACACTGGAGCAGAAGGTGCAGGAAGGCGTGCGACTACTGGAGACCACGCTGTCCGAGTTCGAGAGCCGAGCGTATGCGGTGCGGGATCGCGGTCTAGGAACTACGGCCTATGATCTAATCGATGGGGGGCTGAAACGTATGGACGAAGGCATAGAGAAGGCGAAAGAGGTAGTGGACGAAGGGTTGGAGAAAGCGCGCAGGGCAAAGGAGAGTGTGAAGGAGAGCATCGAGTACACGATAGAGCGAGCGTTGGCGCGAGCCAAAGAGCACGGGCTCATCACCTACGAGGATCTTCCACACCCGTGGAGGGTAAACCCGCATATCCTCAAGGGATACCGGTTTCATCAGGGCAAGCTCGAGTGCGTCCGCTCGGTGCTCAGCCTCTCGAACGAGCTCGTCAATATATGGTCGCACGCCATTGGTCTAGTCATCGTCCTCACCATCGCCTTCTATTTCTACCCGACAAGCGCCAACTTCTCCAACTACACCAAGCCCGACGTGTTCATCGCTGCCATCTTCTTTTTCGCAGCTTGTAAATGTTTGGTCTGCTCGACCATGTGGCATATGATGTCGTCAATCGCCGAGCAGAACCTGATGGAGCGGTTTGCATGTGTCGACTACACTGGCATATCGCTCCTTGTCGCGGCCTCGATCATGACGACTGAGTACACGGCTTTCTACTGCGAACCGGTCAGTCGGTGGGTATACATGCTCACCACAGCCTCGCTGGGCGTCGGCGGCGTGATTCTTCCGTGGCACCCCACGTTTAACCGCGCAGACATGGCCTGGGCGCGCGTATGCTTTTACGTTTCACTAAGCGCTACCGGCTTCTTCCCAGTATTCCAGCTCGTCCTGACGCGCGGGCCCGTCTGGGCAGCGTACTTCTACGCCCCGATCGCGAAGAGCGTTCTCGTGTATCTGACCGGAGCGGTGCTGTACGCCTGCAAGGTGCCGGAGCGGTGGTGGCCGGGCATGTTTGACTACGTCGGGGGGTCTCACAATCTATGGCATATTGCGGTGCTTGGAGGCATACTGTTCCACTACATGGCCATGCAGGACTTCTTCGCGCAGGCGTTCTTGAGAGCGCAGACGCACTGCGCGGTACGCTAGCTTTCTGTACATACACAGCGGCTGAGCCCGCCGGGCCGACTTCCAATGCATACAAGTTCCGCATTCCGAATCTGACGTCTGCTATCTATGCCGTGGCTCAGCAGTCCAGGGCTCAAGACGACCGGTGACACTCTGATACGGGTCCGAGCAGGCTGTGAGGGTTTTGACTAGGCCGAGACGCTGACCTGGCGCGGCACAAGCACCCACATGTTATGCGGTGCCCGTCAGGTTCGAAGAATGTGACAATCACGCCAAACCTGTCCCACTGCCAGTTCTCCTTTCCTGTCCACGTTGTGGAAGACAATAGGGAGGCCCAGGACATGTGATGTGCCTCGAGCGAGCTTTCCACAGAGGCCTCAGGCAGCAGGAGCAGCCAACCCCACTCCTGTGGCGTCTCCCGCCAGCGATCTGCGCAGCGCTTCTGCAAGGCTGCAGAAAAGCTCCCCAACTGTGCGTCTTCGAACGCCCGTTTCTGTCGCAGCGGCCGTTGCCTAGCCCTTCTCGCCCTTCATTGCTCCAATGGGAAGCGGCAACCGGTCACGGAAACGCTCAGTCGCGCTTGACTCGATTTGTAACCCTTGCAGCGATGACGCCGCGTGAGCCTGTTCTTCGCCGTGAGAGCCTCAACCGCTCCGCCAGCAGAAACCCATAAGATGATTCGCCTTGCTAGTGTCGATCCTCTGTCCAACTACAAGGAGGAGTCCTCGGAGCCTCGGAGCCTCGGAGCTTCGGATTCGCTGGAGTGAACCATGAGCGAGATTGCGTCCATTGCTCAGGTCGTTGCAGAGGGGACCAGCTTGTCGCTCGCCCTGCATGAGTTTGGAGCGCTGGTGCCTACCGCCACCGAAGACGTTCGTCGGATTGCCAAAGCCCTCACCTTGGTGTCTCTGGAGCTTAGACAGGCCGGCGAGACTCTAAGACAGGATGATTCCATCGCCTCCGGGGAGGCCATTGAGACTATCCAGGACATCCTCCAGCAGTGCGAGGCTGTGTACTCTGATATCGAGGCAGAAGTCCCAGTAAAGAACATTACCAGTGGGAGTGACCCCAGGACGCATCCTCCGCCGAGATGGAGTCTAGCACGCAGAAAAACAATGGAGTCTCTCCTGGCGCAACTAGAATCGCTGCGCCTCACGGTATCTGCCATGATACAGGCGTTTTGCACTGGCAGGATCATCGCGGGGTTCCGGTAGGCATATTTCAGTTTTTCCTCTTCCGAATCTTTTCTGATTGTTCCAAATACAGAGCACAGACTGCTCTCACTCCGGAAAGAGCGAGGACTGCCATCTCGAACGAGAGGAGACAGCTACGGACTCTTGTCATCGAGCAACAACTTTCCTTACTCCATGCATCCAAGGCCTTCGATGAGTATCGGCAGAGCAGCGAGTATACACCGGACGCACCCATTGGGCTACTGACCCAAAATGGTGAAACGCGGCCTGGTGAGCGAGCCGGGGAGCATCTGCCGGCGTCCTTGGAGCTTGTCAAATATCAAGAGCCTTCCCTAGCCGACGTGAAGCCATCTGAAACAGACACTGAATGCCTGGCTCGGATACTACAAGTGTCTAAACCGTACGTCGAGGTTCTCCTTGCCCAATGGACCAGGCTCCCGGAGATCGAACGGCGGATCAATCAGACAAGATCAGGCATTGAAATGTCAAGACAACGCGAAATAGACGACAAGAGACGAAGCCAGCAGCCATACGCCGAGTCCGTGTTCGATAACAGTGACGACGAGCTCCGGGAAAAGCCAGGCTTCAGGCAGAAGCAGCGACATTCTCCTGGGCATCGACCAAACAGTCCACTGTTGAGTGCAGCTTTCGAGCGTCCGCCGTTAGCTGTCCCTAGGCCGAAGACCCCTGTATCGCGCTCTTCCGCCTTTCCCATCTCGCCCAACCAGGCTTTCCCAGCAAGTCCTCCGATGTCGCCTAGCATTCCGCCCCCTCCTAATAGACCGCCTTACCCAATCTCAACCCATTCCAACTATGCCGTAAATGCTCACACATCGCCAAGCTCGAGCTTTTCTGCTAGTTTGCCAACATCCCCTAGGTCCAGTTTTTCCGCTAACGGTTCAACTGTCGGCACGTCGCCGTCCATCAACGTAAGAAAAAGCAACGAAGAATTGAGGGGTGGCAGACGTGGGATCGGCTGGCGGCTGTTGCTGCACAACAGCTACTGGGACTTCATTGATGACAAGCTCGTCGGCAACAACCCGCAGATGCCTTCTCCCCAAGTCTACGCCGACCGACACACTCAGACCGAAATCGCCAAGACATGGGTGAGTGAGGAAGCGCTCCGAGAAGCCCAGCTGCCCTTCACCCAGATACAGAAGGAGTACAAGGACAACGGGCGTACAAAGTTCGAGACGTGCTTTTTCATCAAGAAGGCCTTGAAATATGTAAGCTGCACCTTCTGTCTGCCCGATATCCCTTTCTTGGACGCCATACTAACCCCCTCCCAGCCCGACATCAAGCGCCTCGTCGACCGCAGCACCGTCATCAGCGGCCAGACACGCCTATCCCAGCAATATCAACCGCAGCAACCGCAGCAGCAACAGCAGCAACAGCAGTACCGACCACAACACCACCAGCAACCACCGCAACAGCGGTACGCTCCACCCCAACCTCCGCCCCTCGACCGCTCCTACACCGCCCCCTCCGCACCCCCGCAATATCTTAGTCCCATCTCCCCACGCTACCCACCCGGCCCGCCGGTACCTCAACCACCACCACCTCCACCCTATCAACAATCTTACTCAAACCGCGCAGCGAGTGCGGCTTACTATCCTGACGACTCGGCCAGCAGCTCGAGCGACTATTCTGATGGCAACAACCATCGCTCGTCTCATCATCGGTCGTCGTCGAGGAAGAGGAGGGGCAGTAATAGCGAGGGGAAGAAGCATAGGAGTGGGCGCGCGGCGGTGGGGACGTTGGTGAAGGTTGGGGGGTTGGCGGCGTTGTTGGAGGGGTTGAGTGATATCGCGATCTGATGTGAGGCTAGAGGGGTGGGCAGCTGAGTCGGGATGTTGGAGGGTTCGGAGAGGGTTGGGTTGGGGCGTCATTGGTAAAATCCATGTGTAAGATTGGATCCTCTGATGAGCTCAGTTATTGAAACAAGAGCGAGCTTAGGGATTGGATTGGGGTAAAAGTAAGCTTGCGGGGGAACCCTTTTGGATTACACATGGATCGCGAGCCAACACACCAAGTCCTTGTTGCCCGGTACTCTTCTATTCCTACTACGAGTAATGCAGGATTATCTGTAGTAACACGATTTGGTGACCGCGGTTATCAAGCGGAATCCGCCTATGCAACTACGTAGAGCGTAACTCTCAGCAGCATCTCTTGAGAACGAGTCAACTTCCACTGGTTGTCACATTTCTTTCTCCATCATGCGTCAGTTCCACAAGAGCACCGTAACACCTAGCATGTCCAAAGAACACCATTTCAACGCCCGGAGCGCACTTCCGCAGACCTCCATGCAATTTCCACCCTCTCCACCACATACGCAAACCCCCTTCCCATCGATGTATGACACCGAAAGCTTCACCACTGAGCTCGGCAGCTCACCTGATAAATACGCTCCGCTCATCGGCGAGCCCCGTTTGGGCTTCCTTGATGCTGCGAAGTGGGAAGACTTCACGTCGCGCCTTCGGGACGCGGGCATGGCATCGGACGCACCTGGCAGGGCGGCCGTTGACGTGGCAGTGGTGCTCGACTATTAAGAGAGGAGATTCGATACGCTGCGTGGCTGCCTTCCAACGCCGGTCACCAAAAAGTCATGCTCGGCCTCTGCACTGGTTTGGGCGAAAGGATCGAGCATGATCTTTCACACTCGGCCTCGTTTCATGGGTGCGGCAATCGAGCTGGGCCGGAGTGCCTCACCGAGAGAGTGGCTACGCTGCACCCTCTATCAGTGTATCGGAGGTCTCTAGGTCCGGGTCCCGGCTGCTATGAAGCAGGGCAGTCAGGATGGTGACGGCGAAGGTCTTTCGGGTTGCCGGTGGTGAAGTAGGCGAAGACGCCCACGCCGGAGCACCTCTCGTGTATAGTGCTGTAAGGCTATAAGTTGAAGCTCCACGCAAACTAGGTAGCATGACCTACATGTGTTCTGAATTTCTGACGCCTGCGGCTATCTGATCCGATCCTCCCGGGCGATATCCTCATCTGAAAGGCCTTCGTTCACGTTCTTCATGTATTTGTCGAACTTGCTGGATACACTGATAACGTGCCTGAGGGCCTCGAAGTCCACTGGCCTCTTCTTGTACTTGGCAAGCTGGCGGGCAGTGGTGACAGCATTCCGTATCTGCCTACCGTTCATCTCATATTTCGAAAGGTCATCGAGATGCGCATGGAGATCTTCAATATCGATCTTCTCCGCTTCGAAGGACTCAAGCCGCTCGATGAAGTTCGTCCAGATCTGTTTCCGCTGCCCTTTTTGAAGCGACTCGTAGCGCAGGGCAAGCTGAATGCGGGACTTGAAGGCCTCGTCAAAAGTGGCTACGCGGTTGCTGGTAAGGATAAGAGTGCCATCGTAGTACTCTAGTTCTCGCAGGAAAACAGATACAAGTGCGTTCCTTTGCAGGTCCTCAAGGTTTCGTTCCTGAAGGAAGACTTCTGCTTCATCAAGAAGCACGACGCAGCTCCAGATCTTGCCAAGCAGCAATACCTTCGTAAGGTACTTCTCCACATCGATTGGGTTCGTTCCGATATCGCCACATGTGACCCGGTACAGTGGTTTCTCTGCCAGTTCCGCCACGCCTTCGGCGGTATAAGTCTTTCCAGTCCCCGGGCCCCCATGAAGTAGCATGATCAGGCCGTTCCCTTTTCCAGCCATGAGATCCGTGGATTTCTCAGACTCGATCTTGTTCGTGATAAGAGCGGTGATGAGCTCTTTAGTTTCGTCGTCGAGTGCCAAATTCCTGAACGCCGCCTTGTTCCACTCGACAGGTAACATGTAGTCGACTAGAAGCTTTACTGCGATCATGCGTTAGTGTGATTTACTACTGCTCATCGGAGATCACTAACTCCATTGCTTCTCTTGCATGTTAAAACCGAACGCACTATTCGGAAGCAACATCAAGAACTCCTCGTTTGGTGGTTCGTCTTTCTCCATGGCCCCCGATTCGAGATCGTTTCTCAGTCGACCACTCTCTTTAAAGAAATCTGCCTCCGGATGGGTCAGCCTGAAGGTGTTGATATCAATCATGAACCGGACGTTCTTCTACAGAGCGGAAACGATCAGTCCTAACCAGCACCCAGCACTTCATTGAACTTACTGTGTACTCGTTGTGATTGTAGTTCCAACCACAGTATGAGACATATCGTCTGAACCGACAATCCCAGAACATCTGTCCTCTACGCAGGAGCCTCTCCTTTGTTGCTTCTTCCGCGTACCGAGTCGGATAAGCAGCCATACCACGGATTAGGTAAGTACCGTCCGATACTAGGGGCTGAACAATACTCTTTCCTTCTGTCGCCTTGCTGAAGTGACCATCGAACTTCCAGGTATTAGCGTAGAAGCTAATCTCCATGGCCAACTTGGACTCGTCCTCGTTCCCGGAGATAGGCTGCGACCTCTCCTTCATCACAGGCCAAGAACTTTGCAAGTATGTCTTATCGTACGCTTCGTCGCCCTCCTCATTCTTCTCTATAATAGTCTCGCCTGGCATCTAGACACTCAATGTTAGACCGTGCGGCTCGAACAAGCGACATCACCAGAGAGAAAGCCAGGGTGTACTAACGAAGATATACTCCAGGTAACGATCGCATATCAGCCCATTGGCCAACATCTCCCGAACTGCGGCATACTCGGAATGCATATGCTTACGGATGTATTCCAAAAAAACGGTTATCTGCTTTCGGTCATTGCTAGGCATGTGGCTGAGATTTGTTCGAATGTGTTCCTCCTCATGAAACATCCACAAGTAAGGCCCTGGTATCTCCTTATCCTCGTCAAGCTTTGGATAGAGCTCGCGGCGTATTGAAAACCCAGTCACGACGAGCAGCGCATGATGTAGATCTACCGAGATGATCTGAACAGATTCGCTGCAGGGCTCCGGCTCGTTACCGCCACTGCGATTACTACCCGGCGCCTCGGTGTCGCAACAGTAGTAGTCTTTGAAGACAATGAAAGATAAATGAGGATTCTGAGCCACATAAACTTCAATATTTGGAACGAAATCATGAGTATGGTAGCGTAGGTGATCTACGTCTTCATCGTCAGAGACAAAATAAGGTCGGCCTTCGCCAATTCTTGGAAGTTGGCCTTGACCGATCATTTGGAACTGCCCTTGGCCGATCGTTAGAGATCCGTCGGCGGCTGCACAACTGATTCTGTGAAGAATGCAATACTGTGCATTATGTTGTGTCGGCTGAGGTGGGACCTGATCATCATGGGAGGTATCCAATCTACCCTGAGCTGCTGTGACTGCTTTTAGCAGAGCGCAATCAGAGACGTCGGGGTTCTTCTTGATAAGCAGGCATACTACGTCTCGCCATCCAATCGAATAGTTTGTTGTTGATGAGTGCGTTGCGTCTTGCTCAGGGATCCCCGGATGCTCGTCTGGCTCCTCGCGATCCGAAGATGTAGACCATGCTTCGTCATCCGGTGGGCTAGCCGCCCGCTCCAGAGGTTTATGGGTCAGGTGCTTGTTGAGGCCCTTGCGAGCTACGTGCCTTGCTATAGGTCTAGGTTCGCTATGCTCATTCATGCGTCCCTTCGCGGAGTTCGGAACGCTTGCTTGAGCGACACATGTAAGTGGAGGAGGTCGCAGGTATTGCACAGCACGACACTCGGCAGAGGGAACACCAGGGAAAGCGATGTTCTTGCCCCTGGATCCTAATTTCCGCCCATCAAGCCTTGTTTCTCGTGGTGTCTTATCCGAGGGTGCTGGTTGCATCTCAGGTATAGACTGTGGTAGGAGAGAAGGACGTAGATAAGCGTCATTAATACGCCTGACAGGATTTATGAACTCGTCGCGTTCTTTTGACATGGCACCTGGATCATCTGTTTCCGGTAGCGTCTCGGACTTTGGTTGGAACATTAACGACAGCGCTCGCCTGACCAATTCTTCGGCGTCTGCAGTACGGTCTTGTGATATGGTATGGTCTGTCGCTCCTCGTTGATTCCGCTCATTCTCGAAGGGATGCTTCGCCGTTTTGTCACGCTCTTGATCTTTTTCAGAGAGTACGTCTTCAATTGTCCTCAAAAAGGTACGCGGCATGCTAACGGGTCTATGGGAATCTAGCTGGCGGGCTCTGTTCAGCTGCTCGATCGGGTCGCGTGGCTCGTGATAACGTGCGTTCGGGGCATTGTGAGCACGGTCGTCAAAGGAACTGCGGAACTCAGCTGCATTGTGGCTACTCTTTATGAAAGATCCCTTCAACAGGTCAACGGTCTGGTGATACATTGTAGTCAGAGTATGACCACATATCTCTTTGGGTACCTTTACACTCGGCGTAATAGCATTGCCTAAACCATGAGGCTGCTGGCGCGGCCGCCGTCGCACCCCTGTCTGCGCTCTATGCTTCTCTCGGCGGTCCATGATACAGATATATTCGAAGCTTCACGTAGCCAACGTTGGATAGCGCCTTTGCCGTGTATACTGGAGATTCTGAAACCTCTCAGCTACGGTGGACGATGGATCTTGCGCCCAAAGCTCCCACCGCACGGATGAAGACTTGGGTGACTTAAAGGATACGTTTTCCAGTTATTAACAGTCGTTGTCGCTCCTACAAGCTCAGCAAGCAATCGCACACGCGACGAAGACAGCTTGCACTCGCAGCGGGCTAAGTGACGACTAAAGAGCAGAGGCAGGAAGGTTGCATGTGAGACTACTCGCAAAGCGGAGCGGGAAGGCTCATCAGCAGTGCTCGCAAGGCAGAGCAACAAGGCTCCCGTCGGACAGGATGTCAGCACCTCCGCGTGTGGCTTACACAATTACACAATTCAGTGGGAGAGTAATCGCAGTTGGTGAAAAGGCAGGTCTATTGACGTCTCAGCGAATGATTACTCCAGGACAAGAACTGCCCAGTTGTTTATATGCAAGCCACATGCAGACTGACCGCGGATGTGGTATCATATAAAAGTACAGAATGCGGCTGAGTCTAAGCGTCTGTACTGAACCTCCGAACGGGCATGCAGGTATAAGTATTGATATCCTCCCTATCGAGGACGAGACAAGCACGAGCAGCCATCATGGCGACCGTTGTCAGGATTGATCAACAATCACCCATACACCTACCTTCTGGTGCGGGCTGGAGTTACGCCCAGGCTTCCACGTAGGCATTCCATCGCGGGCATACACAGCGTTGCTGACATATGAAGGCTATTAAACCCAGCTACGGAAGCATATCAAGAGGCCGTTACGCTTTTCAGCGCCGAGCTTACGCACGACGAGCGCAAACGTATATGGCTACAAGGCAAGCATGACATGAAAGATGTCCAAAAGGCTGTATCCGAGGCCAAAGCGATGTACGAGAGGTCGAAAACCTCGGAGGCGAGAATATGGCTGGACAAGCTCTCCTCGCGCATCATTTTATACGGAACTGTTCTAGATACACTGTCACAGCATCATGCCGAATACGTCTCATTGGTTTGGGGGGCTATCAAGTTTGTGCTTGTGGTGAGTAACCGCTATCTAAGCCACTCCAGTAGCCGGCCGCTGTCGAGAGCTTCACGACAAACTCGGTCAAAGATCATTCCGGTCAGGTCGCTCTCGAGTCGTTTCTTAAGTCGAGCATTTACCAGAATTCGCTTACAGATACTCGTCGCATGCTTAGGGCATTCTTAACCAGGAAGAACTCATCAAACAGTTAGCCAAAGCACTGTGTAATGTCGCCGACGCTCTGCCACATATCGAGCTTAAGATAATCCTGTATCCGACAGACGCAATGAAGAGTCTCGTGGCAACTCTCTACGCACACATCATCAAATTCGTTCAACGGGCAGCAAATTGGTACAAGGAGGGGAAGATGAAGCATATGCTCAGCGCTATCGCACGGCCGTACAAGCTGCGCTTTAAAGACATCGTTGACGATATATCTGAGGCTGCTAGGAGAGTTGATCGATTGGCTGCGAGTCTGAGTATGGCCGAACAAAGGGAAATGCATCTGAAGCAGCATGACACGCATACAATTGTGACTGAGATGAGGCGCTTCTTGGAAGGTGTGTAGTGACCTGACGCTTTATGAGCTTGACTGACTCTTGCCTGGTTTGCAGAACAACACAAACTGCAACACTCCGTTCAACTCGACACTAGCCGGCGGGTTTGCGAGATCCAATTCTCGCAGATCTTGACGTTTGCAGCTACCACGCCCCTAGTTAGCCCGGAAACCACCCGAGGAATATACGTCTCCATGCGAAACCGCCGAAGACGCCTAAAGGGCATGGGGCCAGCGCCATTCAGGAGCACTCCGCAAGCTTTACAAGCTTGGGCAGTAGAGAGACAGTCTTCTCTCATCGTTTTCAGAGGCTCTTTTAGAGCGCGCAACGTTCTGAACGACTTTGTTGCCGATACAATTGATCTGATTGTCGATGCAAACATCCCTGCCGTCTGGGTGCTCCAAACCAGGAGCGACGGCCAATACTCCTCTGTTGATATTCTGAAGCAGTTGGTTCTACAGGTCCTGCAGCAGAACTATAGTCTTCTGAATGAACGCTCCGCCTCGCTCAATGCTGCCCGGTACCAGAGCGCAACTACTGAAGACGAATGGTTCAATCTTTTGGGTTCCGTGCTTGTCGGCCTTGCTCAGATCTACATAATTGTCGACGCTGAAATGCTAAACAGCGGCATCGATGGTCGCATCACCTGGGCAAGTGCGTTCCAAAAGCTCTTTGATGAGCTGGAGAGACGAGGCGTCGATACAGTAGTCAAGGTCGCCATTATCGGCTACAAAGCAACAACCCTCAATCATTTGCCCAAAGCCGTTGTCGACAGTGCTGTACAGATTCCTGAGAGCAAGTGCAAAAAGGCGATGGCTCAAGCTGGAAAACAACGGGGCCGCTCAAACCGGAATATCAAATCCATGCGGCTCTGGCCGAATTCGCAGTTGTCTTCCCATTCTACGGTCACATCGAGCAATGGCGTGCGGTAGCACTGACGAAGTACAACTCCTTTTACCGGTCTTCTGGCTCGTCGTCCTGCCAGTCTCGCAAGGGGTATACCTATCCGGAACCAGAAATTGATAGGATCAAGTCTGGAGTTTGCCCTAGATGCGGCCTTGCGGCCCGCTAGGCAAGCATTTGCAGATCACGTCCCTCTGGCTGAATTCCCGCTCCTGGTTTCGGAGCGGCTATGGTCTCCGTACCATCGACAGGTCCACGCTACTGATTCGCAGCACATGAAGAACAACCAGCCACCGCGGCAACGTGTTCTGAGGGTACTTCGGATGCGGATCTGTAAGCCGTCTCCGCATCACGGCATACAGCCTGTCCCAAGGATAGCAACACGTTTTCGCAGCAGATATCTTGGATCCGGCGACAAAATGGCCTAGCGGAAGAAGATACGCATCCTCTCCTCGGCTTATCAAGTTCTGAATTTGCCGGCGACTACTGCTCGTTGTTAGCGAAAGTGAGGCTAGCCGTTAAGCCTTCAAGCGGCTTCACTCAATTCCTTTCGAGCTCTCGTCAACCTACGGGTATTGTCTCTAGGATTTCTGAGTATTGAACTTTTTCCTTGAACTCATCGTAGCTCTTTACAGGAGTATATATGTGCAATGCATAGCTGGAGAAGTTGGCAGGAGCTGGCGAAGGGTTTGCTGTCCTAGTCTGAGATCTGCAAGGTTCAGCCACGTTGTCGGCGAACAGTTCAAGGCCCCACCTTGGTAAACATGAGAGCGTCCTCGCAGATTGAAGATATGTACACTATCAGACTTCTGCCCCATTCGACGCTGTGTGGAAACTCAGTCCTTGTACAACTCCGACGTGAAGAGCTTCGGAGCAGTAAAGAACCTTTTTGTTGGCTAAGACAAGGGTGTAAACGAATCAGCTACCTAGCAAGATTGCATGCCCTTGAAGAGTGGCTCTCGAAAGCACATCGATCGTATCGCTATCTGATCCTAAATTATGATGCTCAGGTAAAAGTCTGACCAGCATCCACATCTCATAACCATCGGACTACCAAGTACAGTCTTGAAAGTAAATTATACCACTATAAGTCCCAACAACACGCCAAGTCTCTTCCCACAAATTGTTTGGCAAAAGCCACCCATGAAGTAAGAACGCCATCGTCAGAAGTAGTAGGCCGTCAGAAGAAGTATACCGTCATAAGCAACGGCCAGCGCCCGATTTTCGTCCTTTTTGAGAGTTCCTGAATGATGCCAAAGAGCAGACGCTGCCCACGCAAAAAGCATGCACTCGAGAGACTCGGGTCCAGTGTTCGTGTCTGATACACGTCATCTCCCGCTACAGTGTTGAATCCGCGTAGTCGCCGATATGAGTTTGCTGAGCTCGTGTAAGGGATGCGGTAGAGGCAGGTGGTTGGGTAGCAAAGCACCCCGCTGGGCGATCGGGGGCGGTCATTAGAAGCTCATCCACGTGACTCCGCTAGTCCATGTAGAAGTCTCCCTTGAGCATCCGCTCGCCGAATGCATCAGGCACCACCGGCGACTTGGGCATCTGCTTGGGCGGCTCCATGACAGCGACGCTCTTGGCTCTCTGGTGCGGGATGCGGGTCGGGGCCTGGGCACCGGACGAGCCCGAGATGGACATACGCTCCGCGCGGGTGCGGAGGTTCTCGGCAAAATTGTAGCCGTCGCCTGTGCGATCAAGCAAACCTGTCAGCGCATGCACGGGCTGTGAGGATTGCCCCGCGCCGCCACGGGGCGATGCGGCGTGCGGCAGCTCCTCGTTCTCGGACGAAGCAAATGTAACACGGTGTGATGAGGACAAACCTCGACTCTTTGCAGCAGTCGGGGGAGAGGTGGTGGTTTTGATGGTGGAAGGTGAACGTCTACCATTGGTATGTCCATTTCCGTTGCTCTGCTTCACGTCTCGTAGGGCTCGCGCTCCGAAGCTGAGCCGCCGTGCAAAGGGCGTGTTTGGGGCGGTGGAGGCGGAGGTGGGACCGTGGTCCTCCTCCTCGAACGGGCTTTCGTCGACGGAGCCGGTGTTGGCGCTCGAGACGCTGTCGCCTCGGGAACGGGGCATCCCAAAGGAAGAGCTTTGGGTGGGTGAGCCGGAGAGGCCCAGAGTGGTGAGGGAAAGGCGTCGGCGGTTGGCTTGAGCGGCCGCGCTGGTTATGGGGCCGGGATAGGCAGTGGGTGGGTTCTGAGGGTTCTGAGGGTTCTGAGCTGTTGCGTTCGAGGGAGAGCGACCGAAGAGGTCTGAGAAGGCCGTAGCACTGAACGAGGCGCGGCGTCTCTCAGACGCACCGGGAGAGGGCAAGGGAGGGGAGTTACGGTCGGACATGGTGGACACTGGCGGATCAGATGGGATATTGGAAGCAGAAGCTCGACGAGTGGAGAACGGTAAGTGAGAGGGCCGGACGTCGTGTATTTGAGAGTTTGGACCGAGTGGTAGAGGGAGCGGTTGGAAGGGACGGTTGGAGGAGCTGCCGCGTCTGCAGCAAGCCTAGGCGCGTCGGTTACGTCAGGGGCCACAGGCAATGATGCGACGTGGTACGAGGCAGGCGCTCCAAGCAGTAGCACAACAACAGCTTCGAACGCAGAGTGCAAAAGAGAAGATAGACGACAGAAAGTGAGGAGGAATGGTGAGAAAGCAAGAAAGGGAAGGAAGCGTGTGGTATGGGGTTGGTCAAGGGAAACTACGTGATTGGCTGGATAGCGGCGATAAGGCCAGAGATGGCTGCTGGCTTCCCCCGCATTTTCTTTGAGCGACATGGCGCTAGCTGTGACAGGCGTGGTGGTCCTTGGCGAGGCTCTCTGATAGGTCAGGCGAGCGCTAGTCTGGGTAGCGAGCGGGCTATTGTTGCTTGTCTTGCGGGCGCGCTGCAGCTGAGGCCAGGGTGCTGGGATTGCAGGGGTGCTCGGAATCGAAAGGTACGCATTGCACACTCAACCGCCCTTCTCAACGGGACACCGAACGGACCGGCGACGGTGAAGTTTCCTTGCGACTGTGAGCATTTCAGTCGGGATAACCGAAGCAGTAGCTGCACGTGATGCCTACCGACGTTATTGCCCGGCGTTGGCGGCGCGTTTCGACGCCGGCTATTCTCAGCACACGGCTCGCTGGCCGTGCCGAGACGCGGCAGCATACGAGCTGTTGAGCTACGGGAGCGCGTTGTTGTGCTGTCGGAACATAGAAGCAAGATCGGATAGATCCTAGTTGAGCATGCTTTCTGCTAGATGAGGCGTGCTTGTGAGGTACTGCACAGGGCAAGTGCGAGGGGTATCCATCAGTCACGGAGAGCGGCATCGTCTCCCTCTTTCTGGAGATTTTATGGTCTATCGAGGGTTTCCATAACTAGGTTAGAGCGCACTACCGGTACTAGCTATGTAAGTAGAAAGTATCCTAATTACTCCTGAGTAGCTCCAGGGCCCGCATCCCTAACTACATTACCGAAACACTTGCCCGCGCCCTGCAGCTACATCTTCCGCAGAACGCCCGCTACTCCGCCATACTGGTTAACAAGCCGATGTCTCGACAACCTTGAAAACTCCCCGTTCGCTACTCACCACGGTGGATTGAAGTTGAGATAATCCCGAAACCTCCGGTATTTCGACTCCGGCTTCAGCGCCAACTCCACATACTCCAGCATAGCGCTCTCGGCATCCCAACCCAAGACCATCCGCTGCACAACCTTCCCAAACTCCCAGTGCAGCGCGTGACACGCCTGCGTCAGCTTCTTGTCTTCGAACACGTCCGGTTTGAGATACCTGCTGCGGATCCTGACCGATACGTGTTGTAGGTGGGGCTCCGGGTCGCCGGACTTGGGGTTTGGGCGGGTGTGAGAGAGCAGAGTGGTGAAGGAGAGCAGAGGCTTGATCCAGGACTCTCGAGGCCAGAAACGGAGGGGGACTTCGCGCACGTCGAGAACAATGGACAGCTCTTGTAGGCGTGGCAGCGCGGCCGCGGCTTGTGCGCATACGGCGGCCCATTTGGCATCGTGTTTGGTCTTCCAGACGATGTTGTCGGGGTCAATAGGTTCGCCGTATGTGACGTGCTCGAGCTGAAGGCGCGTCACGTTGTCCAAGTAGACTTGCGGGGTCTTGGTGAGGAAGTTCGCGACGCGGTTGGGCGACTGGAAAAAGAAGGATGCCGAGGCGTAGAGGAAGGCAGTGCATTCGGCATGGAATTGCTTGCTTGTGAGGCAGAGCGCGGCGCCCGGGACGGAGGTCTTCCAATTGGTGCTGGCGGCGTTGACGAGGTCGTGTCTTCCTAGTACCCTCGAGCAGCAGATCCGCGCTGGGGACTTCTGGGCTTTATCCGTCGCGTTCCGGGACCGCCAAGGTTTACGTTTGACGGCCGTATCCTTCGCTTGAGTGTAGAGATCCGAATTCTTGCGAGCTGGGGCGTGGACGGCGAGGATGCGGTAGGGGGCGCTGGCGGGCATCATCTCGATGACGGTGGTGCTGTCGAAAATGTAGCCGTAGATCTGGTTGCGGATCTCGCCAGCGACTTCCAGGAAGCGGCAGCGGGTGCTTTGAGGAAGTGTTTGACGCGCGGTGGCGGTGAAGACTTGGTCGTGAGATTTCTTAGCTGGCGGAATAGCTGTAGGCGTCGCGACAGGACGGCTGTCTTTCGGCTTTTCCGGCTGTGTATTAGCAGGTGTTGCTATAATACGATTGCCCCTTAGCTTCGTCGGCTGTGCGACACTAGTGGCTGTTACATTTTGGTTCGCGTTCAGCTTCAGCGGCTTTGCAGCGGTGGAGACTGTGATGGTGCGGCTTCCCCTTGGTTTTGGTGCCCTGGCACCAGAGTTCGGCTTCCTGTTGGAAGGCATATTGACTCTGGACAGTGTATTGTCTAATCTGGGCTGTGAATGCAGTGAGTGAGTTGTGAGCGTGATGTGTGGATGGCAAAAGAGCCGTGAGGCGGATGAATGAAGGGAGGGAGTCAGTTATCAAGCGAGGCGAATTTTAACAGATTACGACAATACAACGCCAGCTACCTTGCTGAGACAGAAGCTATTGTTGCCGGAATAAGCCGAGGATCAATGAGTGAATAGTCACAGGCCGGTTGCCATTCGGGTCAGATCCCACGCGTAGACTTCATGAAGCTTGACGGGACACGAGATTGCACGTGTTTGCCGCTCGAGGAAACTGATACAACTTAGAATGCAGGGCGAGACCGAGATGAGCGAGAAGAAGAATGATTAAGCTGGCGGGTCGCCGCAGCTCGTTTATATGCTAGCGATCTCACTCACAGACAGCTGCCTCTGCGCCCACAGATACAATAGACAGAGTGTTGGATGTGCTATGCCATGGCCCATGTGCCATTCTGCTTTTTAATCCCACGCACAGCAATGCCACTGGCCACCGACGAGTACGCTCTGGTGCCACTCAATCCATCTTCTGGCGCGGCTTCTTGCGGCCGTCCTCACCGCTGTACGGTGGGGAGATGCGATGCGCCTCGAGCAAAGAGCGCCACTGTACCTAGGTAGCAGAGCGAAGCAGAACCATCGCCGTAACCTCCAACGCCCCGGCCCGGCTCTCCTCGCGCGCTGTCCAGGCACCGTCCTCAGGGAACCAAAGCCAGCCTCCACACCGAACATTTGCCAGCAGGATGCTATCTCCCTCTTCACACCAAATGACTCGGCAGCAAAAAGTTCGCAATCCCCTCCTTAACCCTATACTCATGCCCACAGCTCCCACATACCAGCGCCCCCTCCTTGACCGTCGTCTCCAGCAACAACCTATGCAAGTCCTCCGCCAGCTTTCCTCCTTTCCCGTCCTCGCCAGCAGTCAACTCCGCTACCTCCGGCGCCTCCCCAGGCAACCCTGGCAGCCCCAACTCCGCGCACAGCGTCACGAGCGCGGGCCATTCGAGCCGCGGGAGGATGTTGCTGAGGAACGAGGGGTTGGGCTCGGCTTCCACGATCTCGAGCTCGACATCGCGGGGGTGCAGCGGGAAGGCGTCGGCGGAGGATTTGCAGGCGCGGCGGGCGCAGGTGAGGAAATTTAGGGTGAGGAGTTTCATCCTGAGGGGGGTGTGAAGTCGCAGAGTCGGGATTTGGGATGGCTTAGTGTGATAAGAAGCGCGAGCGTGTTGTGGAAGGAGTTTGTGCGTAGGTTTGAGCGGGCGCTGTGGATGGAGTTTCGCGGAGATCGCGTTAGTATAGCTCAGCGCTTCGACAGAATTATTATGTGACTGGTACGACTGATTGATTCAGGGTCGACATTCGATTCCTCCTCTTTTCCGCACTTTTCTGCAGTCGTGGAACTTTTTGGTGGAGCAGCCGGCGGATCTTCGGGGTAACAGTCCAAGCGCTGGACTGTTACTTTAGGCGCGACCTGCTACTTCTAAGCGCGGATTGTTACTCCAGTGCAGGACTGTTACTTTCTCGAGGGAAAACGAGCAGATCAAGGAGAACTGTCGTCTTCCACAAGACTTCTCCAACAAAGTCAGAGAAATTCCAACCTCGCATGGAGCAGCGAGCTAATCCTGATCGAATGCTAACCCAGCCCGAAGCCGCGTACCGAGCCCAGCCGAGAGCGCTTTCCCCACTTAGGTCTAGCGATCGCCGTTCTTATTGGCCACCATAAGCGCGATAAGCGGGGTACCGTTACGATGGAGGGCAGGAAGCAGCTTCAACCCTCCATCGTAACGGTTTGACGTTGTACCCGTAAAGAACCGGACTGCAAAGAGACGATGCCCTCACAGCGCCGCTTGTCTACCACTGCCGTCACTATCAGCGTCCCAATGGAGAGGGCAATATGACTAGCTCTGAAAGCACTGCATCTTACTGTATCTAGTGAAGCTTTTGCTAGTGGCAGAGGGGTGGTGGGCTTGAAAGAATCATGGCTTTCGTGGCTCTGCAGTCCACTGTTTTATGGTCAGAATGTGCGGTTTCTGCATGAAGCAGACGGGAGCTACGACTGGAGCTTTCTAACATCGCGCGGCCGCCGCAGTTATCAAGCAAACATGTCCTTGGTGATGAAGCAGGGCCGAATGGCCTACGACTTCAATTCGGGCTGTCTCGAGGCAGAAGTGTAAGAATTGTGAGCTGCTGAGGCATATCAAATGAGCATGATAAACTGATTTCTGCCGTTGACGTTCAAGAGCTCCAAGATATAGAGGCTCGAATTGCCCGATACTAGCAATGCAGGAGCCGTGTATCTTCTCCAAGATTCCCGCCCACTCAAATGAGATATCAAGGCTGCTCCCTCAAACCACCAGCGTTGTGAACTACCACCCTCCACCCCCCTTCCCACCAAACGCCCCACTATCCTCCATCGGCTTGGGCTGCCCCCTCACCCTCTTCTGCTGCGCCGCCTCATGCTTCCGCAGCTCCTCAGGCACCCTACTAATACTGCTCTTCTGCAGCATCTGCTTGAGGTCATACATAACATCGACATCCTCATTGCCCAGAAACGTGATCGCGACACCGCTCTTGCCCGCACGACCCGTCCTACCCACTCTGTGCGTGTACGACTCGATGTTGCCCGCCATGTTGAAATTGACAACCAGCGACACATCCGGAACGTCGATACCACGGCCCGCGAGGTCCGTCGCGACAAGCACGTCCGTGGTTCCATTGCGGAGAGAGGCCAGCGCCGCCTCGCGCTGCTCCTGCGTCTTGCTGCCGTGCAGCGTGACGGAGCTGAAGCCCATGTGCTTGATCTCACGCGCAACGGCGTCGCAGTTGCGCTTAATGTTCACAAACACAATAATCGGGGGCGCGAACTCGCCCGAGTTCAATATCTCCTGCAGACGCTTCTTGCGCTTGTCCTCGCCCGAGATGAACTCAACGCGCTGCTCGACCGTCTCAACCGCCTCGCCGATATTGCCGATACTCACCATGGCCGGGCGACGCAGGTATTTGCGCGCGATGCGCTCGACGGCGACGGGCATGGTGGCTGTGTACATCATCGTCTGGCGGTAGCGGTCTTTGCCGCCTAGGTGCCGGCTCATTGCCGCCGCGTCCTCGGCATCTTCGGTGTCGGGCTTCTCATTGGAGACGGGCAGCGCGTCGAGGATCTTGTTGACGGGCTCCTCGAAGCCGAGGTCGATCATGCGGTCCGCTTCGTCCATGATGACGTAGCAGCACTGGGAGAGGACGAGCACGCGCCGCTCGATGCAGTCGACGAGGCGGCCGGGGGTGGCGATGATGATCTCGGCGCCTTCGCGTAGCGCGTAGGCTTGCTCTTCGATGCTGTGGCCGCCGACGATGGATACGCAGGTGAAGCCGAGGGGGGTGGCGAATTTCTTGGCTTCGAGCTCGATCTGTTGCGCCAGTTCGCGGGTCGGTGCGAGGATGATGGCATAGGGGCCGTCGTTCTTCGTAGCCTCATTGAGGGGCGGCAGCTCGGAGATGTAGACGAGGAGAGGGAGGAGGAAGGCGGCAGTCTTGCCGGAACCGGTCACGGCAACGCCGATGAGGTCGCGAGATTGGAGTGCGATGGGAATGCAAGCGCGCTGGACGGCTGAGGGCTCGGTATACCCGACTTGCGCGACGATGTCGAGAAGGCGCTTCGGGAGCCCAGATTCGTCCCATGAGCGCATCGGGTTCGGGAGACTGCCACCTTTGGTTGCGATGTTGAAGTCCTCTTTGAAGATACGCCAGTCTCGCTCACGCATTTGGCTGAGGTCCTTTTCGCTCCAGTGCTTGTCAAGAGCATTGCGCCAGCCGCCTTCTTTGCGTTGCCGCTCGGCCTCGAGGAAGCGGGCAGCGCGCTCGGCGCCTGCGACAGAATCCGCATTCCTTATCGCGTCGGCGTACTTGCTGGCTGCTTTATCTGACACGTCCTCCGCGAAGCCGCCGAGTCGGCCGCGGCCATAGAAGTTTGCCTCCGCTCGAGCTTGGTACAACGGATTGTAGTCGGGGCTGGTGTCTTCCTCGGCGTTCCACTCGAAATTGAACTTCTTTTCTGTAGTCCGCCTGCGCTTCTTCTTTGCTGAAAACGTGGACTGGTTCTGCTCGGCTCCCATATATCGTTGCCTGATCAAGGCTGCCTCTGCGTCCTCTGGATTTTGTCTCTTCTCAGCTTTCGAGCCTGTGGGAGCGACGATGGCAACTGGTTTGGGTGGAGGAGGTGGCTGCATGTCGTAGCCTCTGTTAGGTCCGGATGATCGCATCGCTGCCGGCCCGGTAGGCACTTCGCCTGGGCGGTGGCTTCGGGGTCCTGTAGGTACAGATCGCCTCGCATCGCCATTGACGCCGTTCGCGCCATGATGCGACGAGCCGTTGGGGATATTGCCATTTTGGGTTGCTCCATTGGGACCAGCGCGTCCGGCTTCGGTCTTTTGTTTCTGGTCCTCGACTTCCTTCTGGCGCTTTTCTAGAGCAAGCTTCTCGCGCTGAGCTTTCGACAAGAATTTTGGCTGTAAGAAGGTTGAGACGTTAGTAGGGTTCAAGGGGTGCTCTACAGAATCTTCGTAAACATGGTGCCCGAAAGCGCGACGGAAGGGCTTGGGGGAGCTTACTTTAGCAGCGGCCTCATCCGCCTCTTTCTTCTTCCGCAGAATCTCCTCGATGCTGAGCGGAGTTTTCTTTGTCGCAGCTGTGGCCCATCCTTTCTTTCTCTTAAGGTCTGGGGCCGGCTCGGCCGGTGATGGATCTGGTGGCGGAGGAGGAAGGTCTGAAGGCGGGGGAGGAAGGTCTGACGGCGGAGGGGGTAGGGGAGTGTCTGGAGGCGGCGGTGGTAAGGGGGCGGCTGGGGGCGAAGGCGGCCTCTCGATTGGGTCTGTGGGAGGAGGCGGTGGAATATCGCTCAGGACGTGTCCGTTCATCGTTGCGTGATGTGTTGTATGAGAGTATGAGCTAGAGTTGGAGGTGTTTGAAGATGGGATGCGGCGCATTTGAAGGTCAGCCCTATCGGCGGTTGCAAGCGCCGATGCTTACTTACCAAACTATTCCATTTTGATCCATTTGCGACTGAAGCTTCAGAAATTTTGTAACCACGACAGAAGTACACTGTTCGAGCTACGCAGCGGCCACTTTCCTTCCAACCCGTCTCTTTGATACCCCGAACTTCTCCGCACTTCTCCGCCATGTCCAATCCCACTCCCGCCGGCGACCAAGCCAAGGTCCGCATACAGCTCACCACCAGGCACGCAGATCTCGGCCTACCGCAAGATACCGGGCCTCTACTTGTTTCTACCAGTAAGCTCCCCTGCTTCTCGACTGGAGTTTGGATTACAGCTCTTTTTTCTATTCAAGTATCTTTGGCAAGAGCGTCACCGACAGGATGGGAGAGGTTCCGAGGCTCAGGAAAAACAGTCCACACATTCGGAGGATCTTGCGATGGGACATATAAGTTAATAGCACATAGCTAACACCGTCCGCTTGGTCAGGCCTCCGCCGAATACAGCTCTCCAGCCTTGTGAACAATATACTCTCCACTCCACGGCCTGTGCCGTTCGAGTTCCTCATCAGCGGCCAGTTCTTGCGTACGAGCATAGACGACTTCCTCACCAGGAATGGCATATCCGCGGAAACCACGCTTACAGTGGAATACGTGCGCGCTCTCATACCGCCAACATACGTAGCATCCTTCGAGCACGATGACTGGGTCAGTTCAGTAGACGTCTTGAGTGCTTCTTCACCGGCGGCAGGATGGGCAGGCGCAGATATAGCTGCGGGTCAGGAGAAAATATTGTCAGGGAGCTTCGACGGCTACCTGCGCATATGGGATACCTCAGGACAACTAGTAGCCACCTCGAGTCCTACGTCTCATGGCCAGCATCCTATTCAATCCACCAAATTCCTATCACCTACAAAGCTCGTATCCGCAGGCGACGACTGCTGCGTGCGAATATGGAACCACAGCAACCCCACTAACACGGACAACCCCTCCGCCACCGCCTCCATAACCCCCTCTCTCGAGCTCTACGGCCACCACGGCGCCATAAATGCCATATCCGTGCACGCGCCGACCTCCCGCATCCTGTCCGCCTCCAGCGACCACACCCTCGGCCTCTGGAGCACTCAAAAATCCTCCGCGCCCGCCGCACCCTCGGATCTCTTCCCCGAAAACTCACCCTCCCTGACCTCCTCCAACAAACGTCGCAAGATCTCCCAACCGACCCCTCCCCCACCCCGGCGCGGCCCCCTCTCCCTGCTCACGGGGCACGCGCAACAAGTCTCCTCCGCCGTCTTCGCCCCCAACGACGCCAGCGTCGCCTACTCCGCCTCCTGGGACCACAGCCTCAAGACCTGGGATCTACCGACTGTCACCTGCGTCGACACACGCACGACCGCGCACCCGCTCTACAGCCTCCTCGCGCTCTCCGGCATCACCCTCCTGGCCGCCGGCACCTCCGCGCGGCACATCACGCTCATCGACCCGCGCACCAGCGCGCGCAGCATCGCGGCCCTGACGCTGCGGGGCCACTCCAACGCGGTTGTGGCGCTGGCGCAGGAGCCGGGGAGCTGGTACGGGCTGGTGAGTGGCAGCTATGATGGGAGTTGTCGGGTGTGGGATGTGAGGTCCGTGAGGCCTGGAGGCGCGGACATCGGGGGAGGTCAGGTCGGGGAGAGTGTTTATCGGATTGGGAGGGAGAGTTTGGGGGGGAAGAGGGAGCCGAGCGGGGGCGAGGGGGTTAGGGTGTTTGGGGTTTGTTGGGATAAACAACTCGGGATATTGAGCGCGGGGGAGGATAAGAGGGTGCAGGTTAATAAGGGGAGCTAGGCAGGGCGAGACTATAGGAAGATTGGGGTATGGGTGAAATCTGTGCGTGACATGATGTGGTATGCAAGCGTAGGGATGGGACTGTAGATATCCAGCATACTGTGAAGGACCCTGTAACAAATCGACTTTCGGTTGAAATGATCAGGGCAAAACACCAATAAGACTATATGAACTTTGAGCAAGTCAGCGGACTAGCGCTTTAGCATAATCTAGCCGTCTAGCTATATGGCACGTGAATGCCATGCAAAACGCACAAGCTTTTCCATTGAGATCAAGCCGCTTCCTCTGCCTCCACCGGGGCCTCCCCATTGTTTTTCTCCTTCTCCTCTCCACTAGCGGCAGCACTACCAACACTCCCCGCCCTTCCCCCACCCATCTCATCCCCACTCCCCACACTCCCCGCAACCTTCTCCCTCTCCTCCTCCGCACTCTCCGCGGCCTCCCAATCATCCACCACGCTCTCCTCCCTCAACTTCTCCTTCTTCTTCTCCTTCTTCTTCCCCAACTGCACCTTCCCCGCGCCGAGCACCGTGTACGCATTCTTCGCCTGCACGACCGGCTGCCTGATCGCCATCCTCGGCGCCGCCGCTTTAGCCGCCACCTGGCTCCAGCCGCCGTTACTCGCGCTGTCGGACTCGCGACGCAGGACGTTGAGCGAGCCGTCGAGGCGGCAGAGCTGGATAGAGCCAAGCGCCTGTGCCTTCACGGCCGCCGAGACGCCTGGTTTAAGGGACTGGAGGGTGGCTTCAAGGTCGCGCTCGCTGGGAACTGCGGCCGAGGGGGTCGCTTTGAGGACAACGGACTCGTCCGGCTGGAAGGATATGTCGAACTGAACGGATGGTGTGGCCGCTAGAGCGGGACGGATAGCGGAGCGCAGTTCCTCGATCGTGAGACCGAACTTCGCGTTTGTCAACAGGAAGCCGTTGTACGGTTCCCCGATGACGTTGCTGGGTTTGACTTTCTTCTCCGACACCGCTGCGCTATTGGCTGTGGCTGCGCGTTGGCTGTGTCGGATGCGTGCGCATTCGGCCAGAGTCTTCATTGGCGCTGTGACGAAGCGGGGCGACTTGAAGAGGGCGACGTGGCGGTGGGGCTCGGGATCCATGCTTTCCGAGTCAAAGCCAAAGTCCTCTGCCAGAGAGTGGAGGAACGCACGCTGCGTAGGCGGCATAGGCTTGGAGCGGAGTCGCTTCTCTTCCGGGCTACTGGCGAAGACGCGAAATTCGCGCTCTTGAGTCTGCGCCCAGGGGACGTTCTGAAGGAACATGTTGAGGGTCTCTGATGAGTAGGGGATGTGGTCATCCTTGTGCGTCTCGGGATCGATGTTCAGAGCGAGCGCGAGCCTGCGGTTCCTTTCTAGTCGTGCGCATTCATCGTCGCACTTGAGGCTCTTGGTGCTGTTTCCTTCGTTATCGCGGGTAGCGTTGCACTTCGCTTCCTGTCTGATATGCTGGCAATCACAAGTGATGAAGATCTTGTGCTGGCAGGGTTTGTCCTCTTTGCACGGGTACGGTGAGTGGCAGGGGTCGGAGCAAGGATGCCCACAGGACTTCTCCTTTCCGCAAGGTTGTTGGCATGACCTGCCGGCGTCCTCGCACTCGCCGGATTTGTGGCAGGGCTTCCGACACTTGTGTGCGCCGCACTTCAGCTTCTTGCCGCAAATTTCGCCACACCGCACATCGGTTAGCCAGCATTGCTGGTTCTTGAGCAGATTCTTGCCGCACATGCAGGGCTTGACTGTGAGGAAGGGACACCGAGGGCAGTCTTCGGTGTCTTGATGGCAGTTGTGGGGGACTTGAGGATGCCCGCATGCCTTAGACCGCTCGCAGTCGAACCGGCAGGGCGGCGGCTGCGTTCCGCAGGGTAGTGGTGGCTGTAGAACAGTACGGCCACAGTTGCAGCTGATCTCGTCGAAGATTGCTTCTCGGCAGCTACCGCAAGGGCCCCTGTGGCATAGTTCCTGACAAGTGTGGTTGCCACATTTCAGCAGCCGCCCACAAGGGCGAGTACAAATATGCTCGGATTCAAAGCCATCGTCGGCTGGCCGAGGACCGGCGTTGAGTGGTCTTGATTTGCGTCTGCTAGACTGGCGCTCGGCGGCCTTCCGTTCTCCGGCACAGCAGTGCTCGCCGCACTCGTGACGACCGCAGTTGAGGGTGACTCGACAAATCCTCATACATTGCGGAGCTTCCTCGGTGCCTTGATGACAGACGGTGGAAGAGACGGTTCTGCCGCAGCGGCATGTGATAGAGACGGTCTGCAGGCACGGCATGCACTCTCCTGAATGGCATACCTGCCGACACCGATGACCACATGACAACGGCTTCATGCAGGGTTTTCTGCAGTTCGGGATCGGCTCTTCGCAACTTTGGCGTGTGTTGTTGGAGATCTCCTCTAGTGGTGTCTTTCCGCAAGGACAATGCGTAACGACGTCCGGTGACCGAGGACAGTGGGAAGGGTTTAAATCTTGCGGATGACAATTCTTTTCGCAGCTATGCTTTCCACAGTCAAACTCCCGACTGCAGACATTTCCGCATTCGAAGAGGCCCGTCCATTCTTCCGTAACCATGCTTCTGTCTTCTTTCAGATGAGCCCGCTTGCTCTCCTTCTCATCATTACGGTCGCAGCAGAGGATGTCTTTCTCAACTTGCCCGCAGTAGCAGCGAGCAGGTATCCGAACTTCACAAGCTCCGCAGAGACCTTCGTGACATGGTCGTTCGCAGAGATGCTCGCCACAAGGCATTAGCTCTCCGCAGATCTGCCCGCAGCTCCACCCGTTCTCATAATCCGTGTCGATACAGCGCCTCGTGGCTGCTTCTTTTCCGCAGAAGCAGCTCTGAGTAGGCCCCATTTGCGGACAAGGAGGACAAGGCCCAGCATGACACATGATTGGACACGGATGGGGACATTTCTTTGGCAGAACGTGAGGTCTTGAACATGTTTGCCCACACGAGAAGGGAGGTATTCCAGCCAGTGGACGGGGATCGACTTCCTTCTCACACCAACATGTAAAGACAGACGGTATAGAGTCCTTCGGCAGGTTGCAGCCGGGACAACGCCACTGTCTTGGAGGTGGCATCTCCCCGTTTGGCGCCTGCTGTTGTGCCATAGCTGAACCTTCGTTTGTAGCCCACTTCTTGATACAGTGAAGGTGGAATACCGTCCAGCATGTCCGGCAAGACCATGCCTTGGAATTGCGCGTAACCTCGTTCGTGCAGATGGCACATTCGTACTGCAGGTTGTCGATATCTTCGTGAATGCGGGTTGGGATGTCCGGTGCTGTGGACTTTGATGCTCTGCGCTTGCGCGGCTGCGGTAGACGCTCTCTCGGTGGTCTGGGAGTCGTCCGCTGGTGAGACTGGCCAGGTTGAAACTCAGGAGCTTCACCCGATAACTGCGACGCTGCAGCCGTGGAAAGCCCACTTATCCCGCCGGCTTCCGAGCTGTCTACAGTAAGCTGGCCTCCGAATTGACGTCCCTGGAAAGTCCTCGAGGTGTTCACGTTTTGGCCTGCATGTCCTCGCTGCTGGGGTCTTGCGTCATCTGAGCGTGGGGGTTCACCGTCCGGCCTTGGGCCACGACCTCCACGTCTTCTGCCACCTCGACTTGGTCTAGGGCTTTCGGCTGCCGAGACATCCGCACTTGAAGGCTCCGCCGATTGGGGTTGAGATTGCGTCTGACGAGGCGGCGCAATGGACGCTGGCCTCATCGCCAGCAGAGCATCCCGTGCTGGTTGTGCCCGACCGCCACGTCCGCTGTTCGATGGAAGCTGCTGAGGGTCTCCTTGACCTTCGGTGGGTGGCGGTCTATCTGCAGGGTTTCTACGAGGCCGTCGTGGTCTTGGGCGGCTTGTGGAGGCATTGGGTGTTTGTGACTGTGACGGGGCGGAGGATACGGTGGCGGACATATTGGAGGATGTGTCGGAGGGGTTACTGAACTCCTGCGGGGACTGAATCGTGGTCCTATGCGTTCTAGTTCGTGCTGCCTGCTCAGGCGACTTCGTATTCACAGGTTCTGGCAACGTAACGATTGCTGCCGTAGCCTGGACAATGGCGGAAAAGGGAAATGTAGGCTTCAATAAAATACTAGCCTAGTGAACGATGTAGACCAAAACACAACGAAGTGCTCTGGGAGATTGTGGAATGAGAGAAAGGGTTGTGGTTCTGAGCTGTGTAAGTAGCTTGGTGGGCTGTGGCGGCAGATATACGAAAACCTTAGAAGGCTCCAGAGAGCGCGCTAAGTCAGCAGCCAGTTTCGACACTCCGGGAATTCAGGCCGAGATGACTCAGATGCCCGAGACACCACTCAGAGAGCCGGGCTATGCTCTTCTGGCTTGCAATAGGTGCGCAGCCGCGCTTTATGACTGTTCCACTGCTAAACGTCGTATTGGATATCCTCAGTGGTGGCTTATGCGTCATAGCAATGCTTTTCTTGCCTGAGGCAGCCAGCCGGCGCGGATCATCCCCGGAGACCGCCGCCGAGGCCCGTGCGCCTCTATCGTGAAGCTCATCAGTCTACCGAGTGCCGCATCACACTGAGCAACGAACACAGCTATGATGGCCTTACGAAGGATAGGAGCGTTGGCCCTGAGTGCCACCCTGGCATCCGCATTCCGGGACACATCGCCCTTCTTCATGTTCTCCGACTCCCCGTAGGCGCTCCTCGCTCTTGCAAGTCTAGTGGTTGACACTGACTTTCTAGGCTACCGAACCCCGTTGCAACCACGCAGCTTGCGCTATCCGGTCAGCTCTCATCGCAAATCCAACGCTCGCTTGCAGATTGCCCTTCCGATACCTACATTATCGTCTCCCAGCCCGGCATATCTGCCGCGGACTTCTCCGACCGATCATCTACCCCCCATCTACGGGATTACGTCGATCAACATGGCGGTCATAATGGCATTCAGTCCTCTGTGGCCGTTGCCGAAGTTGTGGGGGCACTGAGTACGGATGCGCTATCACAGCGCTTGGCGGACAGATGCAAGGCTACAATCATCACGGTGGATTCGGAGAAACGCCACATCAATATGGGCAAGGCGACACCACGAGTTATCAAAGTCGACTTCCCGGTACTACCTTCCCATCGCGAGGAGAGGGTTGCAGAGCTCGGGAGGCGAGACTCTTACCTGGATGCCATGATAGCGGCCGCAGGCGAGAGGTTTACAGTCATCTACACGACAACACCACCATCTTCTGAGCAGCTTGCTGCAACACAGCATAAGTCGCAGGTGGTGTATGAGATGGACGAGTCATATCCCGAAGCCTATCATATGGATCTGAAGCGAGACGTCTCCAGCCACGCGGATAATAATACTGCTTCCAAGCTTCCGCTATTCGAGAAATACCAGTTCTTGTCATCGGGTAAGCTTACAGTAAAACATTATGTCATTGTCCCCGAGCGGCGGCTAACACACCATGCATTCAGGCATATTTATGGGCCTTTCCGTCAGCCTGCTCCTTTTCATGATTCTGTACGTGGCTGTCAGCGCCGTGTCGAGCCTTGAAGTTTCATACTATGCTTTTAGCAAAGAAATGGGCCCTGCGGCGCAGAAGAAGCAGGGTCAATGAGTTCACATGTGTATCACTAGCGGAGAGGTCGTGGTAGGCCAATATATTGTCCGAGGCTGTGTGAAGATTCCGTTGCTGCATCGGAGACAAGGTACGGGTACCGCTTCTTTTATAGGCGCTGGAAGTGTTCTGTCTATTTGTAAAGATCCATAGGGCGCAATGAATGATTACAGAACAATCTTCTGGACGGCTTTAATCGGCGAGACCAAGCCACCACCGGTAAGCGTTACGTAGACTGTTACTCCCAGAGTAAGTGAGGTCTTTGACATGGAGTCGCAGTCGAGCCGGACTTGCAATCACATGGCTTCGAATATATCAGGCAGATTCTGCGCAGCAAAGGACATTCAGTTTAACAGCACTTCCCCGGTTCAATTCATATGGTGAACTTGCAACTCCCACAGGTTTGGAATGGAAACGCAACTATCTCTACGTCAATATGTATCGCCCATTACTAGCTTTTCACGGAACCGTGTGAGGGTAAGTTGCGCCGCTGGTCGAGTAGCTGACTAGTTACACAGACGTGTTGGATATATTCTTAACATAAGAAAGCCACCTGCATTCAAGTAAAGTGCAAACGCGAACGGAACACACAGCGTCGAGTCTACAGTACCGTTGAGTCATGTATGGAACACTGCGAGACCATTGGCGCGTTCACACTCTCGCTTCCCACTTGTTACACGACCTGCTACGCTATCATTGAGCAGTTTGCATTCTGTCGGTACAGCCTTTGGGGCCGCTGGACTGTTGTCCTGCCTTCAGGCACCCTATCTGCAATTAGGGATAATGTCGATAACGTGAGGGGTACCCAGCTTCGACGCATATAGTTCTGCTTCGAGCTGCGGTCATCAGCCCGAGAGGCTCCGTCTCGCACCTTTGGCGTCCTTATAGCAATCATCATCCCGTCTCTTATGCTACACAATACTCTTTGTAACCTACCTACGCGGCATCTCACTATGAAGCCATTACGACTACTCTTTCTCGTTGTGCTTTTTACACGAATGCGAGCCTGGAAGATTCCAGTAGAGTTCGCCGCATGGATATGGCCGTCCCGTACGTCTACATCCCGCAAAGCCCAGGTGCTCAGACTGACAAATCACAGTGATCGTCGTAGACAGATGGCTATACCTTGACTCGGGGTGGATGCTTAAGAAGAACAACAACGGCGGCCAATTTTTAGAAAGTCCAAGTATATCATGGAGTTCGCAGACATCGCCAAATGCTGACACGTGTCTAGTGAATGAGAGTTTGGCGATAGGTCTCACTCAGTAATGGGAAATTTCGGACATCAAAATTATCTCAACCGCCAAGCCGGAGGAACTGAAGGCAAGAAGAGATGCAATCTTGTGGTGCGATAGCAGGAAGTATCAAGTATATGAGTTCGGCGGATAGCCTCAAGACGGTACCTCCATCGACAAACCGTAGACTTTCGCACCAAATGGTTCTGGTAGCGCAGTATAGCGGAGTGAAGCTTCTCCAATAGCCAACGATAGTGTCGTATCGCCAAACTTCGGCGCCGCAACGGCTCAGAGTCCGGAAGAGCTCTTTTCCTCGGTATGGGCTATCGGTTAGCCAATGAACGTAAGCTGGGTCAAATATCCCGTTGCCAGGCTTCATCATACATGGCTTTGCGGACAACAGCTGGACCAACGCAAGCTCAACTGCTGTATGAGAAAAAGGTTACTCCGTTAAAGCTCAGGCACAAAACATTCCTCAATATGGAACAGCTGGCATTGTAGTCGTCATTGGAGGCTCTGCACGTAGATCCGACCACTATGAGTACGAATAGGGAACTGCCTTGGTAAAGATGACGGACATCGCAATATACGATATCGGCAATCAGAGATGGTATCACCAGAACGCCCGAGTAGCAGCCGGTACAACTACTCCGCCCGGCCGAGAGTTTTTCTGCATGGTTGGAGCATCCGCAGCGAACAACGGTTCATTCGAGATGTGAGTGACCTAGCTCCGAGCAGCTTGTTCTGACGTTGGCCCAGTTTTATCTATGGCGGATCGAACAGTTACGGTTCCGACAGGGCCAATGCTCTTGACGAAGGTTTTCGCGACGTTTGTATCCTGTCCATACCGTCATTCCCCTGGTTCCGTTCAGGGAGGGCTATCGACAAGCGCCGAACAAAAGCTGCTTGCGGGATCATTAGCAATTGGTAATTACTCGTGGTTGGGGGGAACAATCCTTCCATCGACGGCGCTTGGCATTATGAGTAGGATCCGTGGGTGAGCGGGATGAAAACATTCGACGTGACTGTGTCGAAATGGACCGAAAAGTACAATGCTAGTGCTGGGCCATATGAACCACCGGCAACCATACAGCAGCATTACGAAGAGAAGTAAAATGCTATGTACCTTACGAGATTTACGCCGACTGTTGCAGTTCTCAGTACCCATCTTGGGACGAGGACGGGTTGGCCAGCCTCTTCGGTATGTCAGACATCAACAGATGACGCGAAATGATTGATCGACATCGGAACAACCCCGCCAGCAATTAGTTACTCAAACCGAGGCCCCTCCGGAGAGTATTCCACAAGAAGGTTCAGACAGAGGTGCTATCGTCGGTGGTAGTATCGGCGGAGCGATCGGAGCAGCATTGCTTCTCGCAATCGCATTTGATGTATCCCGACGTCATAAAGAACCGAAGAGTCCGTCTGGAAGTGTCGAAACGCCAGTTGATACCCCGCAAGAAACCTCGCAAGAGCTGGAAGATACACAGGTCTATCAAGGTTCCGATGCTCTACCCAAGCTTGATACATCCGAAAAGCCTCCCCTGGAGCTACCGCATGAGAATGGCTCAGCGAACACTTGACAGTGTCATTGCTCTTGCGCCAGCTTGCGCAGGAGGGCATACTGCCGAAGCAAGGTGGTAATCGTGTTGCTACAGGTAGCAGCTCGTGGGATACAGGCCACAGTCCGGTCCCAATGCTTTACTCGCAGCTTGACCTCCTTACAGTGCTCCGTATCTGTACTGGATGCTCTGGCTGTTGCCGTCATGAGGCCTTTCTTGGTCAAAAAAAGGGGACTGCGAAGCTAGCGAGAGATCTTTGTATCCAGTGGAAGGGTAGGGCCAATCCCGAATGTAATTACAGATTCGTGAAAAGTGTCACATTTTTCTGGCAATTTACCGAGCCAAGATGTGAGTCTTTTCATGAATGCCTGATTAGAGTAGCTGGCGGAGTTGTTCCTACCGTTAGACACACTCTACGTCACGAAACGAATTGCATGGAGAGCTGTCTGGGTCTGATCAATTCCTCTTTAGCAAGCGTTGGCTCTCACGCTACAGTCCGGACGTCTAGACCACAGGCTCTTTCTGGGGGAAGATGGTGGTGCACTGGATTTTCCAATAGTCAGAATACACCCTCGCCTGGTAGCGGCTGTCCTAATGCGAGCAATTAATGGATGTGGACCGTTCGCGACGCCTCATGATCGAAGTCCCAGTGCCAGCAGGAGTAGAACCTGAGGCTATCGAACACAATCAAAAGAGAAACTCCTTGTACGCTCGTACTTGTGGATCATGCATACCAACGTCGTCGCTCCGACAAACAAAGCCCATGATGTTCAGGGAAGCCCGATGTTCTTTCTGAGCAAGTTGTCGGAAGCTTGCGCACGAGCTCTTCCACAGGCCGACCTTGACTCTCTGTCGTGCAGGTATGGCCACGCCCAGATGCGGCTCAAAAGCCTCGTGCTCTGGAACTTCGGGGAGTCGATAGAGGCCGAGACGTATGTTGTGAGACGGAAGAGCCGCGGGAAGTGTTCTGGTAACCGGTCCGGCAGGTAGCCTGGATGGCGACGGGAGGATGAAACGGCCACCGAGCCAGTCGGGGAATTTGGAGTGACCTAGGAATCTTGTTTTGCAGCATGGAGAGATTGGAATCGCATGCAGGTGCAGGTGGCAAACGTAAGGGAGATTCTGTAATGCCTGAGCTTGAGATGGCATGCAGCCACTAGCGCAGGCTTCTCGAGGGTCTGGCCCAGCTGAGTGCATGTCCAGATCCTTCGTTCTAATAATCCACAAGGGTCTATTCTGGAACAGACTCACGGATACAGATTAAGATACCTACCGCTTGAAAAGATCTGGTGCCAGCCGCGATTGCATTTTGTGCGTCGTGGCTTGGACATGCGCTGGTGAGAGCCTTGAAGAGTACAGCCGATGGCCGGGACAAGTGTTTATCCTGTTCAAAAGAATATGAACTCCGTGAAAGTCTCCTTAAAGCTTCAGAGTAAGTGAGCAATTGCACATGGATCGAGCAGTGCGGAACCGAAAGGATTGAGAGGCTCAGGCACAACCTACGTATCTGCGCCGCGTCGTTATTCCCGTAAGGCTGGCCATGAGCCACACCATTGGGTTGAGTAACACCTCACAACTACGTTATCTGTCTTGCCGCCGGGGTTTTTGACACGGGTTTAAGCAATGCTCTGACGCTTCGGAAGGATGCACTAGTAGCTTTCAAGCGGATGCTCGCCTTGACGCAACTACAGCTTCACAAGCGTTGCAGTGGAGGTGATGCAACAAGTCGGCCTCGTTGTTCTCCTACGACGATAGCTGTCCGTTCGAGCTTCTGCTGTTGAGGGCAACAAAACGTCATGCATCTCCAGTGCGATCTGACGTGATGTAGTTATGGGAACAGAGCACCTACCTAGTTGAGCAGTCGATACACTTCAATTGGCTAAGGCTATCGATCCAGGGCAGAGCGATCTCCGGCAAGGCGCCCGGGGCCGGCTTAACCCTCATGGAGCATCACGTGGGCATTCAAGAAAATATGTTGCCGCATCTCTGCTGCTGCCGTTGTGATCCAGTCGCAACTGAGCTGGATCTGCAGTGTTTGGAGATTGCCTAAAATGACTTGGCCGATCCGTGAAATGATTCTGGTGAGGTGGTGTTCGGCAGCTCAGCGCTTTCATGCGTGATCACACACTCAGCACATGCCTAATAAACCGCAGCTGGAGGGTTTAATCTGTCGTGCCTGGAGTAGATCGAAGCGAAGCAACGGACTTTCTAGGTAGGTAGGTATCTAGATAACCCCGACATACAAGGCGAGCCGGGGGTCTCGGACGCACAGGCTCACGACATACGAGAGCCAAGTTCCGCCATGAACTGCCCTAACGCTCTCGACCGCTCCAGGCCCCAGTAGCTTCTGTTAGCGCCCCGGTCCATCATTTGGAGCAACCGCAAACCTCGCGCCCATTGCGGTCGTGCTAGTTAAACCCAGCCCCGAGCGATGGATCGTGGGAATTGATAAACTAGGGACCCTTCTGTAGGGAGTTTGTAGTGTAGGGTGCAGGCTGCAGGCTGCAGGCTGCAGGCTTCATGCTGCCGACACTGGCCGCATCTAGAGAGCCTACCGCGCGTCTAGGTGGTTGTCCTAACAAGCAACAGCTTTAGAGTTCGTTTGAGGCTGGGCCGAGATCTGTCCTTGAGAAACGGTTCGGATTTGGGTCGCTACGAGCCGAAAATCCGGTCCACTCGGTCGACTTGGCGTTTCTTACTTGACGTCTGCCTTGCTCTGGGCTTTGCAGTAGTATCCCTCAAAGACCCCTCGCTCTCACACCTTGATTCCTCACGACGACCTCCACCCAGAAGCATACACTTCAACGTACCTTCAGTTGGGCCATTCTACCGCGCCGAGTCCCTCTACCGCCTTCATCCGCTGCGGACCGATCCATCGACGTTCGACCTACGAGGTGTTGCGAACTATCGCTTGCCAGTGTTGCTTAGCCGGCCATTTGCAGTTGGCGAACTGCTGGGTCGCATATTAAGCCGCTGTTACCAGAGGGGGTGTTCTTGCCGCTGGCTCTAGGATTGTCGCGAAATTACCCCGCCGAAAGGGTTAAGAGTTTTGGAGTTTGCGCAAGTCTGCAGGACCTCCGAAAAGATTTTGGGCAATACGGATTACGGGTCCGCACAGGAGAAGCAAACGCGCTGGAGGAGCCCGAAGATGAGAGACGGCGGGCGGGGCGCCGACCATCTATGCTCTGAATTCATTGGGAGGGAATCCTTATGCTTCGCTCTGCCCGCGCCTGGTGAGGTCCTCCACAATGGTCACGAGGCCTTCACACACGAGCTCTCAAAGCTCTACCGCTTAGCCGAAAACAATGCCGCCGAACGTCTCGTAGAGCTCAAGGGAGATCTACGGAAAGCCGATACGGAAACGTTCTGGGAGCTTCTTACCGAGGGCCTTGCGAAGATCACAGGCGCTCAGTATGCATTCGTCTCGAAGAGAATTCTCGTCGATGACGAGAACATTGCAGTCGAGATGCCGCCAATTGGAGAGCCCGGCTCATGTCTGATGGGAGCCGCCTTTTACATTGGCGACGGGAAGGAGATTGAGCTACGGCCGCGGAATTTCAAATACCACGCTTACTCATGTCCTTGCGCGTATATGCGACACGACAAAGTCTTCATCATTCCGGAACGCCTGGATGAGTTCATCGTCAACAACCCGAACCAGCTGGCAATACCTGGCGAAGCCTACATAGGTGTCCCCCTGTTTGCAGAAGGCAAATGCGTTGGTCATTTCGGAGTGATGTGGTCGCCCGAAGGCGCCGCAAATCGATCCCTTGGCTGGGGCTATATCGAGATGCTGTGTCATGCATTGGAGGACATCATCCTTGAGCGCCTCCTTGAAGGAAGAGATTTCGCAAAGCCTGCGCCACCACCTTCAAAGCCGGTCAGGGTTGTTCCGCATGACGCGATTACCGTTGCGCAGTCCCTCAAACCATATGCGCGCAGTCTTTCTCACGAGCTACGGACGCCCATGCAGGGTGTTGTAGGCATGCTTGACGTCATGTTGGCTACGGTTCAAGAAGCCGCTGAGGAGCAGCACGACTATCGAGTCCGGCAGGTATTCGAAACGTTAAAGGAGAACATTGAGACGGTACAAGGTAAGCTCTTCGTAGCCCTTTTTTTTATTCCAGCAACACCTCTCACGAACCCTTTACGCGGTTACCAAAGTGCTTCAGCAAGGGGCACCTGAGGCAGTCGCGCGACTTCATAATCCTTAGTGTATTGGGGTATCCTGGTCGGCCCCTCTAGCATACCTGTACTCGTGTCGATCTTCGCATCCTTTTGCCTTTTTGAATTGACATCCAAGTATACCAAGCTGACGACCTTCACAGATAGTTCAAGACGCGCCGTGGAGGCAGCAGACAATGTAGTGCACGCATACGACATGAACATGGGCGTCCCAGAAAAATCTCATTCGTCATGCGATGACGAAGATGGTCTACCCGACACGGAGCCAGACAAACAACCGGATATTGTGGTTAGTGGAAACAACATAACGTTTAACCAGCTCCGTGGTAGCAAGCGGAAAAGGAAAGATACGCACTGCAACGGCGGCAACGTTGCCAAGATCCCAGCTACTGAATCGATACGGACTCTCCGAAACCAGCCATCAACCGACTCAGAGTATGCGCCTTCGGAGGCAAGCGAATTCAACCCTTTCATCCCGGCACCGTTCGACTCGCAAAGCACTATATACGCGGCGTCGATTGACCAATTCCGGGCTTCTACACCGGACTCACCATCACTGCACTCTCTGCACAACGTCGTGCCTGGCCTGCGACATACGAACCTACAGGACGTTCTGCACTATGTCATTAATGACTCACTCAAAGTCGGAGGCAGACCGCAATCAGCCATTGCCCGAGAAATAAACGGCGGGGAGGTTATTGAAGTGAGAACACAAAGCCCTAGCGGCATTGAGAAAGTGAAGATCATCAAATGGTCCGTTGGCGCCGGTGTGCCCGAAACAGTATTGAGTAAGGCTTCTCCCATAACAGACGCACCGCAGACGTGGCTGACCGTGCTGTAACCTAGTCGACGAGAAAGACTTCGCCAAGATGATTTCCTGCGTCTTCCTCAATGCCATCAAGTTTACCGAAGAAGGCAGTATCCGTCTTACAGCGAGACTTAGCCCCAAGAGTCGGTACGTTGTGATCAACGTAAGAGACACCGGCTGTGGAATCCCTGATGCCTTCTTGCCGAATCTGTTCAAAGCTTTCTCCCGCGAAGATGACTCTCTTACCAGGCAAAGCGAAGGTCTTGGTCTCGGCTTGCTGGTCGCGAAAGGTTTGGCGCGGAAGCTCGGCGGTGATCTATTCTGCACGCGTTCCGAAACTTCCGGTCCGAACAGAGGTACCGACTTCGAGATACGGGTTCCCGTGACGCCTGCCGATGTTTGCAGCAGACCTGGCTCACCGTTCAACTCGCCGGCCCCTTCTCGGATTTCGCGGCGTTCCGCTGATGGAGATTTACCGCCATCTGTTCCTGTGCTAGCTGCGTTGGAATCGCCCCAAACACCGCCTCCAGGTTCCAGGGCTCTCCGAGAAGACTTGGCAGATCGCCGTCGCATGCAATCAATCCATTCACCGGCACCAGCTACTCGTCTGACAGCACCATCACTCGTGCGTCCTGGTCCAAGCGATCGCCGCCCAAGCATCCTGGATGCGCGCCGGACGTCTGCTAAGAAGGTTGAATTCGATCGCCAGCTGGCCAAAAAGCACCCCCTTACGTTCTTAGTCGCCGAAGACAACAAAATCAACCGGAAACTGCTCGTCAGCATGCTGCGCAAGCTCGGCTACACGGCCGTTCATGAAGCCTACGATGGGGCCGACGCAGTCCGCCAGATGACCATGGATCGGGTTGATGGCAAACACATCGACGTCGTGCTAATGGACCTATGGATGCCGTACATGGATGGGTACGAAGCCGCCGAGCGCATTCTGAGCATGGATAAGTTCATCAACGGCAACAAATTTAAGAAGCCGACCATTCTTGCAGTAACCGCAGACGTCACTAATGGAGCGCTTGATAGAGCGGCAAAGGCTGGCATGAAGGGGTTCATGACCAAACCGTACAAGCTTCTTGACCTTGAGCGCCTCATCGTTGAATACTGCGCTCACCAAGACGCTGAAGCCGTGAGCCCGCCGTCCACCTGATTAGCACGGTTTCGCTCTTGGCCTTCCCTTGGTCCGCCGCCTGATTCGGCTTCCGACAACGTGTCACCTCCTCGCGCCCGCTGCTCGGCCGTTGTCGTACGGGCGAGCCTGCACTGCTTTTTTTGCGTTGGCTAGCGTTCAGCTACGACTATAGAGTACAAGCTCAATACCAATAGGATGCACGTTCTTCTATGCATGGCGTAAAACTCGCTTTTTGTCTGTTGGTCTGGGCGGGATGTTGCTATTGTGTTTCTGTTGCAAGAGGGAGCATAGCGAAGGAGCTGCACTGGCTGGAGTTGAGGGCAATTATGATTGCCCGTTATGTCAATGATGGATGCGGATGGTAACATACGAGGCCAAGTATAGGCCATGCTTTCAACCCGAACTCTTACAAATACTAAACAACCACTACTCTCCTATGCTTTCTTGTTCACTCATAACCCCTAATCTGGAATCTAGCTTAACCCCATAACGTTCTCAATGCACCACAACTTGCTTGCGTGTAATCGAAGCCATATTTATCCCCAGAGGTACTGAATAACACATCACGGTGGAATGGCAGTCAGGCCCGCATGAGTGATGCATGTCATATGTCCAGTAGCAGGTCGTCCCATATGGCAACGTAGACACAGACGATGTGAGGTTCTCTACTACAATCAGTCGGATCAGTGCTTGCATCGGTTCCTGAGCTTGGCTTGCAGGATTGCTGCAAACGGGATACCGGAAACGGAATTTGCCGAGCGGATCGGGGATCTGACGCAGGGATACAGGGTCTAAATTATCATGATTACCGCAGAGCCCCAGAGGACAGATTGATGCAGCGCACCAAACGTGGGGCAATACCACCTGGGCACCCACCACCCAGCTTTCTCAGAACCCTTCTTCAACAAAGTCGTTCCTTGGGTTATTCTATGCCCTTTACGCTTTGTTTCATTCAGACCACAGCCATACGGCCGCTTTTACCTTAAGGAACCGCTGACAAAGCCACCCTTCACCTCCACGATCCCGACGAAACTTAGGATTGCGCCGAGTGCGCCAGATACAACACCATCGGGGAACAAGAGATGGATAATGCGTATATCAAGTCTCCGAAGGAGGCTCTCAGTCACTTCCATGTCTCGGAGCACACGGGACTTCCCGAAGACCGCCTAAAGAGTTCGAGGGAAAAATATGGCAGCAACTGTAGAAGTTCTCCTTGACCTGCTGTAGTACCATCCATGCTAACCATGGCTCAGCGATACCGGAAGACCCTCCGACGCCAATCTGGCAGCTCATACTTGAGCAGTTCAAGGACCAGCTGGTCCTTATACTCCTGGGCTCGGCCGCCGTATCCTTCGTTCTAGCGCTATTTGAGCAAGAAGAGGGTTGGACAGCCTTTGTGGACCCAGCGGTGGTATGTGATGCCTCGGTGTTGCATTCAAATCCTGTCTGACCGATTCGTTTGTGTAGATTCTCACCATCCTAGTACTAAATTCCATCGTCGGCGTGTCACAAGAAAGCAGCGCCGAGAAAGCCATCGCAGCCCTACAAGAGTACTCCGCAAACGAAGCGAAGGTTATCCGCGATGGATCTGTCAAGCGCATAAAAGCAGACGAGCTGGTACCAGGAGATGTTGTCACCGTGGCGGTGGGTGACAGGATACCAGCCGACTGCAGGCTACTCTCGATCCAGAGCAACAGTTTTAGCGTGGACCAGTCCATCCTCACCGGCGAAAGCGAGAGTGTTGGAAAGGACCCAAAGGCGATCAAGGATCCGGATGCCGTTAAGCAGGATCAGACCAACATGCTCTTTTCAGGGACAACGGTGGTCACTGGGCACGCGAATGCGCTGGTCGTGTTGACGGGACCTAATACGGCTATTGGAGACATTCATGAGAGTATCATGACGCAAATTTCGGCGCCGACACCGCTGAAGGAGAAGTTGAATGACTTCGGGGATATGCTAGCTAAGGTCATCACGGGAATCTGTATACTTGTGTGGGTTATCAACTACAAGAACTTCAGTGATCCTTCGCACGGAAGCTGGATGAAGGGCGCGATTTACTATCTCAAGGTCAGTCTACGGTGAGACGGCATGTGACACTATCGCTAACTAAACCAGATTGCTGTATCCCTAGGCGTCGCAGCAATACCCGAAGGCCTTGCTGTAGTGATCACTACCTGCTTGGCGTTGGGCACGCGCAAAATGGCGGCCAAGAACGCTGTCGTCCGAAGCCTTCCGTCAGTCGAGACCCTCGGCAGCTGCAGCGTCATCTGCTCCGACAAAACAGGGACCTTAACCACGAATCAGATGAGCGTTAACAAGATTGTGTTCATCAACGAAGATGGCTCAGGCCTCGAGGAGATTAATGTCGAAGGGACGAACTTTGCCCCTGATGGTGCTATCACTTTCCGCGGCAAAGACATTGAGAATCCCGCTGCTGCGTTCGCGACTGTCGCGAAGCTTTCCGAGGTCGCAGCTATCTGCAACGAAGCTAAGCTATCATTCGACCCGAAGAGCGGCAACTACAGCATTGTTGGCGAGCCCACAGAAGGCGCATTGCGTGTTCTGGTTGAAAAGATTGGCACGCCGTACGAGGTTGCCAATGGCTCGTTGGTCAGCGTATCCCCGGACCAACGGCTTCACCATGCCAGCGCGTTCTACGAAAGCCGGGCGCCGAAAGTGGCAACCTATGAGTTTTCCCGGGACAGGAAGAGCATGTCCGTGCTTGTGGATGGTCGAGCTGGGCAGCGGCTGCTCGTCAAGGGAGCGCCGGAGTCGATACTTGATCGATGTTCGCATGTTTTAGTAGGGCGAAATGCGAGGAAGGTTTCTCTAAACCGCAAGCTGTCGAAACTGATCTCTGACGAGATCATCGAGTATGGCAACCGTGGCCTGCGAGTGATCGCGCTAGCGTCAGTGGACGACATCTCTGGCAACTCTCTCACAAAAAGAGCCAAGACGACCAAGGAGTACATGCAGCTCGAGCAGAACATGACCTTGATCGGCCTCGTTGGCATGCTAGACCCGCCCCGTCGGGAGGTCGCAGAGTCGATCCGCAAATGCCGACAGGCAGGCATCCGCGTGATAGTCATCACCGGCGACAACCAGAACACGGCCGAGACCATCTGCCGCCAGATCGGCGTTTTCGGAGCGGACGAAGATCTCACCGGCAAGAGCTATACCGGCCGGCAATTTGACGACCTCAACGAAAGCGAGAAGCTAGAAGCCGTAAAGCGCGCTTCGCTCTTCTCACGGACAGAGCCCACGCACAAGTCCAAGCTGGTTGATCTTCTCCAGTCCGCGGGCGAAGTCGTAGCCATGACCGGCGACGGTGTAAATGATGCGCCAGCCCTGAAGAAAGCGGATATTGGCGTCGCTATGGGTTCCGGTACAGATGTCGCCAAGCTCGCGGCGGATATGGTGCTTGCGGATAACAACTTCGCGACCATCGAGAGCGCGGTCGAGGAGGGCCGGTCGATCTACAACAACACGCAGCAATTCATCCGGTACCTCATCTCGTCGAATATCGGCGAGGTTGTCTCGATTTTTTTGACTGCGGCGGCGGGAATGCCGGAAGCGCTGATTCCGGTGCAGCTGCTTTGGGTCAACCTGGTCACTGATGGCCTGCCGGCTACGGCGCTCTCGTTCAATCCACCGGATCACGATGTCATGAAACGGCCGCCGCGTAAGCGTGATGAGGCATTGGTGGGTGGATGGCTGTTCTTCAGGTACATGGTCATTGGCACGTATGTCGGGGCGGCGACGGTGTTCGGTTACGCATGGTGGTTCATGTGGAATCCTGAGGGGCCGCAGATATCATTTTACCAGCTCGTGAGTGCTATACCGCTTTGATAGCAGTTCAGCGGACACGCAGGCTAACGACCCTCTAGACACACTTCCACAGCTGCTCGACTCAGTTCCCCGAGATCGGCTGCGAGATGTTCTCGAATGATATGGCCAAGTCTGCGTCAACAGTTTCGTTGTCGATGTAAGCACTCTTCCATTCCTATCCTACCCCCATACATCCACCACTCACTGACCCTCTCCCAGCCTCGTCGTCATTGAAATGCTCAACGCCATGAACGCCCTCTCCTCGAGCGAATCCCTTCTCACGCTTCCCCTCTGGTCAAACATGATTCTCGTCTACGCCATCACCCTCTCCATGGCGCTGCACTTCGCGCTTCTCTACCTCCCCTTCCTGAGCAACCTTTTCTCGATCGTGTCGCTGAACTGGAATGAGTGGCGGGCCGTGCTGTATATCAGTTTTCCGATTATGTGAGTCACTGCTCTGCCTATGGAGGTTCTTCGCGACATGCTGACGGGCTGCAGATTTATGGACGAGGCGCTAAAGCTGGTGGAGAGAACGGTGTTTATGCCGAGCCAGGCAAGAGAGGCGCAAGCGCATGGGAAGCCGGTGTTGAATGGAAAGAAGGTGGAGTAGAACATGGGCGCTGCATGAGTTGGTGCTTGTGATAATAGATCTAGACATACCCGTGGTGCGGATAGACGGCGTCGGCATCACAGTAGCTGACTTTTCTCTCTTACGCTCCTGACAACCCCGTACCGTAACTCTGAATTGTGAGCTGTTCCCTTTGCGATGATGGCTCCGCTGCTGCTCACTACAAAATGCAGGCGCGTTTCTGGAACAAATATCAAGGGCTGAAATGAACGTTGCCGCCCTGCTACGCCCAAGTCATGTGTTTAGACCGGGCAGCTTTACTTCTACCCTATCCTATCCTCCACGCGAAAGTGATGGAATCTCAGTATTGGGAGTTGGAGCGCGTTCAACGCCTCTACCATAATCAAATGCACTTCAGCGCCAACTTGAAAAGCCGAAACTACACAGCCCGGATTGGCGGTAGACTCCTGCACTCTTACGGCACGGGTTGAAGATGTTCTTAATTCGCTACGGCCTCAATCCGCCTGCAGGTGCCGCTCAAAACGCCCGCAATGCAGATTGTTACTCAAATCCCGATGAACAGAAGTCAATGGCGGTAGTGGCCATTACCCTCAATCGACCCGCTACATGCCCTTTACGATGCTGCAGACTCATCCAGCAACACCTGGCGCTTCTTCTTCTTCTTCGGCTTGACGACTTCTTGCGGCTCATCTCCCTCCTCGGCCCCGGCCTCCCTTTCCTTGGCCTGCTTCTTTTTCTTCTTCTTCTTCTTCACCACTGCCTCCCCAGCATCCTCCGCATTGCCCTCCTCGCCCCCAACACCCAGCCCCTCCGCAGCTTTGGCCTTCTTCTTCTTCCGCCTCACCAAACTGCCCTCCCCCTCATCCTCCCTCGCCTGTATCCTCTCACTTGCCCGCTGCATCTCCAGCCTCAGCCTCTCAACCTCCTTCAACGCCCTCGCCATCTCCGCCTCCTCTGCCTCGCGCCGCTCGATATCCAGCTTGCTTGCCCCTCCATTCTCGTCGAGCGACAGCGAGCCGAGCCCGCTCGAGTCGACTTCCAACAGGGACTTCTTGCCCCGCGAGGATGACTGCGCGGGGCGTACTAGTTCGGGCCGCTGCGGAGAAGTCGAGAGGCTAGTTGATGCCGCCTCATCCGGCGCGTCGAGCGTCTCGTCCCCGATAATCTCGACCTTCCTCCTAAGCTTCTTCTTCCCGCTCGCGCGGGCGGTGCCAGACTTCCTTGGTCCCTCCGTCCCACTGCCGGGGCCCTTACTGTCGAGATTCAAGTCCATAATCGGAATAGCATCGAGATCCAGCTCATCGCCGTTGCTGTTCTGCAGGATGGCGTGGAAGGGCGTCGAGGTTTCTGATCGGGAACGCTCGTTCTCAGACGGGATGTAGAAGGGGTCGTCTTTGTACCGGTCTCTCCTTTCCGCTTTTCTGCGCGCGATGAGCTCTGGGTCGAGATGCTCTTCTGAGAGGGGGGCGCGCTGGTAGGAGGGCGCTTCTTTGGGTGGAGGTGAGAGGCGGTCAGCGGCTGCTGTAGGCTGTTTGGCGGGAGTTGGGCGTTTGTTGTAGAGTGAGAAGATGTCATCGTCTTCGGAAAGGGTTTGGGTATCGCGCTCGGCGCGGGCGAGGAGGGATGAGAGGTTGGGGTTTATTGGGGCGTCAAGGTTGAGGGCGTCCGGTAGGGGCACCTTTTTCTGAGCGCCCGGCGCGACGGGGTTCAGCTCCATTCCAGTGAAAAGCGAGGGCAAGGCTTGGGTTAGGAGGAGTGGCGGGTCTGTGAAACTGCCGTCTGTGCTGGTTCCCTGAGCGGATGCTGCTTCGGATGCGAGGCGCATCAGCTCGAGATACTCGACGGCTCGTTCCTGGACCTCGAGGTCCGGGTGAGTGGCCAGCGGTTCCAGGAAGTGGATGATCCGTGCCATCAAAAGGATTACAATGGTCTTGCGCTCCGCAGACCAGGATGTTTGCTGGCCGCCAGCTATCGTCGCGAAGACTTTAGGTATGGCCTGAATGTATATTGCCAGGGTGTGTGACGGCAGCTGCATGGCAGAAGAATGCATGAGCGATGTCAGAGTTCCATCTGGGCTGATCAAATGTTCGGCGTACTCTCCCACCATCCACGCTGCCGACTCTAATACTCCTTGGCCTCCGTTGCCAGACGCAGGAAACATTTGTTCCCTACGGTCGAACAGTATGAGCGATTCGGCAGCTTGAGTAGCCTCTGGTCTAACCGTCCTGACTCTTACTGCTACATTCTGCAACTCATAGCCCACATCGTAAGAGATGTCACTCCTCCGCCCCGGTGCCGTGGCAACAACGTCTGGGGGTTCCTCCGGAGCGAATACGGCTTTTGTCGAAGGAGAGACCTTGACAAGCTGCACTAGCACCTCAATGTACCAGTCGAAATCATTGATGTTAGCGTAAGTATCTCTCGAGCACATTTCGAGGATCTGACGGATAACACTGATTCTGTACTCTTCTGGTAAGGGCGGCGGCTGATCCGATCGCTTCTCTGCTGGACGTAGAGATTCCTCAGCGTCCTCATCGTCCGGGTCCGCAGCAGGCACAACTCCCTGGCTCGCCCCTCGATCATTAGCCGGATCATCTGTTGTTGATGCTGCCGGCGCGTTTTGTAACTGGCGCATCAGTCCTCCAACGATGGCGACAAGGTTGTCGGAATTGACCATGCCAACGACCAAATCCAGTGCTTTCATCCGGATCGAGATGTCGGGATCATCAATACAAGCTAGGATGACGTCCTGGTGTAGTGCTACTAGGTGCGGGTGCGATGTCACGATTTTATTGAACGCAAGGAGCGCAACATATTTCAGATTTGGATCTCCTTCGATTACGAGCATACCACGAAGCTTGCCCACGCACAATCGCGCAATCTCTTCACCCTCATTGGTTCCTTCGGCGCCCTCTAGAATGCCACCCTGGATGATCCCATTGATGCACTCGTATAGAAGTGACATAGCAGGCGTTGTCTTGATGATTGATGTTAGTGGAGGAAGTAGCTTCTTGATGAGTCTCGGCTCTAGAGGAGTCAAAGTGGCGAAAAGCTTGATGATTTTGATAGCCATCCAGTTGTTGCCGCCCTGTACAAGCAGATCAAAGAGCCTCGGGGCGAGGGGAAGGAAGTCCTGCGGTCTTCTCCAGCCGAGCTCGCAGACGACATTGACAATGGCTGCCGTTACGCTCGGATCCTCGTTCTCATCGAGAAGCCGATCCTTGATCTTGGGCCAGGCTGGCCGCAGGGTCTCCGGATACACCAGCGCAAGTCTATACAGAGTCACAATAGTCTTCTTTCGGATAGCGGCGTGTGAGTGAGTTAGGCGGGGGAGCAGATCGGACAGCAACGAGTTGGCCATGGATGGACTGATCACGTGCGGAATCGCCATGAGAGGTAGCCCGATGGTTGTCGGCATGGGAGAGGTCAGGTCTTTCTTCAAGAGGTTCTCCGCGAGCATGAGGACCTCCGTGTCCGGCCTAAAGCTCTGAACCGCGGCCAGGTACCCCACCCTCTTCTGCGGGTACTTCTGCGACGACATGACCTCCAGGACATTGAACGAAGCCCAGGACATGTCATGGCCGAACATCTCCAGATACGTGAGCTTTAGCAGCGCCGTAGCCTTCAGATCCATATCCTGGCTCTTAATCTCCCTGCGGCACTCCCGCAAGCTCTCCTGTATGTACGCCCGCTCATTGCCCTTGTGGTTGCGGAGGCCTCGAATGAGGTCGTACAGCGACTTCTCGAACATGGCGGCGAAGAGTGTCGTTTGATAGAGTGCTTGGCGGGCGAGCTGGTCGACAGTGGAGGGGCAGGCGGCCGTATACGTCGGTCGCAGGTGAGCATTTTAGGTTTGCTCCGCAGATTCAGGTCATCTTTGGCGGCTAGTGGTTGAGTGACCCTCCTGTTGTCAAACTCTCGTGGAGCCACAATACGGCGATATCCTTTGAAGTGCATCAACACCATGGTGGGAGGCGGGATAGGTAGAGGAGCACGGACCGGGTACTTCCGAACAGCTTCATGACACCTCTTCGTGATTGTCACAATTCCCTCCACCACGGAACAATATAGTTTCGCCGGAATCACCAACGACTCCGTTTCTAGCTAACTGCCTGCGCATCCAGCGACTACAAACCCGCCGTTCAATACCTCAGCACCCTTCCGCAATGGCCGCCGAACTGATCAACCCACCCCCCTCCGTCCCCCCAGCCCTCGCCCTCCGCATGTCCCAGCAAGCGCCCCGCATACTCCAGCAATCCTCAGGCCCCTCACTGCCTTACCTGCTCTCTCTCTTGACCGCGTCAGACGCTCCTGAGACATGGATAGGCTACGAGAACCTCCTACTTTCATGCCTACGGACCGGCGATGACAGATCCGCGCGGATGTGCCTTGAGAAGCTCACGCAGCGTTTCGGGGAAAGCAACGAGCGCGTGATGGCGTTGCGGGGGATGTACGATGAGGCGGTGGCCGAGGACTACAAGGCCTTGGAAGCTGTCTTTCGGGGGTATGAGGAGATACTCAAGCAGGATCCGACGAATATGGTTCGTTCCTCACTTCTTGTCTTCTCTAGGACTGAAGCATGCTCTGTTACTCGCCGCTGATTACCCCCAGCCCATCCGCAAACGCCGTGTAGCCCTCCTCAAAGCCATGAACAGACCCATAGACGCGACCACCGCGCTCGTCGGACTCTTGGATTCCTCACCCACCGATGCTGAAGCCTGGGCGGAGCTAGCTGACCTATACCTCACACAAAATCTATACTCGCAAGCGATATTTAGCCTGGAGGAGGTGCTCCTCATTACGCCGAACGCATGGAATGTACGCCTCACCAAGCATCTTCAAAGGCATCACAAGTACATTTAACGACAGCAAACTGACCCAGAAGCAGATCCACGCGCGAATGGGCGAGATCCTCTACCTATCGAGTCTAGCAACCAACTCCAACAACGATGGAAACCTCATGCAAGGGCTCTGCGAATCAATGCGCCGGTTCTGCAGGAGCATTGAACTCTGCGACAACTATCTGCGCGGTTACTACGGCCTGAAGCTTGTTCGTCCCCCATCCACTTCCCCGCCCTTCCACAATCCCGGTCTTTACAGACACAAGCACTAACAGTTCATCTCCACAGACAACAAGCCGCCTCCTCTCCCTCCCCTCCAAGACATCCAAACCCGCCCCCGCGGCCACAGACCCCCAGTTCGGTGACCTCGCCCCGCCGTCGCTGGCTACGATCGAGAAGCTGCATGAGCTGGCGACCGCGAAGTTGGCGGAGATAGTCAGGCGGAACGCCGCGGGTGAGAGTGGCTGGGACGGGTATGAACAGGCGGAGGTGATTGCTGCGAGAGAGCTGTTGGATAGGGATGCGCAGAAGGTTAAGCGGTGAACGCGATGAAGGATCTGTAAAAAGTGATGCGTGATAGCGGAGTCAAGCCGTAAGCGACTCGAGGAATGGGGTGGGAAGCAGCTTGAATGGAGGATCCTGGGGCTCATGGGTTCTTCTGAAGTGCGGACTGTTGTCAGCTCGGACTTTCTCCATGAACGGCTGAAGCTGGCATCAGGGCGGGCGCCAAAAACCGCAAAGATCCGAAACTTCCTCAAGTCGAAAACCATGTAGAGCATCGGACGATATGAGCTGAGGTTTGCAAGCGGCAACTTCGAAACGCTTCGCAATAATCGTGCAGCACCTGCCGGATTTAGATGGTGTTCTGAACAGTAGATAGAACAACACTCAGTCAGTAGTAGACAGATAGCGGACGGCCGTCACCGGTCGGCATCAACGCATTGGATACTCGCCTTGCGCTTACCACGAATGTGAGTTCCTTCTGCTAGCCATTATGGTCGGTACCAGCAGCTTTTCAGTTTTAGGAACGAGAGAGGCGTTGAAGGAGTGAACTTCGACTAGTGAAGCTACATAAGATGATTCTAGGGGATTTTAAACACTTCAGGATATGGAACATGAATACTTGACAGTACTAATGCGATGTTTCGCATTTCTACGCCCGAGGACCGTAATTGAAGCTCCCCCATGGATTAGTCTCCAGCCCAGGAAAGAAGCCGAAACATCCCACAGCCTCCCAAAACTGCTAGTAAAACGACCTACACAAACTTCTACCGTGGTATGCGCAGCAGAAACAAAGCTGGCCTCCCTCTCAGCTCCCGAACTGGCTATTGCTGACCCTCTACCAACCCACACAACCGAAAATGAATGACTCTAGGGCGTGAGGTCCCTCCCGTCCTTGCTCGCGGCGTTCTTCTCCGCATCTTGAGACGCCGCGTCATGCACCTTCTTCTCATCCAGAATCAACCCCTTCCCATAGGGATACAGCGTCCTCCTACTAGGCGCCGGCTCCTCAGTGGCGCACTGCCAGATATGTAAGGCGACGTTGCCTCCCAGCGTCTCAATGACCGGCGTTAGAACAGGCAACGACAGGCCCATGACCGCATAGCAGCTTATCGCCACAATGAGCAGGTTCAGCCAGTAAGCTAGGCCAAGCGCCGCGAGGTGGACGCAAATCCAGGCGCCCAAGCTCCAGAATATCAAGCCGTGGATCAGGTAGATAGTCAGAATGTGCGGGAAGATGACGATCAGGGCTTTGCAGGAGAGGGCCCTCTGCACTAGCGGACTGACTTCGACCATGGCTTGCAGGCCGACGGCGAAGAAGAGGCCGTTGAGGCGCGGTATGTAGTAGGGCGGGTAACCGCCGTTCGGAGTGGCTCCAAGCGGCAACCCAGTAGCGGTGTCCGGGTGGAGATTATTTTCGAGGACCGAGAAGTTGGTGGTGCGGAATTGGGCGATCAGGTCCACGGCCATTCCGCTGAGGACAAATGAGAAGCTCACGGCGAGGAACAGCCAGTATGCTACGGGCCGTGCGTGGAGCCACGGCTTGTATTTGTAAGTGACGTCGAGATCTGCGAGCAGCAAGCCCATCCAGAGGAAGCTGCCCCATGATTGCGCGTACCAATGATTGATAACGCAGAAGGCGTAGTAGCCGAATCTCTTCCAAGGTGTTTTGATCTCGCGGATGACTACTACGCCGAGTAAGACCAGCCAGGAACCTTGAAGCTGGACGGGGATAGTCCACAAGACACCAGTGCAGTAGTTGAGGATGATCTGTGGTGCGGCGTTAGGGACGAGGTACGCCACCTCGATGACCTCGCTGACGTAGTGGCCGAAGTTTTTGTAGTTCACCACGTACGGCCAAGTGGACCACGAGATGGAAGGTAGATATTCTAGCCATTTCGTCACACCGACATCGATCAGGAAGTACTCCAGGAGCGCGACGGCGGCCACGGGGATCATCAGTCTTGGAGTTCTGCGAATCGCCTTCTCTGCGATGTTACCCAGGTTCCCGTTCTTGAGATAGTTCACGACCAGAAAGCGTGTGGATGTTGTGAAAAATGGCCCAACCCAAGCGAAGTTCAGAAGCAGCACCGCTGGGATTTTACGGCCCCAGTTCTCACTGGCGTAATGTGTCTCCGCGCCTGGGATCAATAGCGCCGGCACAAAAGTGAGACCAAAATGGATGGCCGTGACCAGCAGCGTAGCGAACGCTACAAGGCCAGCCAGGTAATCTACACGGTTTCCGGCGGGTAGTCCAATCGGTGTAACCTTGTCAGCAGTATGTGACCGGGACTCGAAAGCAGCTGGTGTCGTTTCGTTGACGGTGACCGCTGAGGACCTCTTACTATCCACTTCTGCTTCCTTCACCACGAGCTCCTTTGAAGTTTCACGTTGCTTTATCGCGTTGAGCTTCGCCAATGCATCAGGGAATGGAAACATTTTATCCTCGGTCGTAGAGCCAGAATTTCTGTCCTTGATGGCAGGTGTGCCTAGTGTGCCGTCCTGTTGGCTCCAAGTAGCCCCTGCAGATGCAGGCCGAGATCTGTAGGACGGCGCAGGAGTGCTGGCGCCGCTGCTCTCTTGGTAGACAGTCAGTTCCACCTCACTGTGGTACCGTGGCAGAGGCGTAACGACATCACCGTTGTCGTAAACCGTGGAGGACGATGGATTCGAGCTAAGGGGATATGGCCTCGAAGAGAGTGGCGTCTCTTGCCCGGAGCTCAATGTTCCTTGTGACGACCCGTTTGAGCTTGCGTCACTTCCTGTAGGAGCCTCTATGGATGAAATCAGCATCACGCATCCAGTAATTGCGGTTGTAGGTTCTGTGCGAGGCCAAAGTACTGACCAGGTTGGGCATTTCCGTGTGTTACGTCCTGCGCTGTGTTCTTTCTCCATGTACCTCTCTTGAGCAGCGCGTGCAGTAGAAGGAACGTCGAAATAGACACAGATATAGCGCATAACAAGATGGCGGCCCAGCGTTTCCCTCTGTTATCTCGCGGCTTTTGCCACTTCTGTGTGGCTTGCACACGGTAAGGTGACGACCCTCGAAGAGTGGTGTCGGCGATCGGGCAAGCCTCGGTGCTTATACACCGAGCGTCGAAGTTATCGTGCTCTTCGACTGTCATCAAGGAAGAGTTAAAGAACAACCGAGCCCAGCCAACATTGGCTACGGAACGCTCAGTAGGGGGGCCCTCGGTAGAATACGTGTCACCGGTTGACCAATGTCTGAGATAGAATGGTGCAGGCGTTTCCGGAACTATCTTGCCGCCCTTCCGTTTTATCGACCGAGTAAGGTTGGTGCCGATGAAGTACCGTACCTCTTCCTCCGTCCAGTCAATCCTCACTTCGGTAAATTCCCATGGAGAAGCCGTGCCATTGATCATCGAGGAGTTGCTTAGGATGCTATAGTTGACACCCAGGCCACGCTCTGGAAACTCTCCGCGTATGAGAGTGCTGACCCATGCATCTGCAGGGTTGTTTGCGTTTTGCATGTTGATTTCCATTGACTCTGTCTCGTTGTACTCCAGCCTCATGGACAGAGCGCTGCCACCAGCCCATTGGCGCGGTGAACGCAGCAATGATCTGAAGGTGCCATACTGTATGTCACGCCGTGTGGTTTGGATACCGCCTCCGAGGACAAGGTGATCCGGTGTCGAGGGAGACACATATAGCTCGAGGGATGAACTGGTCGCATTCTGGAGTTGTACGTTTGCAATGTCCGCGTCCTGTCGATATATGCTGTTCCAGCCCTTCTCGAAATTATGCTTGAACGAGTCGACCAAAAAATCATCGGGAAGGGCACCATCGGTCTCGTTGAAGTAAACGATGATGGACTCGGTAAACAGATCTTGGGTGGAAGAGTCATAATAGCCGCAGGAACAGCTGGCGCTTTCATCCGCGGCAGAGACTCCGCGTAGATCAAGACAAGATATAGCCAATGACGCAGTTATAAAGGAGCGAAAGAAAGAAGACACCATTGTAAGATTGGCGCACTTGAGTGAGAAAAGAAGGCAATACAGAGAATAAAGAGCTGTTCAATGGTAAGAACACATGCTCTCTGAGGGAATGATATCTTGACCGACCACGCTCAAGCCAGTCAACCTGTCACCAATAGTGCCACTTTCAAGTCAGCACCAACAGAACGATACAATAAACGCCACACTCTTGCCGTTACCGTAAGGCATATCGGACCGCTCGGGATTTGTTCGTAAGTCGGTTTATCCATGGGCAATGAAACCAGCCACCGAACCCCTGCAGTGGATACTTAGTCGAGACACTCTCCGTTCCGTTGTTGGTTAACAGCAGTTGCATGATGGCGATCACTTCTGACAGATCCGCTCAAGCCCCGTGCTTTTTGCCGTATCCTCGATGCCAGCCACGGTTGAGCGAAGGTCCATTGCGCTCGTCAACGCGGTTCAGCCTTGACTCCAGACCATGTGGGCCGTGTCATGTCATGTTGTGTGACGTTGACTATATCCTCATGCCGGCCTTTCTGTTCGAGACAACCACCTGTATGTAGATGCAATCCGCTTGTTCGGGTGAGGTCGCGGTCATATTTTGGAGAAGTTGGGGGTCCGTTCCTGCGTCTCCATATTATCCGAAAAGGGTATGGCGCCACCGGGCCCTGTGAACATGCCCTGGATTGACAGCGAACCTCTTCTTGTTAACGTCGGGGCGAGTAACACCAGGGCATTTCTCAGAGCGAATACAATGCGCATCCGACCACAAACTTTACCATTCACCAGGTGGTTGTCTGGTTAGCAGTCGTTCGCGCCACTGTTCGGGGCTGCTTGCTCTCCCGGAAGACACTTTGTCAACCACTCCGGCAATGTCGCTCAACTCTCCGGAAGCATAGACCTTCATGCGAGAAAATTGTAAGGATGGCCCGCACAGTATCATCACGAAGTCTCCTGTGCGTTGCTGCAAGCCACTGTGGACCGCCGGCAGTGCGTACAAGGTTACCTGTATCACAACTATCTTTCCAAAAAATCTTTCCAAAAGCCCTACATCCAGGTCAAGCCATCACCCTTGGCAGACCCTATGCGGTGCAAGCACCTGTTGCGACATCCCGGATGGCGGTACCTAGGTATGGATTTGCGGTCAGACTGTCGGTGTTTACTCGCGTCCGGCATTTGGGGCGGCTGCCGTTAGGCATACTCCGTATAGCTGATGATATTAACTCTCCTTGAGCCCCGTCAATGTTTAGATCTTTGCGTCAAGAGTCACTCGTTTCACTACAGTCCTTCGTTTTACCCGTCTTGGGTTGGTTATTTGCGTCTCTTACTTTTTTCCACTCACCAAGTACTTGTGCTTTTTCGAGTCAGACATTATCCCAAGATGGCGGATGCAAAGCAGCCAAAGGAATTCGCGATCACCATCATCGAGGATCCTGCAGACAACACCTACGATGCGCAGCTTTCCCCGCCAGCCAAGTGCTCGCAGCCGGAACATGCCTCTCTCAGTATACTGCCGCGACTATCAGCTTTCATTCACGAATGGACACCGTTTCTCCTTGTGGCGTCCTACTTCGTCTTCTCAACCTGCATCTACATGGTATGCGATGAGAAACTCATCGGGATCTTCTGGTTCGTCTACCTAGCAACCAACTTCTACATTGCAGGTTCAACAGTCCTGGAAGCTTTCATGAGCATCACGCCGTGCAAGGAAGCGAGGAAAGCTGTCGAGAAACCCCAAGACAACAACTGGGTATTTCCAACTCCAGACGAGAAGCTTCCGATCTTGGATCTTCTCATAGTCGCCTATCTTCCGAATGAGAAGGATATCATTATGGACCGTGTCTTTTATGCGCTCGAGAGGATCGTATATCCCAGAGAAAGGATTAGGATCAACGTGCTGTACAACACGCCAAAACCAATTGAGCCACTGGAGACGGAGCTACGCAACCTCGCTTACAAGTACTCCCAGTTGCGCGTGATCAAAGTCCCCAACTCCAGCTCCAAGGCGGACAACCTGAATTACTATTTCACACTGGAAACTGGCGCAGACCTCATTGCCATCTTTGACTGTGATCACTATCCGCATCCGCATGGGCCTCGCTGGGCGGCCGAGCGGTTTTGTCAAGATGCAACCGTCGATATCGTTCAAGGACGTTGTGTTGTTTTCAACACTTCCGCCTCCTTCCTCGCCGGCATGATAAGCGTAGAATTCGACAAGATTTACGCAGTTTCCCATCCCGGCCGAGCGGCGATTTGGGGCTTTGGCTTGTTTTGCGGTTCCAACGGCTACTGGCGTGCGACTCTGCTTCGCGATCTGAAGATGGACGGAGACATGTTGACGGAAGATATTGATTCTGCGTTAAGGGCAGTATCCAGGGGAGCGAACACTGTGCACGAGCTGAACGCTGTGTCGTACGAGTTGGCACCCACAACACTACCGGCTTTCTGGAAGCAGCGGCTTCGCTGGGCACAGGGCTGGGCTCAAGCCAGTATGAAGCACTTAAAGCTCTCTTACCAGAAGTCTCCGGAAGGATACAATAGGAGTTTCACTGTGAGATTCGGCCTGTTTTCGCTACTGCTCATCCGCGAGTGGTCATACTATCTGGTAACGCAATATACGTAAGTAGAAGTAGTTTCTGGTTACGCAAATTTCAACTGACAATGTGTAGATGTCTAGTGGCAAGCTTCGTAATCACGAAGTTCCCAATGACGCCGTTTGAGCTTGCGCGGCTGGTCTACTTCCAGTATCCAGTGTCTCAGTGGCTGTTTATTATCAGGTTAGTCGGCTTCTCTGCTTATATCAAAGCATCTGCTAATTCAGTCTCTGCAGCTTCTTATGCCTAATCGCTACACTTTGGATCACCGCTCGAGTCAGGTCCGAGTTCGTAACGGTCCGAACGCTGATCACGTTTTCAATCGTCTATCCCTTCTACTTGGTATTTTCGGCAACGATAGGACTGTACGGCCACGCGAGACAGGTTGTCAGATACTCCTCCTGGAACCCTACAGCACGAACATAACGTGTAGCGGCTGTATTATTACTGTAAACTTTCTGTAGATATTCGTGTCGGACTGGACCAAATGGGACGTTGGAAGTTGGACGGTGTTTTCACATTCCCAACGTGCATTGATAGACAGGGGCACAGCATTCTTTCTGCAGCTGCAATGGACAATCTTGTAATCGCTTGGCAGGGCCGCTACATGCATATGCAAAAGACCTTTTCAAGACTGCGTACTCGTGCAGGGATAGCCATGATGCGGTAAACCTCCGTGTTGATAGCGCGCACATTCGTGGGCTGAACGTGTCGACGCCTGGCGCCTCCGCAGGCCACCGAGGAAGCCACGAAAGCCCTTTTTCGCATGGCACGCTAGGGAGATCGCCTTCTGGGATGCTGATGCAATTTCAACGAAGGCCTTCACCTTAATCTTAGTGTCCCTGCTTCCTTTGCCCTACGAATATTCGGAAACGCTATCTCGGATCGATTTCTAGTGACCTCATTAGCGTCTCCTGAAGAGGGCCAGGAATAGAACAACACACGAAAGCCACACGGAGTGGATCCTCAGCGTGGTGTGAGCTACACAACGTACTGTCACTTGCATTGACCTGCAATAGTATGCGATCAGTATCATGGCTTGCTCGTAGGCTGTCGGCAGGACGCCTCGGTGTCCCACCTTGTGAGTCCTGTCCGAACGTCGAAGCTTGCCTGGTATCAAGTATCTGTACTTAGCCGTTCCGCCAGTCAACCATGGAAGGAGCTCGAATGTGCTGACGCAGGTACCGCTCTTCACCCAGCCCGGAACCATCGCCGGTTGGACATACCCGGACCTGGTCTTCTGTTATCACTGTACCGGACGGGATGAAGAGGTCGAAGCTTTACAGCCCTGTGGTGTAATCCATTAAGCCTCTCAACAGATTCGCGTACACATGGGCCGCCGGTCAATTATGCCGGCTTACAACTTCGCGCATCCGGATGGAAGACTTGCACCGCTTGAGCAAGCAGTTATTATATTCAATTGACTGTCTTTCCTGTACGCAGCTGTCTTCAAGTCCTGTATATTCATCGAAGCCCTGAGATCAGCGCCCAGTATGGGTCTCGCTATTGACTTTTCCGCTTCGTCGCTTGCTTCATCATCCTCCCAAGAGGTTGGTTACCTCGTTGGTCTGCGCGGTCTCTTCGTTCTACAGTCGTTTCTTTGGACCTTTCTGCAAGCATTTGTTCCCGCCGTAGTCGAAGCTCCCCAAGATACCATAGCCCCTACGTACCAAGTCATTCTACGCAAGACAGTCTCCGTTCTATTCTGGAACAAAAGCCTTATCTACTCCTTCTTCATCCTCGTATCTGCGCGCACGATATGCATTCCCTTCCTTTGGAATCCGACAAAATCCACCCTGGCCAGCTCCGTCTTCCGCCGCGGCATCCGCCTGTGGTTCCCAGCGGCAGTTGCGTTGGCGATAACCACTCTCATCTTCTCCCAGATTGGTCTCACCCATCTGGAGGACTTCAAACGAGGCACTGGTAATGAAGCTATAGAAGTGCCGTACAAGATACCTAAGGCCCTGACATACTTCAACTCCGTCTTCGGCCTCTTCTGGACGACGCGCAACTTCGCCACCCAAGCCGGGAACACTGCATTCCCTGGGCAGCAGCTGTGGATCGTGAACGCAATCTTCCAGCAGAGCTACACCGTCTACATGGCGATGGTCATTCTGCCTTACACCCGACCAGCCTGGCGTCTCCAGTCATACGCAATTATAATCGTCACTGCATGGTGGGTGCAGAGCTGGGTCTGGTACTCCTTCACCGGACTCGCACTGGCCGATGCTGTCACTAACATGGCGTTTCGGGAGAAAGCCAAGCGGGGGATAAAGATTTGGAGGAGCATCAGATGTCCCGTCTGGGTACTGTACACCGTCCTGACTACTGCAGGGTTGGTCATGCAATATCTATGGACGGCATGGAGACCGGCGTACCATCAGAAGGAGCTGGTTGCGCATACGGGATTGTACAATTCTGCATCGCTAAACGAAGACTACGATCCGAAGCAGCCGCTTGCGAGGGATGACGATTACCTTTTGCTGCTTGGATTGTTTCTATTCATTGAGCATTTCGAGGGACTCCGCTATGTCCTTGCGAATCGGCTCTTTATATACCTTGGCCGGAGATCGCTGAGTAAGTCGACGCAGATGCATCTTTGATCACTGGAAAGTAATCAGCTGAAGAACTCGAACTTACTTGAGGCACTATTAGGTTGGCTCCTCGTTCAAAGCATCTTTATCTACACCGCCGGCGTCAAGCTCTTTATGCACCTCCGCTTCCAGAAAGATTGGCCACTTGAGGGATCAGCGGCAGTATGCCTGGCCGTATGCGTGCCGGCGACGGTTCTCCTGGCTGAAGTCTTCTACCGCGCCGTCGAACATCCCTCGCAGGTCTTGGCGCGGGTCATGTTTGACTGGATTAGAGAATGATTCCTCCATGCTCAGACGTCAGATTTGAGGCTCCTCTTGGATGCCGAATGCGTTGGTCAAGTAGTAGCCCATCCCACGCTACACTGGATGACCACCGTTGTCCGAAGTCCTATTATCGAATTGCATCTCGAGGACATTCAGTTGTTCTCCTTCATGCGTTCCGATTCAGGTTTTTGCAGCCCCTAGTCGCACCCGCTTGTTAATGATACACATCAGAACTCGACGGAAAGGTCCTGTGTTGATCCCCTTACATCTGGCGCTTCAAGTACTTGTGCAGGCCTGTTCTTCCAACTCTAGTACGCGCCGTATCGTTTTTGTTGCTTGTTGTACTCTTCCGATCTACCAGACTTCAGATGTATCTATCTACTTCTCACACTATTCATTGTTTGCTCGGCCCATCCGTGTTGCATTGCCTGTGACAATTAGTTCACTCTCTATTACCCATCCTATGCGCAACTCGAATCAGGAAGCGTATACTGCAGAACAACTCCACGCTAGTGGTAGTGCGCTTTGAAGGTCTCGGTCACTCATCATTACAATTTACAGTCTTGATACTACGTCCATCGATATTCTCTTGATAACAGACGCAAAATCTAGGCTCAACCAAGCGCCATCCGTTCTGAGCGCCGTCCGGTTAACTGGAAGGACAAGAAGCAAGCCGAAACACCGAACTCATCATAGGCACTAGCTGATTTATCGTCGGTCATTATGCCGGTTCAGACACCATTGCCGTACTCACGGTTGTATGCCCGGAGACGAAGCGGCTTGCACAGAGCATGCACATAAGAGCTGCTACAGGTGGGCAACAGTAAATCATACAATCAAGCCCCTGGTGCGCCCAAGCTCGAGCGCACCAACGCCCGCTGACCAAGCTTTACAGATTCCGAAAGACACACGGTTGGGAGCTAGCCTTCAGGTAAACCAGCAGGCTCCGGCGAATGACCAAGCATAAAGTCATGACGCTCCGCCATATTCTCCTTTCTTTCCTTACCACCTTCTAAGATGGCCTTCTTCCAACCCAGCAACTTCGTCCGGCTCGACATCTTGGTCCACCTCACTGGCTTGATCAACGCGCACGACCCCAGGATCTTCAACTTGAAGCACTCCATTTGGTTCTTTGGGCCTGATCAGCTGTTCGTTCCACGCCAGCTCGTCCAGTGGCTCGACGGTGCTCCCTGCATGATCTGGTGATTCAAGTGCTCATTTGATAGGATCATCAGTGTGCCAACGGACACGGCCAGTCTGCCAATTCTCACGACTTGGCATGCTTCAACCCGCAGCGCGAAGTCTGGTCACATCGACTCTACGCGGATAAACAATTCTACTAGAGTTGCAAGGCGGAGTCAGCTTTGAACCACCACAGCCGGCAGCGGGATCGATGACGAGAGGAAGTACTTTGTAACTATCCAACAAGTGTCGAATTCGACGGCTTCGTGTATCCCTTCTCATCAGTCGTTCGAAGCCACAAGCTTGGCTGGGCTGGAACCGGATTGATGGTCGATAGTTTAACCCAGTCTGTAAACGGAATGCTTGGTCTGAAATTCGCTATCTGCAGCGATGATGCCGCTTTCAGGGTGCCTCCCCAAGTTGTATTTTGGGTCTCTCATTCTTTCTGGCCCCACCATAGATACTAGCCAACAGGATCTCAAACACGCGAAGAGCTATGAGGAACCGACGGCTCCGGCGAGCTCCAGCATATACTCAAAAGTTCCGAGGTCCGGTACTACTCAGCTTATCTGCTCGTAGTCTCTCATTGTGCGGTCCAAAGTCCTCTTTGAGCGACGGCCGCTAGAGTGGTTGACCCAGAGAGCTGAGAGGCCGTCCAAGACTCATTCTCTTGGTATTTGCAGCCGTCTCTGCTGCAGCCTGCACCTCATCCGAGATACGACTCGGAAGGATAGTGGTGCTTCTTGCTTCTCTAACGCGTCACCGGAGGAAAACCGGTGGGGACTTGTTCAGCACGTCAGCATGCATTTCATCATTAGCTTGTACACTACATGATCACCGCCCGGCGCTGGTGGTCAACTGCAACACAAGCTTCCTTGGCTTGTCCCGCTACGCTCGGCAATACTATTCGGCGTCGTTACGAGCTGATGACGATTGGCGCCATCATCAGCAAATACCGTACTCTATCCGGCTTAAGAAACTTATCATGCTTACCGCTAAGGGAGTTTCCCTATCCATCATCTGTACCAGGGTGTAAATGCCGGCTTTCACGTACTTCAAGCACTGAATGGAAATTGCCGTTGATATTTTGTTACCGCATCTCTCCAGGCATTGTACAGCGGGTTATCGGTCAGTGGTTCAGTTGCAGTCCCTGCGATGCGGGCGGAGAGAACGCCACAGAGGATCTTATTATCTCCGAGTTGGAGGAAGAAGAAAAAAAAAACGCGTCTAGCGTAAATTTCCACAGCTCTATCCTTGTGTTGGAGCTCCTGTGTTAGTCGGGTATCACCTCGACGGACCATTGGTCTTGGGACTCGACGGGTGATCTCTCTTAGTAGCTGGGTACGACCTTATAGGACCTTGTCTGCGCTCTCAGCCCAGACGCGCCAACAATCCGCCATCACCGTCAATCTGAATAAAGTACTAGTACCAAACCGATGCTGGCAGCGACACTTGCTCGGCAGATTCAAGAGCCTCATGATTTGTATAATTCGCGGCAGTCTCTGTCTCAATCTTTTCTTTGTGAGTGTCCGGGAGAGTGCTCGGTTTCCCAGCTGTGTTCGCAGCTCCTGTTCGTGTAGTGTACACTTGGTATCATTAGCCGTTTGCGATCAAAGAGAAAATCGTTTTCAGAAGCCGGGAGTGTACTCTATGCAGCTTTATCGAAGCCGTGAGGATCCATGAACCGGCCGAGGGATCCCAAAAGCCGGTGGAGGAAAGACTTCTCTGCGGCGGCCGCCCATATAGTCTCTCGACAAACATTAGTCTTGGCAGATTCGTTGCTGAATAGTGGATCATGATTCTTACCAGTGATCTTCGTTGGGAACTCTCTCAGACTGCGTACCGTTTCAAGATATGTCTTGCTGCTGATCTGACATATCCTCCATGTAGTAACCAGACGCCAGAAAGGTTTCAAGATCCTCTTCAGTCGTCACTGCGTGCATCGCCAAAAGGCGGGATGGTGGTCTGTGTCGTTTCGGTAAAAGTGTCATGGTTCGAGGATCAGTCAAGAAATCCGGCACGCTGGCGAACTGTAGGTGTTTTGGTAGTGGCGACACTTAGAGTCTCTCGCCGGCTTTTTGCTTAATGGGTCTCTTGCTGAATCGTTGCGAAGATGGCAGTTGAGCGTCTGGGGACCTGCCAGATATCGTCCCAATGTGGATAGAGAAATATTCCGCACTTCGGCAATGAAAGCTTACTCCTCTTTGACCTGCTTATGACTCTTCTCCTGCCACTTCCAGAAACAACAAGGTTTTCTCGAGCCTACCGATAACCTGTCTGGGCATTTCTCCCGAACCAAGTTTTCAGTCACAGCTTCGAAAGCCTTTCGAGCCAAGAAGCGGAGCTCCCAAAGACGGCATACCGTATGATTCTGGAGACGTGTACTGAGCTGCATTCACAGTCTGGATCACCGGCCGATCACCGAAGCCAGTCATGTTCCGTCTACAATGCACTTCTCAATCAGCATCGTGGGGCCCAGATTCTTTACTTCTTGGCTTTCCCGTGAAATTGTGAGAAGCGAGCCTTGCTGGGAGCAAGATATCGTCACACGGCATCGCGACTTCTTCTACTGCGCTGATTCCCGGCGGGACTAATTGACTTGACGGTGAGATTGTTGCAAAGGGCTTCGTACTCTAGGCTCTCTTCATAGACTTGGTAGGTGGGTTGAGTTCCGGTCACGGCGTTTCCGAGTTCAAGCTTGTTCAATGGCGACGGGGTTAGTGTGTAGTGATCCCGCTCTGTGACAGTTGTTACAAGTGTGAACCTCGAATAGACTCATAGCTGTGAAACTGGAGAAGTGCGTTGTTGAGAGAAAGCTGGAGGGGTGGGATTAGATCTTGACTCCCTTGAGTTTTGGAAGGTGGATCGAGGTCTTGGAAGCCGTGTGACTCGACGACGGCTGAATCGGGCTTCAAAGAAGGCGTTATGGTCTGTAGATATCAGCTTTGGAGTTGTTGTGTGTTGGCTGGACTGTCGGACAACGGAGGAAAGCCCTTGCTGCGGTAGAGAAGATGGCTGGATTAGCAAAAATGATCTATAACGGCTGCAATATGACAGTGACCACGGTAGTGCCTTGCGCTGGTTGATGTGAACGAGTTTTGGTGTGTGGACTGTGTGGGCACAAAGGCTTGTCGTGTGGCAACAAAGGCGGAAGCTGTGGTGAGTAGCGAGTGAGAAAGGTCGAGGCTAGGAGGCGCCGTAACAAAGCGACGCTCCCGAGTTTTTTGCCAACACCTCTCAGTTGTCGTGACCAACGTCGACCAACAACAGCTGCATGCCAGATGCAAAACAGTCGAATGCTCCAAGCCGGAACCCGAATTGCCCACCGAAGGATAGGATCCGTTAGTATCAGAATGAGAGGAGCTGCGGTTAGTAGCAATATCGAGGGAGACAGGAGGAAAAGAGCAAAAGACAAGGCTGCGAATGCCGAAGATTCGAACTCGGGTTTTCGCCTGACCGGGATTTGGGAGGGCGACACCTTTACCACTAGGTCACATCCGCCTAACAGGGAGGTTTGGGCTCGGGTTGAAGAACGATCAACAAGTGAAGGGTTCCTGGTATGTCCTATCCAACTGTTATACAAGAAGGAGCGGACCCGTGACGGCACGTCGGTCCTAACCGCGTCTCACCGCGGGGCCAGACCACCTACAACGGGTATTCGCGACACCGAGCAAAACACAAGCAAATGCAACGCCGTATGCCCGCCTAGGCTATGCAGAATGAGGAAGCTCATTGTGATGCAGACTTACAACGACTGGAATATCATCGTCTCGCAAAAAGCAACAATTCCCCTCGCATAATAACAAGATCGAAGGCCTGCAAGCTCTTTCTCCTCCGTCAATATCGAAAAATCGCGGAACTCGAATGTTACTCAATGCTGGTCAGGCGTCTTCTCCACAGCTACTGTCTGAATCTTCACATTCTCGTTGATCACGGCTTCCAAGTTCGCGTTGGTCCTCTTCGGCGCGTCAGGCTTGATGTGACCGAACTCGTCCCTCGGTTTCCTCGACCAGCCAGTCTTGAACAGCTTGCCGAGTTCGAAGCGCGGAAATGGATGGCCCTCGGTATTGAACACAACGTCTTGAAGGGGCAGGACATCGGCCTCGCCAAAGGTCAGGAAGAGATACTTCAGCGTCTCGGCCTGGAACTCAAGTCAATAAAGGCTCAAAGTACTCGATGGTATCAGAGGAGGGAAAGATAGGGAAGAGGAAGAAGCGCATAAGGAGCCAGACTAGCGAAAGACAGCGCGCGACAACAAGACCGAGTACCCGAGGCAATGCTTTCGAACCCGACTCATTGGGAACTAAGAGACTAACGGGAAAAACGAGAGCACAACACGCGAAAAGGTCAACGAAAGAGTTACATACCAGCCAAAAGCTCTCCAGGTTGTCCTTGAACCGCGATGGGATAAGCTTCACGCTGTTTATGCTGCTGAAGCCGCCGTCATCCGGAACAACGGCGTGCTCAACGAAAGCCTGGAAGATCTCCCAGGCCCAAGTACGATATTGGACATCTCCTGTGATGCGCCACATGTAGAACAGGCTCTCTACAGTCTCCGGACGTAGCAGGTTGTGTGCGTCGTTGGGCTTGATCACGAAGTCATCCCGCCATTCTGCGTTACGATCTGGATCGAAAGACTCTGGCGATTTGAGGTCCCAGCCCTCCCAAGCCATCTTGTGGGGTTCCCAGGTGCGGAAGAACGTGATCTCGGCGGCCAATCCTGTGGGCGTGACCTTGTACATCCCCATGCAAGTCTTCATCAGCTCTTTCGCGAGGTTCATGGCTTCTTCTTGTCCTTTACTCCAGCTCCCAGCCTCTTTGAACTCGTTCACAGTCAAGCCGCCGGTCACGGCGAGCGCGATTGTGCCGGGCATGAAGCAGACGAGATGGTCCATCTTCGGAGATAGACCGCCATCGAGGCCGGTCGGGCGTTCTGCGAGGACGGTAAAATTTGACGGGTATGAGTATGTGATCAGATGCTTGCGGACGCCAGTGAGGGCTTCGTCCCACATCTCCCGGTAAACCGGCTCCTGTTGCGAGGTTTGGAGGTATTGCTTGATGAGGTATTCTGTCGCCGTATCAATATATAAGCTTGTATATACGGCACCCTTAGGCCCTTGTCGTGTCCTCTTACCATAATAGCTGTCGCCGCGGCTGCCAAGGCGAATGTTGCTGTCGCGGAATCGTCCAACGTCTGGATCAATGAATATGGGGAGCAAGCCGTCCCTTTGACCGATGTCGTCGACGACTTTCATCACCTTTTCCGCCTTTTCCCAATACAACGTTTCGCCAGTGAGCTTCGACAGATACTTCATCTCAAGCTGAGTGGTGGTCGCCTCAGCTGTCGACGAAGCTCCGCCATCCGCATGGGACCTGATGCCCTTCCTGGACTTCAGGTTTATGCTTGCATAGGGGATTCCAGTCATCGACTCGTAAGCCCCAAGGAGGCGGTCGGCGAGGTCGCTCGCTTTTTCCAAGTAGAGGTCTTCGCCGGGAGATCCTTTCGCGATGTGCATTGGGGCGTAGTGAGGAAGCTCTGTCGACAAGTAGTGAGCGGAGAGAAGGCCCCCAAGCATACGAATCGTCGTTTCAAACGTGTTGACGTCGTGGTCCTTGTCGTAGTCGAGGCTTGTGGATATCCAGTCTTGCGCGTGCTTGAGTTGCGTCGTGAGGTTCATCAAGATCATTGTATCAAGGGAGTCGACAATTATCCAGCCCAGGCCGCCGTCCACCATGTCCCTGCCTGTCTTGGAGACGGGATGGAACTCGTCGTGACCTGCGGGATGATCAGTCAGTACAAGATCTCTCGGATAGAAAGATCTATGTGTTGTCGGACAATTTGTATATATTGTATGACCTACCCCACGCGTACTTTTCGTACGCGTTCCAGGTCAGCAGGAAGGCATCCCGGACTTGATCTTGACGGCCCTGCCAGTTGATGGCGCCGGGCGAGAGCGCCGAGGGATTTGAGGACGTAAAGAACCCCATGTAGTACATGAGGGTGGCTGCGGCGAAGAGGAGGGCACCGAAGAAACGCTTCCTGAGCATGGTGGAGCGCTTCGTCTTGGGGTAGAAGGGCTTATCCTTGTACGTTGGGAGCTCCATGCCCCTGTTGGAGCCCCAGACGCGGTCTTCGAGATGGCGCTGTGAGGCGCCGAAGGCTGGCACGTTGCGGGGGACCGCAAACGACATGGTGGTTGTGGGGGAGGTGGTGGGAGAGGAGATGGTGGGTGGTGGTGTTTATGGAGGGTTGCGCGGAGGCCCGAAGGGGAAGCTTGACGGCTGGCCTTGGCACCACCATGAACTTCTACACCTGCTGCACCACAACGACAAGCTATTACTACAGCCTTACGAGAATTGACAAGCTTTACCACTTGCTTGAACTATCTTAAGCACCGTATTCAGAGCCGAGGTTATCGAATCAGGGAACGGAGGTGGTATATTCATAGCCACAATCTCCACGGACAGCAGCTCAGCTTCAACTCCACGAGGATCTATATTCGCCATCATTGTCTGGTTCTCAAAGCCCTTGAAGCTACTAATCGTCCATATATGCGCAAACCACTGTCAGTTTGATTGTATATGAGGCCTCCAACCGCCAATCGGGAGACTCTCCATCTCCTTTCTACCCGAACTTCCTCATCGCGACCAGCTTTACGGATTTCAAGTACAAGCTGCGTACAACTGGCACCAACTCCTAGGAAAGCTTTTCGTAAGCTTTTCTAGCCGAATCAGAAGCTTCATGGCAAATCTGAAGAGCTACCGTTGCCAGGCATGCTAGGTCATCACGCACTCCGCCAGGCTCCGGAGTGATGACCGGTCACCGAAGTATGATATACTTACGCAGAGCTAACGAGATGCTTTATATGTACAGGCAACCGGCGTCAACATTTAGGAGACTTCGTAAGGGCGGCGATGGTTGTCCAGATGCAGCTTCCTATCTCACCAGCAACCGCGAGAATGTTCTGAGGGGTTTAACGGCTGCAATTGCATTCTTCTACAAATGATACGAAGCACCTATAGCTCGTCCGATCTGACATGGACTGCTTGAATATCCACATTGACAAGAAACTGAAGATACTTGCCATCTCAAGGGGAGCCAAGACCCCTACATGAGAGCTAGCCAGAAGTGACGTTATGGCACTGTCAGACGACAAACTCCAACACATATCCTCAGCACTTCACCACTCAACACCAGATTATACAGTTGCCTCAATCGCCACCGACAACATGAAGCACCTCTCAATCAACCCAAGCAATGCCGAACCACCCACCCGCGACCATCCCTCGCACCCGGATTCCCTTCCTTCAGCTAAAGAAACGAAGCTCCACCCTACGAACGCCGGCTCCGAGAACGCAAGCATCTTCTTTGTAGGGACCGCAACCACGATCCTAGAATGGGAGGGTATCCGGGTAATGACTGATCCCAACTTCCTCCACGCCGGAGATCATGTTCACCTTGGACCCGGTGTGACTGGGGAGCGCGTTACGAATCCGGCTATTGACCTGCACGAATTACCGCGGATTGATGTGGTTCTCCTGAGTCACTACCATGCGGATCACTTTGACCAGAAAGTCGAGGAGAGCCTGAGAAGAACGCTGCCGATCATTACGACGCCACATGCAAAGAGCTGTCTCACGTCCAAGGGGGAGGAGGAGAGCTTCAAGAATGTGTATGATCTGGACTTCTTCGACAGCATGATGGTTGATGTTGTGTCGGAGGGGGGAAAGGATAGGATTCCGAGCATCAAGGTCACGGGGATGCCGGGGAAGCATGTGCCTCCTGGGCCACTCTCTATCGCTAATGACATCCTGAAGGCGGTAAGTACAGCATTGCCGACTCTGCTTCACAGACGAGTAGCGGCTGACTTGTCTAGGTTCCCCCTACTAATGGCTGGATGGTGGAACTGGGCTACACGACGAAAGATGGTGGAGAAGGCAGCTTCGAGAACGGCTACCGGTGCGCAGACTGCTCCTGAAACTCAATCTGCAAAACTGACAATCCCAGCATTTACATCTCCGGCGACACCCTTATGGTAGATGAGCTCAAAGAGATTCCGGAGCGCTACAAGGGGCAGAACATCGATCTGATGCTCATCCACCTGGGAGGCACTACAATCCCCTCGCCAAAGATACCGCTACTAATGGTGACGATGGATGCAAAGCAAGGCATCCAGTTGATGCAGCTGATAAAGCCGGATCTGACGATCCCGATCCACTATGATGACTACGACGTTTTCCTGTCGCCGCTCTCGGACTTCAGGAAGGCGGTTGAAGAAGCAGGACTGAGCGACAAGGTGGTCTTTCTGGACAGGAAGGACCAGTACAAGTTCCAAGTCAAATAGTGTGCAGGATTTGAATGCGCCTTGAAGATTCGTGGGGAGTTCACTGCCGGAGAGCTGGATTGAATTTCTTGAACCATGGAACTTGATGATTTTGCTGGTGAAACGTGCTGGGAGCATGATAATTCCCCCATGCCACGCAATGAGACAACACTGACTCCGAACCCACTGCGGCCTCGACACCTCAACCCGGCACCCCTCCCTCAGCCATTCTCTATTTGCCCTTCGTCTTCGTTCCCACCTCATTGATCGTAAGCCCTGCACCACCACGCATTAGCACGATAATCCTTCCTCTGGCTCTACCTTCCGTGCTCCCTATCCTCGTACAGACAGGGGCAGCCATAGGCGTATAGCGGGGGCATACCAGGAGGCAAACTCTGCTTCAGCTTCTCCGCCTTATCCGAGTCCTTGAGGACGAGCGTGTACAGGTAGCGGTGGCATCGGACCTTGAACTTGATGTTGTTGGTCTTCTTGTTCTTCTTTATCCGCGCGGCTGTTGAGCAAAAATCGACGAGTCAGCCATAGTATCCTAGTGGCAGCATGTTCTCCCGCCTTGCTGCTTCCTTGTCCTCCTTTTGCGCGCAATTGTGCGCCTCGCTGAATCCGATGCGGTTGCGATAGCTGTGGGACCGGGAGTGTGGCTCACATGAAGCATCCTTGCGGCGGCAGATCTCGATGAACTGCTTGATATCTGAGACTTCGGAGGGCATGGTGGGCGAGCGAGCGTGTCTTGTGGGTTGGGGGTGGTGTTTCGGGAGGTCAATTGACGTTGGCTGTCGCTGTCGCCAAAAATGCTTGTGCGGGTGAGTGCTTCGGAAATTCGCTAAGCGGGAGGTGTGGCTGTGCGCGGGGTTCAAGCCACAGTGACGGAGCGTGAGGCGCGAGCTGGGAGTTGGACAGCTTGCATCAATGCCTTCACCAAAGCAAGAAACATCTCCAAGTTCTCTGCTTCTTACCTAGATACTGTTTCTACAAGAGAAGACACCTATCTTGAGCTGTGATCTCTGAGCTTGGTTCCCTCATATGCCAACCTAGACCCTACAGCCTCCGAACCACTTTACCCCTGTAAAACAAAGCAGCAAGATGCCTACGCCACTTGATCGCGCCCTGAACTCACGAGTAAGTGTTCGATGAGCCAATCTCTCCTCCTGTCTTTTATATTGTCGGCCTCTGCTCCATTTCCGCATAAGTATTACCTGACTGATGAAGAACTTAGAATACATTCCTTGGTAAACGCCCACGTTCCGAGCCGTGAAGCGCTATATCGAACTCCTCTGACACTCCCAGCTTTCGCCGGCCTAGTCACTGCCGTATCCGCATGGACGATCTGGGGTCCTAGCGCTGTCTTCCCCAGCGAGCCAGACCCAAAGGGCGGTATGTACTCTCCAGCCTCATGCTCTCTGAGCAAAGCCTGTAGGAGACTACTGACACGCAGTATCAGACCCAGAAACGTGGACGGTCACTGAGTTGAGACGCTGGCTTGACCGGGTAAGTAACAGCTATCTTTTCCCACGCTCTGCTCTGGTTCTTTGATGTAGACCGCCTGCTGGCTATACCACCCCTCCCTACATCCCAATATCAAGTTTTCCGGCGCGAACCCTGCAAGCCCGTGCACGTTGATTTCCTCACCTATTTCACCAATGCTAACGTTGCTTCCTCTGCGCTATCAGCGCGGCCTTCTCCCCAGCAGTAACGCCTCCCAGGACGAGCTGCTCGAGCGAGTAAAAGCGAACATGCGGACGCCGCCGAGAGCTTAGGACTGGCAGGACCGAGTCCTACTGCCTTCTACCGGCGCTCTGAGTGGCTTTGGAAGACTCTTGGTCAACGGCCGTTGCTTGGATCCCGGGATGGTATCAATGCTCCAGGTCTTAGTTCCTTCGGCGGGTATTTCTACGGCTTTTGGGCTTGTGATACCAAGTAACTAAGTTAAGGCGTCATTTGTGCTTTTGAAGGATTTTTTCGTGCCCTTGTAATATATCCTGAGCGTGTCTTTGAACGCAAGTCATCGTGATCCTAACGTCGTGTTACTTGGTATGCTGGCGGCCGGTGACAGGCAGACCAAAGATAGAAGCGGAATGGTTCGGAGCAAAATGCAACGCAAGTGGTTAAGCGCAGGTAGAACCGTCAGCAAAAAGCACCCCTCCTGGGATGATCAGCAAGACATTTAACTTGCAGGGATTATGAACGGGTTAACCGGCGCTCGTGGTGAGTCGCACGCGTCTGCTGTCTTGGGCGCTGATGGACCCGACGCCATGTGTCTCTGCGCAGGTGGTACACGTGATCCTGTCCACGTCATCATTGTTCGGTTTGGGTCTTCACAGCATGAATCGCAGGGCACGGTTTATGGGTGGATGGGCGAAGCTGCCATCGAGCGCTGTGGTGATGCCACGAAGAAGGTGCTTGGAAGAATCTCGAGTCCCGAACGCGGCCACGCTTCCCTTGGGAGCCGCGTCCAGGCCGGCCCGCGCGAGCACTTCGAGTCTGGGGATGTGATTCGGGCGTGCTGCAGCTGTAGCTAAGAAAAAGGCGCTCGAGCTGCGGCCAATGGCACGCGAGATGTTCCTGGTCAGTCGCGCGCCGCTGCCGTGCGACGCGCCTCTCTTACAACCTCCGCAGCGCTGACCGCTTTCACTGGCCAGCGTCAACACTCCCTCCAATCCTGCTCGAGCATGAAGCGCCGGCGTGGGGAGAAGATGTCGGCGCTTCGGCCTGCTTGAGGACGGCAGTTCTCCCCTGCGCCGTTGTCGAGGAGGGGGATTTGCCTCTGTTTTTGTGGTCGAACAGGTCGCCGTCGAAGCTGGGAGAGCTCACCATTTATTTGCAGCTGACAACGCGCAGGCAGTGCAGTCAGCTCAGCGTCGCATAGCACACAGAGTTACACCGGCCCTAGGAAACTGAATGCGCGAGATCTGCAGCTGTTGAAACAGAGCCGGGCGTCTATTCCTGGAGATCCGCATCTGACCGTTCGACTCGAGCGCTGTCCACCGACCTGGATATGCCACCACCAGCCTATCAGTGCCCTCCACAGCCTGCAGAGCAAGCCCTCAGTTGGCGCCATACATCTAGCCTCTGCCATCTACCCGCCCGGGCTTGCTCCCCAAGCTCTCTCCACCTTCTTCATACCCATCTTTAAACCTGCGTGCGCGCATCGGCAGCAGCCACCCTGTATTCCTTGCTCTCCGAAGCGCCAGCCCAGACAAAAGCCTCCCATTTCCACTCACTTACTTCTCTCTCTTACATTCTCCGACAGCTGGCCTGCCTTACCGTAATACAGTGCGTTCTCTCTTTTGCTTCTCGTACTCTTTGCAAAGCTTGTCATCTGTCGAGCTGGACTGGGCAGTGCCTGCTCTTCTTTTCACAGCATCCCGTTGTACTCTTCTCTCTGCTCGATTACTTGAGCATCTCACGTCAGCGTCCTTCCGACACCGCATCACAGAATGGCTGCCAACGATAAGAAAGAAATCACAGTTACTGTCACCGCCGTAAAGTCTCGATCATCTATTGATTCCGTCGCGCCCTCCCTCAAAACTCCCCGAGTCGCCCGCTTCGCCGAGGCAACTGCTGTGCACTCGCCTATCGAGCCGAAGAAGTCGCCCTTCGCAGACCTTCCGACAAACCACTACACGCCTCAGCCGCAACCAGCGGACGTTGGATTTGGCTATCTGTCGGCCAACGCCGCCTCAAGGCACGCATCTTATCAGAGTCACGGAGTCGAAATGGAGGAGACGGACAGGAGATACCTCCCTCCGCCGACTCCAATGTCGCCGCTGAAGAGTGCAATGAAGTCGCCGGGTACGCCAGGGAGGAAGTTCGACGCACTACGAAGTCCGACATTCCGGGAGGAGCAGATACTGGAGAAGCACGAGGAGTCCACGGAGAAAGAACAAGCACAAGATCTTGTAAGAAGCGAGATTCGTATCAAAAAGCGTGCAAAAGCTAACGATTCCATTCAGAAAATCAAGTTCCGTGTACGGATAGCAAAGGTCTTCCTCCGCGGGATCAATTTCGCCTGCTCGCTCATCATCCTGTCCATGCTTGCAACGGTCTTCGCCATCTTCAACGCAACACGACACCTTGCGCCACGAAATAACTCGCTTCCATGGGCGTCAAATACACCGACCTGGCCACAGATCACTCTCCTCACGATTGCGTGCATATCACTCTTCATGTCCATCGTCGTGCTCGCAGCGTATTGGCGCGGCGGACACGGGCGCGCCGAAAAGGTGGCGGTATACTACACCGTCTTCGCCGTTGCTTTCTTCGTTTTCAGCATCGTCATGTGGGGCGTTGGCGCCGCCATCCTGAACCAGAGCAAAGCAAACGGTAACGGCCAGGATCTGTGGGGCTGGTCATGCAAGGACAACAGGCGGCGTCAGCTCTTCAAGGACGACGTCTCCTACGATCTAGTGTGCCGTCTTCAGGTAAGCATCTCATCCACATCTCTCACAAACAACCCACTAACAGGACCTACAGGACTGGGCCCTCGTCTGCTGCATAATCGAAATCGTCGTCGAAACCATAACAATCCTGATCTACGGCATCGTCTTCTACCGCTACTACTCCAAGCGCCGCCTACGCAAGTCCATGGCGGTCCGCGACCGCGCCCGCAGCGACCTCTACCTCGCCCAACTGCGCTCGCAATCCGCGCCCAACACCCCCGGCTTCGGTCCCCTCTCTCCGCGCGACGGCGGCTGGCGTCCCCCACCCGGCCATAAAGACCCCATCATCGCCGCCGAAGAGGGCGACAGCACCGAGAACGTTCAATATCCCCGTGGCTTCGCGCAGCCCAAGCCGTTCAACCTCATGCCGCCGCCGATCAAGATCCAGGGCGCCACGCCGAAGGTTACGCAGGGAGGCTTTGGGGATGCGGTTGCGCCGGCGAGTCCGACGGTCCCGACGAGCCCCAGGTTTGAGATTGTGCAGGATCATGTCCCTGCGGCGCCGGGCGAGCAGACTTATGCTGCTGTGCCGATTCCGGGCGCGTATGCTAGTCCGCTCAACTCGCCGGGACTGCCGCCGGCCAATATGGCGATGAGTGGGTTTGACTTTGGGCCGAGTGTGAATGCGGAGCAGCGGCCGTCGCAGCAATAGTGTTAGACTGTAGAATGAGTTGCGTTTTGCTTGGTTGTCGATCGGAACTTGGTTTCTTTTGTTAGACATTTTTGGGGATACCTGGGGGGTTGGGCGGCGCTTTTGATATAGGACTGGCATCCGCTGTCACCCATGTAAACGTTCATTTAAGACTTTGACATGATCATCTGATCTTTTACTACTGAGATTCACATCGCCTTCCATAAATCGTCGGTTCTCGTTGCCATCTATGTCACATTGTTCCCAGTGCTTAGCAACTCACCTTTCAGAATCTGGTCTATCTACCATTCTCGCGCGAATAAACACAACGATTCCTGGCACCCCCCGTTCGCAAACCCTTTCGTTTCGTTTCTGAATCCGCAAACTGGGTGGCTAGATACAACGGAGCAGTGAGGCAGGAGCGGCTTTCAGAGGCGGCTGGCCTCAAGGATGTCCTGATGCGTGTCGCTGAAGCTGCGTGAAGGCGCTTTTAGCGGTGATGTGCTCATGTGCTCGGTGCTGAAGCGTAGCGCTCACCAAAAGTCATGCACATTCACTTCTGTTGCATCATGCCTTTCGTGAACATCTCGCTTCACCGTGCCGTCTTCACCGATTTCGTTCAACCAAGCCCACAACATCGACTGCGTAAAAGTCTTCCTTGTCCTACCGTCGTCGTGCACTGTTTTCTTCAAGAGTTTCAATCACACCCTTCGTTAGAGTATCAGTCAGGCCACAAGACATGCATCCACACATTGCTGGCAAGTGTTCTTCCAGCACAGTCCGTCGAATGAGTTATCACTGATCGTGTGCTGCAGATCCGTTCGCGGAGATTTTTGAAGAGAAGGACCTGCATATCTCCCACTCGCGGGAATGGAGTCGCCCTCCCAAATCGCATGAGCCTGACGACTTGCAGCGGACTCTACGGGAGCTCTTCGACTGCCTTAGGCCTGCGTGGAACGGCCGTTTCCGTATGGCGCTTGACTTGAGCAAGACATTCGGTTCCGATGCTGTAGCGAAGCCATACGGAGACACCACTTCCAAATGGAACCCTGCTGAGCGCGACCTGATCATCATGCTAACCATGCTAATTCTCGCATACAAGCCGAAGGGCGAGAATACGCAACAGCTTACTGCCAAGGACATCGTGATAATCACGCCCTACGCAGGTCAGCGCAGCGCTATCATTGAGGGATTGCAGGCGGCAAGCACCCAGGACCCTGCAGTACGGGCCATCGGCGGCTTGCCAACTCTGCCGGAAGTGGAAGTTGCCTTGCCGGCCAGCATGCGAGGCCGCGAGGCTCCGATTGTCTTGCTTTCACTTGTGTCAAACGACCACGAGGATCCGTCAAATATAGGCCTCATCTATGATCTCGAGCAACTCAAAGTGAGTCGAATTGATCTGTTTACATTCTCTTGCGAGGTTGACAGCTCTTGCTGTTTAGCTGAGATTAGCCAGAGGGTGGCGCTTCACTCATCGTTCGATACCGATAGCTAACATGTCAGCAGGCCGAGATGGGTGTGGCCCAGAAGTTCCTGTTCATGGTCGGCAATTTCGCTCCCTGGTGTCAAGATCGACTCAACAATGCGCCGTGGTTGAATCGGAACCCCCGTAGTGAGTTCTCATGACATCGTTCACCTAACTGCATAGAACTCTTAACTCAACCTTTTCACAGACAAGCATTTCAGTAACCTTCTCTACAACCTCTATAAGAGGCAGGACATCATCGCCCTCCCGGACTTCAAGCTAGGATTCCTGCAGGAAGATTCCATAAAGCCCACTCGCCTGTTCTTCCAAACGGTCAGACCGTCTTACGATTACGAGGCCGACCCTGTGCAAAACCGTGCCCCGAAACAGCCTCCCCGGAAACAAAAATTCGACCGGCGCTTGACTGCAGGCTCTGAGCAACCTGCTGCAAAGAAGCCAAACTTGGGAGACGACAAAGCAGAGTCCGGCGAACGTCGAGCTGAGCTCGGAGAAGTCCAGGCAAGTTCCGGAGAAGGTCAGGCAGACTCTGGAGAAGAACAGGTAGATAATGGAGAAGGCCCTAGAGCAGGCCCATCAGACTCCGGAGAAGACCAAGCAAAAGCTGGAGAAGGCCAAGCACACGCTGAAGAAGACCAACAAACCCACGTGGAAGTTCAATCAGCTCCCGCAGAAGCCCAGCTCCATCTGGGTAGTGAGGGCCGCAGTGGGAGCCACGGAAAGAAGGGAAAGAAAGCTTCAGTTAGGATGGTAGAGGCCATGGCAGAATTGATGCGAGCCGTGGCGGAGATGGTAGAGAAGCCCGTAGCAGAGATTATGGCAGAGGTCACGGAAAAGGTCACGATGGAGGCCGCGGAGGTCGTGGCGGCAGAGGTAAAGGACGAGGTGGCGGCGGTAACAGAGGAGCGCGCGGTAGGATCCTAGCTCGCGTGACATACACGGAGTGCTTCTCTGTTTGAGATTGATTGGGGGTTTGGCCTTGGAGATGTTCTGCATCGTCTATTTTCGCTTTCTACTGCTTGCAAGACTTGTTCTGCTACATCATCACTCTGGGTCCAGTTACGAAGGAACCAAGGCGAACACCTCTTGTATCGAGCGTCGACACTGACTGTAAAGCAACCGATTAACAATATCCATATTAATGCTACGTACAGCTAACTACGCCTCACAGCGTGAAGGCGCACTTTCCCACCATCCCAACAACCATAAAACACGCCCTCTCTCCTATTCCGCTGTCCCGCCCCTACAAAACCTTCCCAGCAACAATCCTTCGTCTCCACCTGCCTCAACGCCCCCTTACTAATCCCCTGAATCTGCCCCAGCAACGCACCCCTTGTTTGTTACTCGCGAGGTCGAATCACACCTCGGGCAAACTCCTGTACCTATATGAAATCATAATAAAATTTATTCACCACTGCGAGACTTCCGGCTGCAACGCGTTACACTCCTGTGCATCCAGGCTATCGCAAAAGCGACGAGTGGATTTTCCGCTCGAAAATGGTCGATGTCGTTATACGAGGTATATCTGATGAAGACCTCTCTCTTTTTTCGGCCGCAAACTTGCCAACTTCCGTCTGATAGTATACAGAGGTCTAAGCTGCTTTTTCTCCTCTCTTGAGTCTCTTGCCGAAGTCTGGCTCTATCGAATGCCTTCGAGACCATACATCGGCTGAGCGAAGCGATCGAGTATGCATTTTTGGCTGGACTGTAGGTTATTCCAGAAAATCCTGCAACATTCTCCTTTCTCGTAATGGCGTGAAAGGATGGAGCCGGAATCCTCAATGAGTCCTATCGGTGCGGCAACCTCCCCATAAATGGCAATCACATCTCCACGAGGGAGAATAGCCTCTTGCAGCACCCAAACTCTTGTCCACCACGGCAGGTTAGTCAGATGATCGACGAGTTCCAATGCTTTGGTCCAAGGTGGAGACGAGGAGTCCGAGTATAGACAGAACAAACATATTACGGCTTCAAGGACGTTGTTGCATTGTCCCGGTTTTGAAGAATACGTTGCGAGGCATTTTTATGTACCAAGAACGACACAGCCACCGCCATTGCTTGCCCAGTTTCTGTCTGCTTCGGACACCCATCAACTTCAAGGCCAGAATAACTGCCCAACGAAAGATGGAAACTTCAGAGCGCCGCCATATCTCTGGTCTGCCTTGCGGGCGATTGCTCGACCTCGGCGACAACTAATGCTCAGTGGTCGAGAAATGCCGAGCGAAGGCGAGTATCAAAACCCTGGGCTGGGTGTCGCATCACCTGACTCACCCATCTCACCCGCCTAAAGCGGCATCGTCCGCATCGGACTCCGGTGGGGGTCCCGCAGACAGTACTCCGTATTATCCATCAATTTGTCTATCTACCTACCGATGGATTATCTGCGAGCGTTTGTAGGGTTTCCTTTCCCATTCTAGCGGGTGAGTGTCGCCGCCCTAAGCTCACGCGAGCCGAGGTGAGTTTGGATAAGCATAGGTGAGCATAGGTGAGTGTAGAGTGAGTTTAGGGTGAGTATAGGTGATCCCTCACCCTAACTCGCCTGTGCCTCGGGGAGCCCAAAAAGGCTCTTATACTGCCTAGTGTTCTAAATATGTTTCGGCTAAGCCTACTACCTTTAACTTAGCCACTTCCTTTAGTCCTTTAAGCTATTAGTGACGGCTGATGGTATGGCACGGCCGGTGGTGAGTTACTTACAGCTCCTGGCTCAATGTCTGATGGGATAGATCCGCGGGCGAGCCAGTCTTGAAGAAAATCTCCTCGGACCGAAGATACGCGGTTACCCCTTCAACGCTAGGTTCTTTAACCAATCAATAGCCATGGCCTGATCTAGACCCTAGCGGCCGACTTTGCCTTTCTCTTCTTTCCAACCACTTCCACAGCTTCATGTCACGTCTTGCGCAGCTTCGGCCCCAGGCCGAGTACCGACCACAGACCTGGGGACTGGTTCTCGTCCTGCCTGAACCTCGTAAACTTTGTCGCTCGTGGTTTCTAACTTTCTCCTGTCAGATTCAATCATGGTGAACAAGCTGGGCTTCTTTTTTAGGAGTCTTGAGATTCTTAAGGATAAGTAGATCCGCTCGCCGCCTTTCCTTGACGTGGACCTTGACTCCATCCCTTCTATTTGATTCATCGTGCTTGGTCAACTCCCACAATCTTCCACCATGTCTGAAGAGAAGCAACAGCACGACTCCCACCTCGAGGTGGTCGAAACAACTCTCTCAAACGATTCCGATCTCATTGACAATGGTCATAGTGCCTCCGAGCTCAAGGGCTACTGGAGCTCCATGGGACTCATTGGCTCTGTTGCAGCAATCGTGCTCATGGCCAACAGCTTGTTCGTCGGTTATGCTATGCCGGTCAATATTTTGAGTGTCATCAATGCTGACATCGGTATGCCTTATTCCGTTGCTTTCATTGACATCTCTTAATATCGAGCAGGACCATCTCCCAATATTTATCTTGTCACGATGTGTTTCACCTTAGTCAGCGGTGTTCTTCTTCTCGTTGTTGGACGTATCAGCGACATTACTGGACGGCGATACTTCATCATCGGTAGTCAGCTCTTTGCTGTCGTCGGCTCCATCGTCTGCGCAAAAGCAAGCAACATCAACACGATCATTGGGGGGACAGTCCTTACTGGAGTTGCGGGTGCCGGTCAACAGCTATACCCACTTCTCGTTCAAGAATTGGTTCCCAACAAGTATCGGTTCTGGGCGCAGGCCGCCATCTCTCTGGGTGCACTTCCCACTCTTGGTTTTGCTCCTGCCATTGCCCGCTCTCTGGTTCAGCATAGCTCTCTGGGCTGGAGGTACGTGATTTGCAAGCAAATAATTGTTACGCAAGCTGACTCTTCCCAGAATGTGCTACTGGCTAAACGTTCTCGTTGGCGGCTTGTCGCTGGCTCTTTACGCCCTCTGCTACTTCCCACCGAACTTCCGCATGATCCACTCCCGCATGACCAGAATGCAAGAATTCAAAGAACTCGATTATGGGGGGCTTGTTCTTTACTCTGGCGGTTTGATCTTGGTCATTCTCGGCTTCAGTAAGTTTCTTGTCACGAATCCATGCGATATTCGCTAACGGCTATCCTAGCTTGGGCAGAAGGCACTTACCCATGGAAGAGCGCTCATGTCATCGCTGCACTTATTGTCGGAGCTGTGACATTGGTGGCTTTCGCGCTTTACGAAATCTACGTCCCTCTCAAGCAACCGTTGATGCCAATGAAGCTGTTCAAGATCCGAAACCTCGTCGCTGTCGTCGTTGTTGGCTGCGTTGGGCAGATGGTTTACTATGCACTCAACGTTCTCTGGCCTGTTCAAATTACTGCTCTCTATGCCACGGATAACATGAAGATTGGTATCATGTCGGTGAGTGTTGAGTGTCACTGTTGTTTGGCGAGCGAGAATACTGATCTGACCATAGAGCACCACCGGTGTCGCACTCGCCCTTGGTGAAGTCATCGCTGGACCACTTTTCACGTTAGTCGGTCATCCTAAGTGGCAATTGTTCGCTTCCACCGCTGGGCTTGCAATCTTTTGCGGTCTTATGGCCATCACCAACCAGTCAAAGGAAGCTTTGGCCATCGCTGTAAGTCTAGTGAGAGCTTTTATTTTATTTCTCAGCTGATCATCGCAGTCTACAATCCTTGCTGGTATCTTCGTCGGCTGGATCGAATGCGTCGCGATCACCATTGCTGGACTCGTCGTGCCACCCAATGATATCGGTGTCGCCCAAGGATTCTTTGCCTCTACTCGCGCCGTCACGGGAACTATTGCCATCAGCATTTACATCGCCATTTTCACCAATCAACTCACCACCAATCTGCCCAAGGACATCGTCCCGGCCGTCGAACAGGCCGGTCTGCCAGCCAGCAGTCTTCCAGAGCTTTTCGCTGCCATGACCAACGGTACCACGGCTGCATTGCAGAGCGTCCCTGGAATGAACAACAACATCCTTGCTGCTTTCGGCGAGGCGACCAAGCATGCCCACTCGTCCTCATTCAAAGTCGTCTATCTCAGCAGTCTTGCATTCGGAGGTGTTGCCATCATTGCATCTCTCTTCGTCCAAGATGTCAGCAAGTTCATGACCGACTTTGTGAACAAGACCATCCACAAGCCACACTTCGGCAACTCTGAGAAGGGGACAGATCAGGCAGTGTGAAGGGCAAACCTTTCGCCTTCGTCGATTGAGGTTGCTTCGGAATGCTAGGCGTCTGCAACTGTGCGGTATGCAAATAATTCGGCTCTCAGGAGTATCTAGAAAGTTTTCAATGCGAAGACATTTCAAAAACAATTCCTTGGCCCCCATTTTCTTGGTAGTCCACTCGTGCTCCAAATCCCAGGTGTTTGCACCCTTGGAACGCTTCGGCGCGCACTCTCCCGCCAGAGAGTGTTGTGCAAATGATGTTCAATTGCCGCGTTCTCTCGATTTCGGTCTCGGAACATCGCTGGCTTTGGGGCATGATGGAGTGAACTCCCGCAAACGTGAAGATGATGCACGATACACGGTATGCAGAATTTCAACGCGAAGAACATATTCTCGTTGAGTCTCAATCGTGATAAACATATGTGTTCCGCTCTCTCAGACAGTTCCTCGGTCCACAAATTTCTTGGGCAGATCGACCATCCTCATCCTGAGAAATTCGCAGCAGTTCTTCCCCAAAGTGTCGTATGTACTGCATGCATCATAGCCACGGTCAAGATGGTCATGCAGCAGGAAGTGGACAGCTCTAATGTGTGGCATCTCGAATCTGTCGATAGGCTTGCCATGATTCTCCTCAGGGCCGAGTAATTCTCGAATCTTGTCGACAGTCAAGAAGCTTCTCAACCAATCCCACTCGTCAACGTGACGGACGAATAGTCCAACATTGCAGTCACTGCACTTATCGCCTGATCGACCGAGCACGATTCGTCCAAGTGGCATCCGTATGGTTGGTCCGAAAGAGTCAACAGGAACTGGATCCTTGGTCTCGTACGAAGGTTGTTGGCGATCGTAGGTGCGGAATTCTGGTGCCAAAGGCATGTCAATGACTGGAGTGGGAGCAATCCACAGGAGATGGACGCGCTGCTTGAGGGCAGATTGTGGAAGGAGTGCTGGGTGATATTCGTAGTATGGTTTGCCTTCGGCTTGACGCATATCGTTGCCCAACGAGGCACCCTTTGAATTCAGTTTCAGAGATATGGGAGTACACACGCTCGAGAGGACGTACCGGGCAGCTTTGCAAGAACGTGGTCATAGATCTACGGAAGAAGCCGTTTGGATTCCTCATGTTCAGCAGTTCCCGGTCTGTTGATTGGGCGAAGATTCGGAAGTCGACAGTGGCGACATCCTGGTTTCGTGCGTCGCTGACCGAGCTGCCATTTTGCATGAACTTCAGAACAGTGAATTTCTTCAACATCTCAGGATCGAGTTCGGCGAGTATTTGGTCTTCTGTCCATTTGCATTTCTCTTCAATGTCGAGGCCACACAGGTAGACGTGGTATTCTGCTTGCCATCCGGCAAAGCCGGTAATGCTGCGTGGGAGATCAACATAACGCTTCAATTAGAAAGATCAACTTTGACTTACCCGACTTTGGTGGTTGGTGGTGGAGGAAGACCTCTGACACCTGAGACCTTGACTTGATCTTCACCAACCTGCTCGATTTTGATGCTTTCCAGCTGAGCAGTGACATCACAGTTGTAATATTGAGGTCCTTGGATCTCGTACAATAATTGAGAAGTCACCGAAGCGACGGTCATACAGCCGCCAGTGTTCTTCTCCTTGTACATGACGGCGTGACCTCGATGATCGATGGCAGCGATTGGGAAGCCCAAGTTGGTGTGCTTCCCTCGCTTGAAGAGGTCTTTGAAATCTGAGCAGTAACCTCCGCTGACATACGCCGCACATTCGAGCAAATGGCCAATGATGAGAGATCCTGCCAGCTCGTCGAATTGGTCAGCTTGCCATTGATGCCACCAACTATGGGATGTCAGTTTGATTTCTTCAAGTAAGTTCAAGGACTTACGCAGCGGCGCCAATGATTGGAGAAGCGTCAGAGACGCGACCGCAGATGACAATGTCGGCACCCTCCGTCAGAGCTTTGGCGATGCCAAGTCCTCCGAGGTAGCATTGGGCACAAACAGGTTCAAGACCCCATTCTTTCACAGATCTGTTGTGCATCAATGAGCGAAATGCTTCACCTTCCTGAAGCATCGCCTCGACTGCACCAGTGGCATCATCACCTTCGATCCAGGCAACCTTCAGGTCATGGCCGGCTTCGTTGGCGCGTTGCTTGACAACTTTGGCCAAAATCTCCGTATCACTGGCTCCAGCATTAACGGCGAGCTTGATCTTCCGTCGGGCCAGGTTGTCAATGGCAGGCAAAAAGCAGTCCAAGAAGTTCTCAGCAAACATGGCGGACTGGACCTGCTCTTCCCATCTCAACTGCTTGCCGCCGTTGGCTGCTGAGTTTCTGATCTTGCCGGTGCCATGGATGGTCATGGTCATTTCTGAGAGCCAGTCTCCGACGATGATATCGACATCTTCATTTTTCGCCAGGCTGGCAATAGCTCGAACACGGTCAGAGAAGCCGCCAGAGGCTCCAGCCACTCGGACTGGACGTTTGATTTCTTTGACCATATCGAAGCTTGGATCAAATTGAAGAGAAACGAGAGTGTTCTTGTGCTGGTGCTTCTAGCGACTGAATCGACAAACCTGAACACTTCCCATCCAAATTGACCTAATAATCCTCTGACTTGAGAGACGACCCCTTTTCCCGTCCTACTTGCAACATCTTGGCAGATATCCGTCTTCGGGCTGCCGGTTAGCCATTCGGCGGATCTAAAACAAGCTCATGGTTAGACGGAGGGGAGATTGGAGCCTCATGACCCCGGGTTGTCGGTCCGAGCATACGCGTGGTGGGGAACCAAGAAACGGCTATGACCAGATTGGGAACGGTCAGAAACGCGCTTGCCACATGTCGCAGGTTTCCCATGCACTGTGCCGGGGAGCAAATCCACTGATTTGGAACAGGCAGCTGTGGACTGAGGTTGCAAGTGGACAAGTTGGCTGGACAGTTTCTCCAGATGTGCGGAGAGACTGCGGAGACTAGCGCCGGAAAATGTTAGCCAGGGCCCGGATTTGTTGCTTCTCAAAGCTTTGATGTTGGGCACGAGGACCAAAGGCGAGGATACCAAATCTCTGGATCCACCTCGTTCTATATGGCGGGATCAGGCCATGACTGACCCGCAAGGCATAACCGCGACTGCGCTCGTTCTCTTCGCGCTGTATGCACACGAATCATGATACGCGAGACCCTCTATCGTGCCTTCGTGGAGCGACAAGCGCCTTCTCCAGAACGTTTACTTGAAATACGAGGGTAACATCACCTACAGGAGCAGAAAAGCACGTTCGATCCGAAGTCTCAACAGCCTATCGTCATCAAGCAATTTTCAAATGGCTTCCTTGCAGGGCAAAGTCATCGCTCTCACTGGCGGTGCCTCTGGCATCGGCCTGGCTACCGCTAAAATCCTCGCATCGAGAGGTGCGAAAGTCTCAATTGCCGACCTCCATCCCAACCTCGAGGGCGCAGCGACCGAGATCAAGGATGCGACAGGAAGCGCAGACCTCATGACCGTGAAGGTGGACGTGAGGAATATTGAATCAGTCACGGCTTGGATCGAACAAACGAAATCTGAATTTGGACAACTCGACGGGGCAGCAAATCTTGCAGGAGTCTTCAAGGCATTTGGAGATCGTGGCATCGAATCGGAAGACGAGGAAAACTGGCAATTCATGATCGATGTCAATCTAACTGGCGTTATGCATTGCATGCGTGCACAAATCCCACATATCAAATCAGGTGGAAGTATTGTCAATGCCGCGAGCGTTCTGGCCAATCGAGGCTGGAAGGGCGCAGCCGCATACTCCGCCTCCAAGCATGGAGTTGTTGGCTTGACGAAGTCTGCAGCGAAAGAGATTGGCAAAAAGGGAATCAGGGTTAATTGCATTGCTCCGTAAGTATATTTGAATGTCCCTTAGTTACTGTCTAACACTCAGATAGCGGTCACATTAATACTCCCATGTTGAAGTCTGCGGTCACCGACCCCAATCGACCAGCTGAGAATAGCAGTGCTGAATTTGTACCTTTGGGAAGAATGGGCGAACCTGAAGAAGTTGCTGCTTTAGTTGCATTTCTCTTGAGCGATGAGGCAGCTTTCATTACTGGCGCTTGCATCAATATTGATGGCGGAATGACTGCTTGAATCAGCCGCAGCGACGATAGACCAAGATCCTTACACCAGTGCATCTGAAGAATCTTGCCACTCTACACATCATTCGCTTGACCTTAGAGATGTAAACATTTATCGCTGCGAAATCGATTCGCATGGACCGGACAAATGGAGATATGATCATCTCCGTCATCGCCGTTGATGTGTTCCATACTTCCATTCGCCTGAAAGTCAATTAGGCGGAGCAGTTTAGGCTGTAGATTCCGATTTGGGATGTTAGTTATCCAAACCCCATGGGGATCGTCGGTTGCATTCTCAAAACTTCTGAGACCCTCAACGGGTGTACTCGGCTACCTTTCCGGGTTGGCTCCACGTGAGCAGATCAAACTCGGGATCTGGGTGACACTGCAAGTTAGCCTATCATCCCAGGAGATATCTTTCCTCATTCGGCTTGTCCCCTCCTTTGAAGTCTTATAGGAATAACCTTACTTCCAAGTTTGTCTCAGGCTTGCCCTTGGAATAACACTTCGTTTTAGCGGAATCCGAGTTATTATTCATACGATGGAGGGATCTGAGGTTTTCCAGAGTACCTCAGAGCGACTGCTCTTTGCTTTGGGACTTTCGCTTGCTGGTTTGGTCCTGTATGGTGTCTGTGTTATTTTTTATAGGCTGTACTTTCATCCTCTCGTCAAGTTTCCGGGGCCATGGATCAATGCTGTTTCAGATGTAAGGGATATCCCGTTCACTGTAGGCAGGAACTAAGGAAAGGCAGCTACCTGGAGTGGTATGGACATTGCAGGGTCGATTGCCCATGAAGACGAGAAAGCTACATGATAAGTATGGGCCAGTTGTTCGACTCAGTCCTGATGAGCTTGCGTTCAACACTCTCGGCGCTTGGGTGGACATCTATGGGCACCGAAATGGACGGAAGGACCTTTCAAAACATCCTATTCACGTGGGTGCTGTCGACCCATTGCCTGGAGTTCAGACAATTTCTATGGCCGATCACGACAATCATGCACGCCAACGAAAAGCCCTGTCCCACGGATTCTCCAAGCAGGCACTTTGGTTCCAGGAGAGCATCGTTCAGGAATTCGTGACCAAATTGATGAACAACATTCATCAGTTTGCTGAGAAGGGAGAAGTATTCGACATTGTGAGATGGTTCAACTTTATCACGTTCGATGTTATCGGCGATCTTTCCTTTGGTGAATCATTTGGATGTTTGGATCGAGGCGAATTTCATTTCTGGATCACCCTGATCTTCGATGCTGTGAAAGCCGGTGCAATCGAGCAGGCCTCGAGACGTTTCGCGACTGCTGGTTCGCCCACGCAGAAATTCCTGATGAAATTTGCCCAAGGTGCACTGGCGAAACGTCGAGCGGATCATTTGGCATACAGCAGGGAAAAGGTGATGAGGTGAGAGGAGCACAGGAAGATATAGCTTTTGCTGACGAAATCAAGGCGACTTCAAGCGAAAGGCAGCGATCGCAAAGACTTCATCCATTACATCCTGAGACAGGCAGAGGTGTATGATCTCTCTCAGGACGAAGTCATTGTCAATGCAGCATTGTTCATGTAAGTTGACAACGCGGCGAGAATAGCGACCAATCTGACTTCCCTTCAGTGTCGCTGGGAGCGAAACTACTGCAAGCTCGCTTGCAGCGTTGACGAACAATCTGCTTAGGCATCCGGATGTCTATGCAAAACTGAAAGAGGAAATTCGAACAACCTTCAGATTCGAATCGGACATCCGGTTAGAGGTTGCCAATAGTCTGCCATATTTGAATGCATGCATCGAGGAGAATCTGAGAATCTTTCCACCGGCTCCAATTGGTTTCTTGCGTGCCATTCAGGAAGGAGGAGATGTGATTGATGGGCACCAAATCCCTGGAGGAGTGAGTATACCCCTCAACTGTCACGAACGATTGCTCACTTCCATTTCCAGACTGCAGTTTCTGTCAGCTCGTGGTGCGCACATCATAGTACAGAAAACTTCAAAGATCCTGATCTGTTCCTCCCCGAACGCTGGCTTGACGACAAACGGTTCCAAGATGACAAGAAATTGGCCAGTCGACCTTTCTCGCTTGGACCGCGAGGTTGCATTGGGAAAGAGTGAGTTGAGAGGATCTGACTGAAACGAAGGGAAGCTAACATGTTGTCAGTCTGTCTTACCTTGAGATGCGACTGGTCTTGTGCCGACTGATTTGGAACTTCGACCTGGTCAATGCCGACGACGCGGAGGATTGGAATCCTGAAGGAGATATGAAGCATATGAAGGCATATTCGACGTGGCAAAAGCCTGGGCTGAAGGTGATGGCAGTCAAAGTCGAAAGGTAGCAAGAATCGTAGCTCGTTGAAGTAGTCAATCTTGTTACTACTCATGTGTACCGTCCCTATCACAACGAAATCTGAGATGCTCGCCTGAGGCAAGCACTTTCGACCACGTGATGTAATTATGTACTGCTCGTGACCAACTCCTCCCTGAACCTCGGGTATCTTCGGGCTGAGTTCCGGCTCCCTACCGTACGCGAGTCAGCCAGAGTATCGACTTCTACCATAGGCTAGTGTAGACTGCGGCTATCCTCTATATAGCTGAGGACTCCAACATGACTGATAGTCATATCTGCATCTTGATGTTGTCGTTGCTACATTCGGATTTCAAGATGAAATGGAACAAGTTGCCCAAGTACAATGACCTTCCTAGGGACAAGAATACTGGGTGAGTTCGCATGGATTCTCCCTTGCTTCTGAGGCCTTACAAATTGGAGGAAGGGCTTGCTGATGATTTTTATTTGGACGCCAAAAGTGATCGTACGGCGTGGGGCTTGTTCGACCAAGGTGGAGTCAAAGATCAGATTGGTACCATCAATCTTCTCACGCCAGAAGTTGTGGCAAATGCTGCAAAAGAGATTCGCTGTGGAAAGAGTGTTTCGTTGAACTGGGGGCTTGAGAAGATGCATCAACCAGGATTTGGACGCACAAGTCTTGTTCACAAGTTCATCGATTGGAGGGGAAAGGACGGTTATGACTTCTACTCGTACGACGACGAGATCACTGTCAACACTCAAACAGGTAGGAATTGAAAAGAAAATAGAGACTTCTATCGTTGCTGATACGGTTCACAGGAAGTCAATGGGATGGCTTGCGTAAGTCATTCTAGACGGCGCTGGACTCTACGATACTGATGGGAAAGGACACTGGGGCCACGGCAGCACAGGATTTTACTATAATGGCGTCCATCATGACGATCTGTTGAAAGGCTCGCATCTCGGGATTGATCGTAAGTCTCAAGATTTCCGTGTTGAAATCGTCTGACGAGCGAAGACTGGAATGATCGCGGAGGTATTGTAGGTCGAGGTGTCTTCCTGGACTACCAATCATGGGCGGAGCGTAACAACATCTCATTCAGTCCAATGTCACGGCATCGCATCACGCTGAAAGATCTGCTTACAATTGCCAAAGAAGAGAATGTGGACTTTCGCTTTGGTGATGTTCTCATTGTGCGAACGGGCTGGATCAAGTGGTATGAAGAGAACAGCCAAGAGGAAAGGATCAAGTACATCACGAATGGAAATGCATGGGTCGGCGTTGAAGGATGTGAGGAGACCTTGGAGTGGCTTTGGAACAATCACTTTGCGGCCGTCGCAGGAGATTCAATTGGATGGGAAGTCTGGCCACCAAACAAGGGATATCGTAAGTTGAGAAACAGCTGGAGGAAAAGTGCTAACCCGAGCAGGATTGCACGATCATCTTTTGTCATTGTGGGGCATGCCGATAGGAGAGATGTGGGATTTGGAGGCTTTGGCAGAAGAATGCAAGAGACAGAAAAGGTGGACATTCTTCTTGACGAGTGCTCCATTAAATACGACGGGTGGAGTAGCGAGCCCGCCAAATGCTTTGGCCATATTTTGAATGTAAATCAGATGCATTCTGGTAGAACTCGTGGGTAAGGCAAATTTGGACTTCCAACTTCGGGTCTTTCACGCTGCCCCCTTTTCCTTGCCCTTCTTAACACTCTACGTGGGTTTTTGGTTATCGCTTCCGATTAAAGCGATTATACTCATAGCAGATTCCTGCTCGTTGGAAGTCGGATGCTTACAGGATGGAGAAGTCGTGGAGAGGTTCGCGGATGAAGACCGAGTTGTTGCGGGGGCTACCATTTTCTGGGGAAAACGTTTGGCGGGCTTCTTGGCCTTCAATCGGTCGGCAGCTCACCTTCTCAACCTTCGAGCCGAACATCCCCGCTTTCGACTTCAACCTCACATGCTTCACCAAATGGCCTCATGCCATGGAATCAAGCAGCAAGCGCAAGACTGCAGCTGACGATAACGATGTCCTTGACTCTTCTGCTTCAGCTGCATCGTCTGATGCTCGAGTATACCCTCGAAAACGAGTAGCTCTGGCGGTGAGACACAAATGATGACTGCCCGAGATCGCTCAACTGACAATACATAGTGCGAAGTTTGTCGTCTCCGCAAGACTCGCTGCGATGCCGAGAAACCATCGTGCTCTTTCTGCACCAAGTTGGGAATCGAATGTATCTATAAGGGCCCGAGCAAAAGCGATCGAGCTCCCGAGAATGACAGCCCAACGACCGCACGTCTTGACAAGATCGAATCAACACTCGAAACCATCGCAAGAGTGTTAGAGCTTCAGCATGGAGGAGGAGAGAGACGAAAACCAAGTGCAACTACACCAATGTCGTTCACCGATCCTTTGGCGGCCTCACCTGTATCGGTATCAGGAGGAAGACAATCAGTACCGAAAATGCCCAATCTGTTTTCGTTTAGAGGGCCGGACCCTTGGGCATATGATTGCACCCAAGAGTTCTTCACCGACCAGCTTGAATCGCTTACCGATATGATACATGTCGATTTGCGAAACTTGAATCTTTCCCGGCCCTATTTGTGGACATTGCAGCAGTCTTTCGCCGAGAGTGTTCTCAAATGGCTGCCGCTTTTTGATCATGAAGCGGCTGCTGCTCATTTAAAAAATGCTCAAGCATGCAAATATGGGATTGAATCGCCGTCTTCGTGTTTAGTGTTTCTGATATTTGCAATTGGGGCTCTTGCAGCAGATACGACGCTGTATGTTGAAACCCTGGCGGAACTTCCTGGATTCTGGTATTATTGTCGGGCTTTCGAAATCATGAGGAATTTTCCCTCATTCAGCAAAGATCTTTGCGTGCTTCAATGCAGATGTCTTGCAGCGTGAGTTAAGTACACCTGTTGTTTTCGGAGCTAATGTGAAGCAGCATCTATTTCTTGTATGCAATGCGGCCATTGGAGTCCTGGAGATATACGTGTCAGGTTTCGCAAAACTGCATATTGTTGCTCAAGGCCGGTTTGATCGATTCGGAGCCTTCACAGTACCGAGATGCATTTAAAAGGATCTACTGGATTTGTTACGTTCTCGACAGGTGAGTCCACAATGCGACTTTGCGAACTTCTGATCTTCTGCTAATTCATTAGCGAGCTCGAGATCTGTTTGGAACTTCCACCCAGTGGGCTGCGCACATACGAAGCAACGATCTCTCTGCCCAGCAGTCATTATGAAGAGGAAGGCATGTACTGTTTATTGGCGTTGTCAGCTTTGCGCAGGCTTATGGTTGAAGTAGTCAACACTGTTGGATTAAAAGGTATGATGTCGCTGCTGCGTCCAAATAGCACGCTCAAATTTATTTTTCAGGTTCGACCGTGGCAACTTACGCGCCAGTCGTGACCATGGAACTGCGAAATCAGATCGATGACTGGTATCAACATCTGCCGAAACCCCTGAAGTTTCCTCCAACGCACACATTCTTATTTGACAAGAGAAGAGCGTATCTGAGGTCGCAATACCAAGCATTAATTGCAGTCGTCTTCTGGCCGTTCGTCCCAAGGAGCAAAGAGATGCTACTATTCGGACAGAATGGAGAAGATTCAGAGCGTGTGATGCGAGGAGCTGATGAATGCTTGAAAGCTGCGAGAGATTTTCTGAAAGGCGCCGAAGAGATCTTGACTCAGAAAACGGTTGACTCTCATGTCATCGTGCGCAGCTATTTCACGATGGCAGTCATGCTTCTCTTCACACTACCGAGCCAGGACTCAGATTGCGAGGCAACAGAGGACCATTTGCTCCTGGAAGAAGCTCTGCAGAACCTCAGCCATTGGGATGTTGTACCTTTCATGAAGAAGCCGCTGGAAGAGCTGGAAAGGATGGCTTTATCAAAGGGAATAAAGGGTACGAGGTAGGCAAAGATCTTACAAAGAAACTGGATGAAGATGATGTACGTAAAATTGTCTCACGAGGCGTTTAGAATACATCCGATGCCCGACCTTCTATATGTGACACCTCTAATGCTCTTGAGCAGATTTAATGCTATTTATCTAATGTACATCGCAATGCCTTCGTTCCTAGCATCAAATGGTCACCGAAACAACACAGACTGTTCAAACAGTTCCATGCAGCAAGTTTTCGGAGGCGATAATATCTGGCAAATGCTGCCGAAGAACCCGGACAAGGAAGCGGACTTCAACTCGGCGATGAAGATCTAGGATACGGTCCCACGATTTAACCTGGCACATTACCTGTAGGCCAGCATCACGAAGGAAATATCCACTAATGCCGATGCTATCACCGTGGTTGATGTCGAAAGTGGTCGAGGCCGATATCTTGAAAGTGTCATTCAGGAGAATCTAGATCTACCCGGTCGATTTATTCTTTAGGACTTGCCCTCCGTGATTGCTAATGTCGATAAGTTCGAGGTCACTTCCGAGGCTATAGCTTATAAGATCTTTAAGCCTTAACTTATAAAATATAGAAAGAAGTAATACTTTTTCTGTAGTTAATTTGCTAATACTTATCAATAAATGCAAAGTTTTACTATCTATACTATATACTATATAACTAGCTTAATACTAAGAGTATTGAAATTCTTTCCTAACTCTATTCTATATTTAAATAAAACTATCTACTACTTTAAATTATTAAGTTCTAGAGTTTTCTCTATTTATTATCTTAGAGCTAGTCTTATTTTTATAGCTTCTATTAAGAGTTTTCTATAATAATAAGGAAGTTAAAAGTTAGGTAAAAGATTTTATTAGAAAAAAACAATAGAAGTTTTATAATATTATATTATAGCCTCTAAATTAGTACAATTAATTAATAATAAGATACTAAACTATAATAAAAGTTTAGAAAGTTATATTACTATTTTATAATAACTATAAATTTTTTATTCTTATTATATTTCTTTTTAAAATTAGATAATATTATAGTTTAGACTTAGTATTTCTTAGTATTTAGCTATTAAGTTATTCTAGAGTTATATAACTAAGTTATTATTATAGTATAGAAAGACTTAATACTAGAACTTAATTTATTAGAGTAATATATAAGATATTAAATAAGATTAGAAGGTATAGTAAGGTAAATAGGAAAATAACTCTATAAGTAGAGTATATAATCTAGTTATATAACTCTAGAATAACTAAAGATCTAAATACTAAGAAATATTAAGTTTAAACTATAATAATAGCTTCTTCTTAAGAGCAAAGTTCCTATAAGGTATTTAAGCTAGAGTAATATTTAGATTTAGTATTAGAGTTATCTTTAGACTCTATAAAAGAAGTAGAGTAGCTATAAGTCTTAAGTTCTAACCAGTAAGTATAGTTAGGCTTATAGAGATAGTATATAAAGAAATAATTAACTTTTATAAAAGTAGTTAGTATATAATATAGGGGGTTCTAGAAGTTCTTATTAGAGTTAATCTAATCTATAAGTACTTTAAAGCACTCTTAGTAGTTCTAGAAGTTAAGAATCTAGTTTATACTCTATATATCTTTAGCGGACGTGCCTAAGTAGGGAAAAGAAGATAGTAGAGCTTAATCTAGTAGTAGATTAATTATAAAAGACTAAATTAGTAAGATATAGAATATAGAGTAGTAGTACTAGGACTATAGAATCTTTAGGTAGTAGCTATATATACTAATAACTTTAGTAATATAGAAGAGACTATAGTACTTATTTAAGAGCTTTTAGAGTAAATATTCTAGTTATAGGTTATATATATCTAGGTATATTCTATTACTAACTTAGTACTTTAGTATAGGGGCTTATTAGTAGTTAGCAGTATTCTTATAGGTAGCTTATACTAGGTATATCTATTCCTTTAGCTTGTAAGTAATTATAGTTATCTTATTATAGAACTAAGCTACTTTCTTATAGTCTAGTTTAGTAGATAGATCTATTTTAGAGATATATAGCATTAAGCTAAAAAGAAAATATTAACTATAGTTAGTAAGGAATAAAGAGACTTAAGTAGTTTTTAATATATAGTTATTATATATAAACTCTATATAGAGTAGCTGGTCTATCTAGTTATCTTATAAGAATACTATATATATATATAGATACTATTCTAGAACTATATTATTATTTTTAGTCTAGCTATTAGTCTTAGGGTAATAGGCTATAGAGAGATTATACTAGATATCTAGCTAGAGATATAATTTTTTTTACAACTAGCTAATAAATTAGCTTCTCTAGTTAAAGATAATTAACCTAGAGATACTATAGTGTTTCTAAATATATTAGAAGAAGAGTACTATAGTAGTTAGTATATCTATTTTACTATAAAAAATAAAGTACTATATCTTAAAGAGGTAGTCTACTATTACTAGAATGTTTTTATATAAGTTACTTTAGTAATTCTTACTCTTAGAGAGTTTAATAATAAAGTTAAGTAAGATATTAGACTAGTAATATTCCGGTATAAATAGGGGCTTTAGTAGAGTATAGTATTAACCCTAAGAGACTTTAATATAGGTATAGGTAGGGTAGTTATATATAAACTTGTAGATATCTTATATTATTTCTAGCTACTAGTAGGAGTATACTAGGATATTAAAGGTCTTTACTCTTCTAGAGTATTTAATAGCTAGTAGAGAGTAGGCTTTATATAGAGTATATATTCTAATCTAGTAGAAGTCTAGTAGAAATTAGTAGTCTTAGTAGATAATTTAGTTATTCTCTTTATAGACTTTAAATAGTAGGAAGCTCTTTAGTATATAAATACCTTATTATAAGTAGATAAGAATCTCTTAGGCTTATTTATTTAATATATAGATAGAGTTAATATTCTAGTCTAGTATAGTTTTAGGAATTTTATCTAGTATTTTAATTATATCTAGCTAGATTACTAGTAGGTCTTCTTTATCTTTAGTACCTTATAGAGGGTTAATAGGGATAGTAGAGACTCTAGTAGAAGCTAAATAAATCTTACTAGTAGCTAAAGAAGCGCGCTCTAGCTAAAAATTAAGATTTTACTACTTTAATACTATTTAAAACTAGTTTTTTTAAGAATTACTTCCCTCTTTAATAGGAAGATCTTTAGACTAATAAGTTAAGGCATTTATTATTATATTTAGACTACTCTTCTAGTAGATAGTCTTAAAGTTAAAATAGAATAGAAACTCGCTCTAGTAGACCTAGTAATAGTTAAGAGACATTATAAATATAAAGTATTTAAGGTTCTTATAGTCTATAATAATATTAACTAGTTCTTTTATACCTTTTAGTTTTAGATGCTAGGCCTTAAAGGTCTTAACAATAGCTAGTAGTTTCTTATTATAGATCTTATAGTTATACTTAGTAATAGATATTATAGTTAAGAAGTATACTATAGGCTAGAGTTAGCCTTTTATATCTAGTAAGTAGAGTAAATTAGCTATAATATAGTCTAATATATCTATTTCTACTATTACTAGCTTAGTCTAGTTAAAGTATTAAAGAATTAGTATAGTAATAAAAGTATACTTTAATTTCTAGAAGGCGAACTTATAATTTAGAGACTATAAGAAGGGCTAGCTCTTATAAGTAAAGCTAGTAAAAGGTAGGATAATCTTAAAGAAGTTCTAAATAAAATAATAGTAAAAGTTTATAAAGCTAAGAAAGTCTTAAATATCTTTTAGATTCTTTAGTTAGGCTTATTTCTATATAATAGAGACTTTAGCTAGGCCTATCTTAATACTTTCTATTAAGATAATTAACCTAAAGTACTTAACTTTCTAGACATAGAATTTATACTTATTAATATTAACCTATAAGCCTATCTCTTATAGGTAGGTAAGTATCTTATAGATATATTTCTAGTATTTACTTAAATTATTACTATAGATTAGAATATTATTAATATAGATAGTATAGAACTAGTCTAAGTATTTCTATAAGATATTCTTAATATAGTACTAGAAGAATAAGAGTATATTAAATAAGCTAAAAGATATTACTAGGTATTTATAGAGACTATAGTAAGTACGGAATACTATAAGCTATTTATTACTCTTTACTATATAGAGCTTATTAAATACTATAGTAATATTAAGCTTAGTAAAGTATTTAGCTAATAAAAAGTAGGTGAGAGTTTTTTAAATAAGTAGAATAGAGTATTTATTCTTAACTATAATTATATTAAGGCTCTAATAGTCTATATAGAAATAGAAGCCCCCTCTAGACTTTTAAACAAAAAGAATAAAAGAGGCTATAGAGCTACTACTAGAGTAGATAAAGCTCTTTATAAAATACTCTTCTAGATACTTTTTTAGAATAAGTAGCTCCTTCTAGAATTTTCTATATAGGTGGCTAGTAAGTAGTTCTATTTCTAGCTATAGCCGGATATAGTAGTTATAAGTATAATATAGAGGTAACTAATCTAAGAGGTATTTTAAAAAGATATCTAGAAATTTATAGTACTTAAAGGGTAAGATAGTAGCTAGGTCTATAATCTTCTTAAATATAAGGGCTTTTTTAATATTCCTTATCATAATTATAAAGAGCTGGTAGCTAGTCTTTGTAATATTTACTAAATACGTAAAAAGTACTATTATAAGTAAGAAGTTTGAGTATAAACTCAGGTAAGTAGGTTGTATATACCTATCGAGATAAGATATTAAGATAGGACTATTAAGGTAGTAATAGAATTACGGTAATAGATTATATAAGGCTGAATAATATATAGAATAAGTATAGTATTACTTAATACTATAATACAACTAATAGTTAACTATCTTACTTATCTCTTACTTATCTAAAGAACCTTAAACCTCCGCACACGCACCCTATACTAGCTTCTATATAATAAACCTTCTATACTACTATTCACCTCCCTTATCTAGTAGCTATCTTATAGCTACTCTAATCCTCTAAATAGTAGTATAGATAAACGCTAAGATTACTAAAGAATTAGAACCTTAAACCCTACTACTATAACTTAATATTAGTAAGTCTTCTTACAAATAGCGGTTTAGCTTATTACGCATCTATCCTAATGCGTTTAACTCCTTTATAACCTTATAAAGAGCCTCTTAATTCACTCTCTTAAGCTTCTATATAGTAGTAACTACTAGCTTCTTTACTAAATCTATTAGTAAAGGCGGGTCTTATCCCTTAGACTCTTTAATTATACTAGTAGCACTATTCTTAGGCTAGTTAATACTAATAGAAGTACTATCTTTAGGCTAGTTAATACTACTAAAACTACCCTTAATAGGCCTCT